CTTGAATAATGAGATTGGTCTCACTGGAGGCGTGGGAGATTTGCGGCACATCAAAGATAGTGACCAGAACCTTGATTGTAGTGATCGAGGGGACGATGAGGATGATGAGACTCGAGTCGCGAAAGAACGATTGGCCATTGGGTCATTAAACATGGATGATGATACGCCCGAGCTTCAAAAATTATCATTGAACCATAGTAACAGCAATGGATCAAGAGCTGGACGTTTCCTGGGCGACAATCGATCCTATGTTCATCAACCAGCCATCAGTGGTGCAAGAACAATAGGTGGTGCTAACTCTTCAACCAGGTCTCAACAGAATGCAGTATACATGCCCTATCAACAGCAGCATCGGCCACAACAACATCAACAAGGCCAGACACAGCCGCCTCATCGTCTGCCATTAAACTCTCCAGTATCATGGCCCTCTAACGATCGAGAGTTCAAGCGCATGTCAAATTCTAAACTTGTCCTGGAACGATCATTTGACCCGAATGAACAGGACATCTTTGATGACTACTAAAGCCCCTTTTTTTTTTTTTTTTTTTTTTTTTTATAAAAAAAGACTTGTGGGTCTTGCACATCTTTCAACAATCCCATGGTCTTTTTTTATTTTTTTATTTTTTTATTTTTTAAACTTTGGCTTTTCAACATAGGACATCAGGTATCAGAGAACAAATATCTTTTTTTTTTTTTTTTTTTTTTGTACATGCATTATAAATATCATTTCATTAAAGACATCAAAGTGATCAACTGTACGCGTCGCACGGACCAACGACGCGACCTCTTTTTGTGTGAATGTATGACTGCTTTTAAGTGGCTTCCACAAATCATATCTTAACGATAATAAGACAGTGCATTTTTTTTTTGTTTTTCTTAATCCATCCATTCATCCTCGTTTTAGTAGATTAGCCATGACAGCGACAGAGGCAGCAACACCACTCACGATGAGCGAGGATCTAGTCGGCATCAGAACATTTGTCGATCCTTCTATCCCTGGATTTTCTGCTATTATCAAACAGCGGTAAATATGATACCATTCTTCATTATCGGAAAAATCTTTCCTGATTTTTCCAGCAGGATGAGTGTATCTTTCTTTATTTCAACTTGTGCTGATGATTTCTTTTTCTTTTCATTTTCTTATTTTTCCCTTTTTTTTTTTTTTTTTTTCTTTTTGTTTGTTTGTTAATGACTTGTAGATATTCTGATTTCATTGTAAACGAAATAGATCTAGAGAATACATGTGTCCGGTTAACTTCGCATGAGATACCCATTGCGAAAGAAAGTGTAGGGAAGGATAAACTGGAAGCCGAAGGAGGTGAAAAGCTAATTAACAACAGCAACATGTCGGACGAAGATAAATTAAATGAGCTTAGTGTACTCCTCAAGGACGATGAAGAGATCATGTCGCAGATTAAAAAAATGCTGGACAGTTCTGGCAATGATCTCGAATCTGTCAATTTGAAGGTAGGATGGAAGAGTAGGAAAAGATTTCATTTTAGCTTTTCTTTTTTTTTTTTCTTATTTTTTTCTTTAGCGTTTCCTGAAATTTGTGTTTTTGTGACTAGTAGTAGATAATACGAGAATAATAACTGATGCACTCCTGATGGGACTATTCTTTTTCATTTAAATATATAAAAGCCCGAGGACGATAAGGCAAAGCGCACTGAGATACATAAGCTAGTCAAGGAGCGATTTTCAGGCAAGATGGTCTCGGAGACTGTCGATGGCATCATTCGCCTCCGTATGCACAAGAAGAAAGATGATCTCGGTAGGTGCTTTATTTTACCCGTTATTTTGATTTTAAGATGTATATACTAATTTTGTGTAAAAGAAAAGCCTTTCCTTGCTAATTTTATTTATTTTATTTTTTAAGACACAAGAGGCAAAGCGAGAACAGATATTTGGAAGGAGTTTGGGGGTGAGTTTTGCCGTTTTTGTCTATTCAAGGAGAATCGTGAAACGATGGAAGCTATCAACTTTCTTACATCATGTCTTCGGTAAAGGCAAAAAAGCTGTATATGTGGAGAGTGTTTATCATTAATGAGTATTTATTTCACTCCGCTTTGTCTTATTCATTAGTATGTTTTTTTTTTTTTTTTTTTTTTTTTTTCTTTCTTTTTTCTAATTTAGCGTCCCTGGAAAAGTGTTTTCGTTTGCAGGAACAAAGGACAGGAGAGGTGTAACGAGCCAATGGGTCACGGCTCACAAAGTCAAAGCTGATCGATTGAATGGGCTCAATAAATCTCTTCGCAACATGCGTCTCGGCAACTTTTCTTATGTTTCTCAAGGGCTCAAACTGGGAGATCTTAATGGAAATCGATTTACAATTACACTTCGCAATGTTCTTGTAGACTCTGAAGAAACCCTGAATCGATCCATGATCTCTCTGCGTGACAAAGGCTTCATCAACTACTTTGGCATGCAACGGTTCGGAACAGGATCTGTGGGGACTCATCAAGTCGGCGCTGCCATGTTGAGAGGCCAATGGGAAGAAGCTGTCGATTTGATCATGAAACCTCGACTCGGTGAAGGTCCCGATCTAGAGAAGGCTAGAAAGTATTGGGCAGAGCATAAGAACCCGAAAGAGGCTCTCAAGTTGTTTCCAAAGAGATGGGTTGCAGAGCATCAAATCCTTTGGTCTTTCCAAAAGGCAGGTCATATGCGAAGCCCCTTCGAAGCATTAACCAACATCCCCAGGAACTTGAGGTTGATGTATGTACATGCCTACCAATCCTACGTGTGGAATCATATGTTGTCAGAGCGCGTTCGTCTCTATGGAGCAGACAAAGCGTTAGTAGGAGATTTAGTGGTTGAAAATAAGTCTGCGCTAGAGGCTGAGGAGGACATGGAGGTAAATGATACACCTAATAGCAAGGACTCAAATTTGGTACAAACAACAACAAATAACCCTCGTGGGAGTGACTATGTAAGGGCGAAAGTATTGACAGAAGTCGATGTTGACCAGTATACGATCTATGACGTTGTCCTGCCACTTCCAGGACATGACATTATCTATCCAACGCACGCGATCGGCGAAAAGTACAAGGAATTCATGGCTAAAGATGGCCTGGAGCCGTATAAGATGCTTCGCTCCAACAAGGATTATTCCTTGACGGGCTCCTACCGCTACATCCTGACCAAGCCCGAGAATGTTGAATGGGAGATTGTCCGCTACAATGAGCCCAATTTACCCCTAACGTTGACTGATCTTGATCGATTGGAGGGTAAAACCAAGGCCGAGGGCGTTGTTGATGATGCCGAGGGCAAATATCTGGCTCTGATTTTGGATCTGACGCTTCGATCAAGCCAGTATGCGACCATGGCAATCCGTGAAGTCTGTAAGCAGGACACTTCGGCTGCTTTCCAGAGTACGTTGAATGTTGGTGGTGAAAACAGCGCAGAAACTACAGCTACATCGTCAACGCTTGCTAGTGGAAGTATCGAAGGGTCTGCAGTGATACCAGGTGCTCTTGAAGCTCCATCGTCAGTAGCTCTTGATAAATATTCAGTTACGTCGTCCTTATCATCTACAAAGAGAGACATTGAGCAAGTAGAAGGTGCAGAGAATGCACCAGAAGCAAAAATGCCCAAAGACTAAAATACCTAGCATAGAAATTAAATCAAGCAGAAAACGGAAAAGCAAAAAAAAAAAAAAAGAAACAGTCGTTCATAGAATAACATGTTTTATTAGGTTTTATTTATCAATTATTTACAACAAAAGCTTTCCCAGTGCTTTGTCGGACATGAACTTGCCCTGGGACCAAACTTTCTGTCCGCGAACAAAGGTTTCCTTGACAACACCATGTAGGGTACGGCCCATGTAAGGAGTCACCTTGTTCTTGAATTCAATAATCTCTTTTGTGACTACGAAAGTCTCATCAGGATTCCAGATCACAAAGTCTCCATCCGCACCAACTTCAATTGAACCCTTGACGCCACCCAATCCAACCTGGCGAGCTGTGTTGTAACTCTGCCACTTTGTCAATTCTTGGAGACTATTAAAAAAAAAAATGTCAGTCTGTAATTAAGGGGTTCAATTTATGTTACTTTTTTTTAAAAAAAAAGGCCTACCTGCATCCACGGCGACGAGCCTCAGTCCAGACAACAGGAATGCCAAACTGAAGCCCACCAATACCGCCCCAGGCGCCAACAAAGTCGCCTTCGTCCATCAACTTGAGTTCAACGACACAAGGAGAATGATCTGAGACGACATAATCGATCGTTCCTTCCTTTAATGCCTCCCACAACTTGTTTCGGTTTTCATCTTCACGGATAGGTGGGCAACACTTGTACTCGGTCGCTCCCTCAGGAACACTCTCCGAATTCAATGAGAGATAATGTGGGCAAGTCTCCACAGTCAACAAGACTCCTTCAGCTTTCGCCTGACGAACCATAGGCAATGCATCTGATGCAGAAAGATGGACGATATGGCAGCGCACCTGGGGATACTTTTTAGCCAACTTGATAATCGTGCGGATCGCATTCGTCTCCAACACTTGAGGACGTGAATGTAAGAAGGTATTAAAAGCCTTGGGATCCATTCCTTCAGGCTTGGGGATGTCACCACAATCCATCTCTGCATGGAACATGAACACTGAATCCGTCAGTTGAAACTTCTTCATTGCAGCCTCAATTTGTTCTTCATTCACACAGGGGAACTCATCCACACCCGATTCAATCATGAAACATTTGAATCCTTTGACACCCTCCTTCACCAATGGTAAAAGATCTTCCACATTCGTTGGAATTACTCCACCGTAAAATCCGACATCCACATGGGTCTGACCACGGGCAGCATTGGTCTTAACATGAAGATTTTCAACAGTTGTGGTTGGAGGGATGGAGTTTAGAGGCATATCGATCAATGTTGTGACGCCGCCTGAATTTTCCAAAAGAAAAAAAAAAAAAAAAAAAAAAAAAAAAAAGAGTATGACAAGTTCAATATTTCATTGTAGGCCTTCATTGCTTTCATTTTCGCAGAAACAAATTTATGTATACCTGCTGCTGCTGCTTTGGTGGCAGTTGTAAAGCCCTCCCAGTCTGTTCTGCCAGGCTCATTGATGTGAACCTGAAGTAAAAAGATTTAAAAAATAGATATTAGAATCATTGGGAGCTTGTGTTGCGATTGATTGTGCCCAATTGATACATTGAACTCAAATAAAAAGAAGCAATAAAAGAAAGTATGGAAACAAGGAAAGCAGAATATACTATTTTCTCTTACATGAGCATCAACTACTCCTGGCATGACGACATTATCACCAGCATCAATAAACTCATCCTCAGCGTGAGCATAATCTGCAGGGGTTTTGATGGTATCAAGCACCTCCATGATCTTGCCTGATGCTTTGTCGACGACAATGGTGGCTGGAGCTGGAGGGGCAGCGGGTGAGCGCAAGACTCGAGAAGAAACGATTACAAGACGAGGAGCAACGGACATTGCAAATTGTAAATTAGTGTGAGAGCAGGAATGGAGAAATGAATGAACAGAATTAGACGATCAATGAAAGACGAGGACTGGGCTGGAAAAAAAAGAGAGAAGGAAAAAGAAAAAAAAAAAAAAGATTTGAATAAAAAAGAAAAGACGGGCGAAGGGCGTTTTTGTGCTTTGAAGCAAAAACAAATGATCTGTATTATGATTGGCTGGACGTATAACATTGAAGATGAATTTCCCACATGCGGTTACATCCGGAATGATCCACTCTTTCACCCTCTCCGACAAAGAACAGATCAAGGTTGCGGGGAATTTTTTTATTTTTTTATTTTTTCCTTGATGCATACAAATATTCTGTAACACTATCATGCATAAATATTAACAACCAATCTCAACGTACAAAGAGTTGATGCATGGCCTCAAACTCTGAACTACTACGCAGGAATACTGCAAGATCACTCCGCGTGCCGGTCTGCGTGTTTTCTGGAGCCCCTACTAACCCAGATACGCTCAGTGGCAAGCGCACACGTGCAATCGGCGCGTCTGCTAATGACAGCTGTGTAAAAAAAAAAAAAAAAAAAAAAAAAAAAAGAAGAGGGTGAGAATGAGGGTGAGGGTGGAAGACATAAACTTGGAAAAGCAATGAATATAATGATAAACATGGTAAAGTAGAACTCGCCTTTTTCAACTTGACCGGCGCAGGATGAACTCGGGATACCTTGGCCAATCTCTCTTTGAGCTCATCGCTTCTTTGTTGAATCGTATGCAAAGCTGCTTGTTGTGTATGGTATTGCCATTCAGGACGAGTCTGTTGTGCTTGCCATGATCGACGGCCAACGCCAACACCATCAGTACCACTTGTTGTCTCTGTAGTAATAATAGCAGGCTTTTGTTGTCCCTTAAATGCAGTATGTTTAGTCAGATCAACAACCTTCGGCGATGCACAGATCTCTCGAGCATCCTTAAGCAGCCTCTTGGTTTCTAATGCCACAGCCTTCAACTCATTTTCTGCTGACAACAGTCGCTTCTGAGTCTCTGGGTTATCAGAAATTGACTGAAGCAAGGGTAGTCCACCACTTTCAGGTCTACGGTTCAAGGGACAAATCAACACAGACATGTTCATTGTCAGGCCCAGATCCTGCATGGCTGCCCTAGTCCTCAAAGATGCATTCTCAGATCGCAAGAAACGCAAGGCTGATCTAAGAGACTCTATTTGAATCATAAGATCTCTACCAGAGCCTCCCTCTGCATTATCCAGAGTTGCTGAGCCAGCTGCATCTGGATCAATAAGAGAGCCAGTAGATCCATGTGTACTGTGATGTGGTGTTCTCCTTATAGGCGGTACAAGATTCCTGCCTTCTGATTTCTTGACCTGGCGTTTTAGTTGAGCATTTTGTTCCTCAAGCGCCGCCATATCTGCCTGTAGAGCACTAATAGCTTCGTCATAATCTCTCTCCTGTTTCCTGGCTTTGTCAACATCGCGGTCCAGTATCTGGATCTGTTCAGCTTGTTTCTTCAATGTCTCCACCTGCTTCTCAAGCAGTTCAATCTTGAGGTTGGACTCTTGCATATCCTTATCCTAATTATTGTAAGTAGGAACAAGTATGAGCGCTCATTTTGTGTCAAAGCATAAAAAGGCCTTGTCTCTCTTTGATATGAGACAAGTAGGTTACTCTAAAATGATACAAATGCATACCTTCAACTTGCTTTCCTTGACAAGCTTCAGCATCTGCTCTTGAAGTGATTGAACCTTTTGCTCTGCATCAACATTTACAACTACTACATCCTTCATCTCCTTGGCCCTCTTAACCCAGACCTTCTCTGATTTTGCAACTACACAACATCATGTAAAGAACAAATAGTCAGCAAAGCAAAACAAAAAAAAAAAAAAAAAAAAAAGCATTGAAAAAGATTGAATATAATAGAAGTCATTCTGTATACCTTTAACGGCAATTTCGGGGTCTTGAATACTTTCAGCCAACGCCGTAACATCCTGTAATAGGCCATTTAATAACTTCCGGCAGCCTTCCCACATGCTCGTCTCACTGATACCAAGCTGGGCATCAGTAACATGATAGATGGTTTGATGAATGCTATCTGTGCTAGTTCCTTCTCTACGAGCCTGGACATATTGTGCGACACGAATCCTGACTTCATACGAAAAGTCACCCAGCTTGAAGCTTGTGCTGCAAGCGTTTTTATAGTGCGTAAACCCTTCAGGCTTAACAATTGAGTCTTGAGATGCCAATTCGTCGAACTTGCGTAAAATTTTTCTACAGAAATGCAATAATGGGTTAAATAATGTAGAAAAGGGACGAAAATTAACGTTTTTGGTACTTTTCAAATCAAACCGACATTTTGATGCGTGGACATTAAAAGTAAGTAAAGCAAAGGTATTCTCATACTTTGTTAAAGTCTTTCCGCTCTTAGCCTGTGAACTCAAATGCGACAACGTTTGTAACAATTGATATTGGATATCATCAGTATCCACCAAGCGAATGCCATCCTCACTTGACTTGAACATAGATCCAACAGCAGTTAGGTTTACGAAGATGCGATCAAAGTTCAGATCTAGTGCATGAGCAGCTCCGTGGTAACGCTCAACAATATCCAGTCGAGTCTCAGCCAAATATGTCTCAGCCAAATGATCCATTTGGGCAATGGCTCTCTGCAGATCAACTATGCAGTCCGATTCCCGAAGCTCCTCTTTACGCAGTTGCTCAACCCAAGCGTTAAGGCGACGCTCAGTACCTACAAGGTCATGGTAAACTTGCCCCATCTTTGCAAAGACCTCGACAGAGCAACCTTCAATATAAGAGACAAATCGCCTAGCCATGTCGCCTAACCAGGTAAGCTTCTGTCGGACCTCGCAAACCGAAGCAAGCTCTGGTAAAACCTCACCTTGGGTAATTTTATCAGAGAGAGAGTACTGTTGCTCCAAATGCTTGCTCATAAGCTCTGACTTAAACGACAAGCGTTTAAACAAAAGTAGGCATTGAATCGAATCGTTCTCTGTCTTGAAGAATCCATCTGGTAAGTAAGGTTGGACCAACATCAAGTTGTCATTTGCCTGCAGTGCATCCAGCTTTCTAAGTTCGAGGTCAATAGCCTTGGCCTGAGCCTTCATAGCTGTCGATTGTAGCTGCAAGTTGAGACTAAGCATCGCCTGAGATTGGCTTCCAAGTCCACCAGCCTTCGTTTCCTCCTTTTGACGCAGCTGCTCTAGATCACTTTGTAGATGCGCCACCAGCTCACGGAACTGGAGAATGGTATTCTCATAGTCACCAAGGTTCTCTTCCAAATTTTCTATCTTCTTCTGATGTTCCCTGAGTTGTGTATCTTTCATATTAATCTCTGCTTGGAGTTGCTTCTCTGTTTCGCTGTGGTTTTCCTCGAGCTCATCATTGAGTTCCTTGAGAGCCTCAAGGTCATCAATGGCACTCTGCATTTCCTCAATCTTTTCACCGAGAGTGATGTTCTTCTCAGACAATTGCTCGATCATATCCTCAGCACCAATGGCATCATCCAGGCGCTGCTTCAACTCTTCAATTTGACTCTCGGCCAAATCTAAACTCTCTCTCAGCTTTTCGTTCTGAATCTGTACTTCCTGTACCAAAGATGCCTCCTTCTCTAAGTTCTTCAACTTCCTGGTCATTTCAGCTTCCTGCTCACTGGTTACATCCCTCAGTCTAGTGGTTTGGAATGAAACGGCGGATAAGGACCTTAGTACTTATGGAAGCATAGTAGTTATAGTTGACACGCACTTTTAGCCTCTTTTGATGTAAAAACAAAACCAAGTCATACCGAATCAATGCTTCCTTAAGACGCTCATTCTGTCTCTCAAGTTGGACTTGATTGACTACAGGGTTTGAGAGGTTAGCTAATTTGTTTGTAGCACAAATATGAGCGATTTGCTATTAATGAAGATTTCCGCGTGTGAATGTACCAACATGTGACTTTTTTTTTTTTTTTTTTTTTTTTTTTTTTGGAAGAGCAAAGTTCACTTGATGACACATTATCTACCTTCATCTTGTTGGAACACATTAAGATCAACGTGCATCTCCTCGACTCTCTCCTTCAACATATTAACCTCATGCTGTAAGTTCTCAGCTCTTTCTTCCGCCATCTCTTTATCAATCAAAGTCACTTCCATCGAGTCCACCACGTCGTTATACTTGGCCTCATACGCCTCCTTCTCCGCAAGAGCCTCCTTGAGAGAGCGTTTCGAGTCCCGAAGTTCCTGCTGCATATCCGCAAGCTTGGCTGTCCAAGACATAATAATAGTTTCGTAGCAACCATAGTTAGCGCACCATCCATACTCGGGGTATAGCCTTATAGTAATATTAAAAACACATAATCAGACAAATACCTTGAAGTTTGGCACGAATGTTCAAAAACTGCTCCGACTCTTCTTTGACCTTTTCAGCATCACGAATTCGTTCGCGGTCTTCCGTTCGCTTAGCCTCCAAGATACGCAGTTTAATCCTCAGCTCTTCATACTCCTTGAGCGACACAGTAGCTTCGGCCCTCTGAACCCCACTTCCAGCAATAGCCTGTATTCCCGCTACTGCAGTGTTAGCATTGCTGTTGGTTTGTGAAGAGGAAGGCGGAGGTGCGCTTCCACCATTCATAGACGCCTGTGTGTATGGAGGAGGAGGTGCAAACCCTTGTTGATCCAGTAGAAGCTGTTTCTGAGCAAGAGCTTCCTCTTGCTCAAGCTCCTCCTGTATCTGCCTCTCCTGTGCTAGTAGATTATCCTGCTCCTCTTGGTCGTTCACTATGGTAGGCTCATTCCGAAGGTGGTCCGATTGTTGCTGATGGCCAACAATGGTGGTGTTGAAATTAGTAGAACTAGATGGGGTCATTAATCGAGACTGGTCAGCTAAGCCAACGTCATCTTCTCTCGTTGCCTGAACAGGGAATCGAGCCCTTCTGGCTGATGCTGATACAGGTGATTCAGGTGTAGAATCCGCTCCAACAGGTCTCCTGGTGGCGGATGGCCGAGAAAGGCGTGAGACGCCAGCCGTCGCTGCAGGCGTAGTAGCCGCACTCGGAGCCCTCGCAGCAGCACCGGCTCGTCCAGGAGTGGCGTTGGGACGAGATCCTGCGGCTGTAGATGAACGCCCTGTCATGGATGTTGGCCGTGATGTTCTGCCACTGGCTGTAGACTACACATATCAATTGAAGTTAATGATATAGTATATGTAAGTAAGAATATCATTGACATGGCTTCATTTGCTTAATAAAGAGTGAAAATTCTCTTAGCGGCGATGGTATAGCTCCTAATGTGTTAGTTGGTTACCTGCACTCCTCCCGTTCCTTCATCTACGACTGGATGTGCTTGCGAAACTCGGACAAATACACCGTGCTTGTCTCTACAATCAAAGTAGCGTTTACCTTCAACTACACCTGGGTTTTTACCACGCGGAAGATCTAATTCAACACCAACCCATCGTCCAGTAGCAAAAGAAGTTTGTCCTACGTAGCGCACATAACCCAGATTCCCGCTAACCTCAACCCTAGTGCCAATGGTGATCTCATTTGACGGCTGTTGTAATGCAGATTCAGCCATGATGTAGGGAATTTGCTCTTATACTCCCTCTTCTTGAGGTTGGAGTACCAGAACAGCTGACGAATGCTGTGAAAGAAAATAGTAATAATAATAAGAGGGTATTGGCGGTATTTATCGAATTGTGTATAGTGATAAAGAGGCTATGCTTGATGATGCCCTTATCATGCGTTTGCAGACTCGATGGGGATGATGTGCTGGCCCTCACTCACCAATGCACCCAAAAAAAAGTCATTTCAGGCACACGCGCCAACTGTATTAAAATAACGTCACAATCTCGTGATTTTGTGACCAGAAGCATCATCGCATCTTCAAGGACCATTTGCTCGCAAACCAACCTGAACATCAACTTTACATTGATTGCTTAGAGCCTGCCATTGAGGCAGCGAAGGATAGACATAGGGTTTATAGCCACTAAACGAACAGGCGGGATTTCAGGAAACCTAAAATGAGTATCGCCGCCTATCTTCAAACAGAGCTCGTCGCCCTATCGAATGAAGCAAGGCGCAAGCACCCAGAAATTAAGGAGGTATTCTCACCGCTTGTGGTATTCTCACCAGGCACTAGCGTCTACACACCTTTTCTAATGTATTTTGGCATAATTTGCTTGGGGCAATTAGGCAGCTGAGAGAGTCATAGCGTTACTACGGCACCCAGGGCAAGGACAAGGCATCAGTCTTACTACTGGTAAAGCATCGCAAATCTATCAAGAAAAAAAAAGACTGTTAAAGCACAAAGTCTTGACATGATGACTTTTTATTATACTATAGTTCTTAGCCAAAATCAAGATGTTCTCAAGCCATTTCTGCTAGCATGTGATACCAAAAACGTTAAGCTTGTTACGATATCTATGGGGTGTCTACGTGAACTCATATCTCATCATGCTATGCCAGAGGTACGATATATCTGCATATTTTGACAAATCGAAATAAATAAAGCTGTATAGTCGTTTCCTCTTTAGCTCAGATGCTTTTCAATTATGAATAGGACTCTGTGGAGGTGGTGCTTAAGACCCTGAACGATATTATGTCGCACGGCGTGGAGATTCAACTCAAGATTTTGCAGACAATCCTTCCCCTCCTTACAAACTACAATGTCCATAGCGAGTCTCTTGCTGAGGTTTGTGGCGTCAGCTGTGTAACATCAGCATGCTATATTATAGGATCTAGTTTGAAGGATAATTGACTCTTCATGTTTTTACAATCTTTTATAGGCCCTTCTTCTCTGCTTCCGCTTGCAGGATTCCAGAGTGGTTTTTGTGAACAATACTGCGGCAGCCACGCTTCGTCAACTAGTAATTTACATCTTTGAAAAGGTCGGCGATGAGGACTTGAAAAAGCACGAGTCTGGTATGAGAACCAATCTGTTTTTCATAAGGAACTCGTTCATCGATCAAGCCTTTAGTTACTTATTACAATAATGTATGCTCCATTAACAGGGAAAGAAGCGCAGGGAATAGAGGCGCCAACTACAGTATTAGAACAAGAGAGTGAGGAGCAGCTGGGACCATGCGCTTCGGACGCGTATCTGCTCTTCCAGGATCTGTGTCTTTTGACCAACTCTGAACACGCCCGCTTCCTTAATCTTAGTAGCATCAGCAGGACTTTTGGATTAGAACTTATTGAGAGTGTTCTCACCAACCATTTCCACCTCTTTAAGCAGGTAAGCTACAGCTGCTTCTAAAAGGTTCTGGAGCCAAATATATACTTCACAGTTACTGCGGTCTAATATTTAACAAAAAAAAAACGTAATATTAGCACAAGGAGTTTGCGTCTTTATTGCGTGAAAGAGTGTGTCCTCTAATCATTAAGAACTTTTCAGACAAACAAGACTTTCCGCAGACCATGCGCCTCATGCGAGTGGTATATATCCTTATAAAGCAGTTTCATGAAATCCTAGTACGTATGATATCCTCAATTCTCATCAGCTAATGAAACAGTGCATCTCCTATGTATTGGACAGTTTCTTATTCTCTGATCAACCTTCTTTATATTTAGGCAATCGAATGCGAAATATTTTTATCAATGCTGATCAAACTGTTGGAGCCAGAGGGAAATATTTTATGGCAAAGAGTCCTGGCCATGGAAATTTTTAGAGGCATCTGCGGAGATAACACTCTCATGCGTAGGATATATAGGGCCTATGACCAACAAGGAACCAGTACAGATATCTTCGGGGACATGATTATTGCCATAGGACGACTCTCTACCGAAAAACCTTTGCTCATTGGCGCAGGGAGTTTTGTGCAGGATAGTTCTGATACAAACCGACTGACTAATATCAATGAACGGGACGCAGGCGAAGGTGGGATAGGCGGATTAAGCGTTACATCCTCGACAATGCGAATTCAATGGTAGGATATTTTATAATGACCTAGAAGATCTAAACATACTCTCAGAATGCTCAGGCTCACATGGAAGTCATGCTTATTTTATAGTGTTGACCAATTGGACAAAGCTGACCCGCCCCAGATCCCGGAGACATACTTGTACTACTTGTCTTTAGTATGCATTAATTCAATAGCGGATGGGCTGGCATCGTTCATTTTCCCAATCGTATCGCAGGTACTCCTTGATCAACAGCGGCTAGCACAGAAGCAAATGGAGGAGGCTGAGAATGTGGATCCTGTACCCCCGCGCCCGACTCTTACAGTGTTCCCAGACATCAATGCATTGGAGCTGTCAAAGACAAATGAGGCCGAGGATATAGCGCTAGTGACCATTATGGCTGAGTCTGCCTGGCCAGGACTTCTGGCTGCATTCTCTTATTTCCTAGGCGCCAACTTGGATGAGGAACTATTCCACAACGTGATGCGTGCTTATCAGAACTTCACGAGCGTATGTGGTGTCTTACAACTGGCTACGCCCCGTGATGCTTTCTTGACATCACTTTGTAAGAACTGCCTTCCTGTTCCGCCAGCTCTGGAACAGAGATCTGGCATTGCTGTAGCAAACCATACCCCCCAGGAACTGACTGGTTCCAATATCACAGACAAAAATATGTATTGTTTGCGAATCTTACTCAATGTTGCGCAATATCTTGGAGGAACCTTGTTCGACAGCTGGTATCTTGTGTTAGAGACTATGCAACAAGCCGAGCATCTCTTAAAGGCTAAACTTCATCGTAGTGGTACTTCCGGACCAATGAAAAAAGCAGGGACCACTGGCTTTAGCAACAATCCATCATCCAGCAAAAACGCCTCTCCATCACAGAGCGGCTCTAATAGGCCTACCAATACTGGTACAGAATATGCAGGTCCATCCCACCAGGAGGCAGATGTTCTAGCGTTACTTGCGTCCTTCAAGCAATTATTCGATCTTTCAATTCATTTGGAACCCTCTTCGTTCAAAAGCTTTATACGTGCACTATGTAAATTGGGTGCCGCAGGAAGTGGCCTTCCTTTGGCAGACAGCAAGGGCTCAACTGCAGCGCCGTTTCTCAAAGGACTAAGACACGTTAATGTATGTATTCATAATTAGCAACTCTGCTTTATACTGATATATCTTATTACTAATTGGGCTTACTGATGTATTAGAAATCCGACGATAAATCATTTGCTATCGAAAAATTACGACATGTTTGTCTTCTTAATGTCGATCGCATTGTATCAGGAGATAAGGGTGCTACAGTCTGGGACATAGCAGTTAAATATTTAATTGAGACAGCCAACCATCCAGCACCTTCAGTCAGGATCCGCATGCAAGCTTGCGATGTGGTCTCAGATATCATCATTGCCACAATGTCTCACGCAGAGCAAAATTCGCTTTCCAAACAGGAGGAGACTCAAATGCGGGTGATGAAAAACTTGCGTAAGCTGATACAAGGCCACGGGAACGCACTAGTCGAAATTCAACGCATGGGGTTGGAAACTTTGAACAAGCTCCTTCAGACATCAGGCCAATCCTTGTCTTTTGGCTGGGATATCATCTTTGAAATGATCCAAAACTCAATTGGGGCATTGTCAATGAGGACATTTCACGAGGCACTACCAGAGCTAGCATCTACTGGCGCGGAAAATAACCCACAGACTTCATCTACAGGCGCATCCAGGATCACTGGTTTAGTTCGAATTGCTTTCCCATGTCTGCAGTTGATATGTGCAGACTTTTTATCGCTGTTGAACGCAAGGAATTTACAGCTATGTATTGATACTCTAGCTGCCTTTGGCTATCAAACGGAAGACCTGAATATTTCGCTTACTTCTGTAGGCCTCCTCTGGAACATCTCAGATTTTATTCAACAGAGTATCAGAGACTTAGATCGCAGCGCATCGGATTTGAAGCCTGATGAAAATCAATCCGAATCAGAGGCAGTCGATGAGATCACCTTGGAGTTCCCGGACCCTGATCTTACACATAAAAATCTTAATGGACTTTGGATGCTACTTCTCTTTAAAATCTCGACCCTATGTTCAGACATGCGCCCCGAAGTCAGGAATGGCGCTATTCAGACACTGCTCCGAACAATCCAAATAAATGCTAGCAGTTTGGATAAGGGATCTTGGCGCAAATGTGTATGGAAGATCCTCCTTCCACTATTGGACGAGGTTGATGCCGCATCAAGTCGAAAAGTGGACGAGGTGCCAGAACCCGCCCCAACAGGCGCATTTGTTATGCGTAACGACTCACCAAGCAAACAGTGGGATGAGACGCATGTGCTTCTCTTCAATGGATTGGCAGACGTATTCCAGAATTTTTTGTTCCGACTAGTAGAGCTTGATGACTACTTGGATGCTTGGGTATTTCTAATGGAGCATCTTGAGTCAGCATCGCTCTTTTCGTCACCGGATGTTGCTATAGCCGCACTGAAGGCGATTCAGACCATAGTGAAGACTCCCTCTACCAAGGACGCACATGCAGTAGAAAGCTACGTATCCATAGAAGAGCGCATAAAGCGTCTGGCGAAACTTTGGGACACTGCTTGGTGTATTTGGGAACGAATCGGTTGTGCTATTGTCGGACGAAAACCATCGATTGGTACACGACGTGAGCACTATAATGCAGGCAGTAGGACAATGACCACTCAATTCACTCAAGAAACTCTTACTGAATATATTAACATCATGCATCAGCTCTATCCTATTCTGGCAAGCAAGTTCAGGCTGAAGGATTTGCAAGCCTTTCTTGATGTTGTGCACCTGATTTTGATATTTGATGCAAGCCCTGTTTACCGGCCAGATATTGATTATCTGTCTCCATTGCAGGCTTCCATCCACGATGCACTGATACAACTTGATTTGGGTTCTATTGATGGAGGACCGGCCGCGGTCTTGGAGCAGCTTACAAACCAGTTCCTCTTAGCCTTCCAAACCGACTCTTACAATACTGGCAGTAGTGCTTCGAATACATCTCTGAACTCATCAGGGCCTGTAAGGCCAACGTATATTGCGCTGTGCAAGGCGACGCTAACGAGGATTGTGTTCTTGCTGGATAAGTATCAACAAGAAAAAGGAATATACGCAAGCGGTGTTTATGCGCGCGTACTCAAAGTACGTTTGAATTGTTCGTGATGTCACTTTGCCGCTAGGACTATACGTATCATTGATGCTAACCCCCTCTGTTTTACAGTCTCTAGGTGTCGCCATGAAGCTTCGCTATAAATGTCCTCCATCTTACAAACATGTGGAGGATATCCCACTTTGGAAAACGGCCACAACCGCCTTTGTGGAATCCATCAAAAATAGCATCACTGTTGTTGAAAGTTTTGAAAAAGGTACCATGATGTAGCCTTAGGTGAGATACCTTTTAATGCAGAGTAATACAGCGCCAATACCAGTCCTTACGCAATCCTGCTGTCTTCCTTTGTTAACTTTTAGATATTCCGGATGCTCAGTTTTTCGAAATTTGGCGAGAGCTGGTCGTGGTCTGTCGCGGAACCATGGCCCCTGCACTGTAAGTTTGCTGATTTTTTTCTTTTTCTCTTTTTTGTAGCCATAGTATTCAACACTAACCACAAGTACAACTGCTTATGCGTATCATGGACATAGGCCAATCCCACTTAATGAGATGTCTCTGAAACATCAAGCTATGGATGAGTCATTTGACTTGGTTTTCCTTCAGAGCTTAAAATCCAAAGTGTTCTTTCGCATGGGATACCGTCGAGTCCCTCTGGAGACTCTTAGGGAGCTGGTTCAGATTCTCGATCATGCTGCTAACCTTTATATACTGTCCACGCCGTCCATGATTGATAACTTATCTTTATCGTCGGCCCCTCCACTCTCTGTTGATAATATTCGTCAGTCAAGCGTATCTGAATCTAAGGGAGAGACCACAATTCCATCTTCGTCTTCTGTGGAAAACATTCATTTAGACATTATACAAGGCTTAGGCATTACATTACATGCAACCACAAACACAATGGTTCCCGTACGGCGCGAACGATTTGCATTTGCCTGTCTTGAAACTCTATTTGACCTCTGCTCGTTAGGACATGGGGAGCCAAATGAATGCACTGAGGGAAACAATGTTTCCAACTCTACAAACCAACCATCTGCTGCTATTGAGACAGAGCTTCGAACTAGGACAGCCATGATAACGGCTCCAGTATTAATGCAACGGTGCCACGTACTGTTGGATGCCTATAGTTCAGATCAGGCTTTGCTAGGGAAGTGTCCCTTCCCACGGCTACGCCATCAAGAAATTTGCTTAATCCTTCGGCGACTGAGCGAACTTGAGCTTGTTCCAGGAGTCCTTATTTCCCATGGCCAGAATGAGTGTCAGAATGAGTCACCGCAAGGTAAGCATCTTGATGGCGTATTTGAACGTTATAGCGAAACTATCTTTTTTTTATGGCTCCGCTCCTGAAAGACTAATGATATTGACTCAATGGTAGATAATTTCAAGCAATCGCTTCTCGCAGGGCCACGTGCCCATTTATTTTATCTATATGAACCCCTCACAGACGCCATGTTTTGTCACGATCCTGAGGTACTATTGTTGCTGAAGTCTTGTCTCAAGACTGCTGGACGTTCGATCGGCCTTTCGAAATGAGCTATTAAACTCCAATAAGAATATGACTTCTTAAACCAGGATAAGGATGATTTTATTTTTCAAAGCCAGAGAGTGGAGAAGGCGGGTGGATTTCACCAATGTAGGCATTATTGCCAGCAGAGAAGCAATGTGAACTAGTGGTTTGTAATTGTTTGTAGGGAAATAAAGGTTATTGGACATGATGACAGTTGAACAGAGAAAAGGATATCAGATATTTTAAATAAGGTAAACAAAAGAACAAAAGTGGCAGGAGAGTCCTAGATTTATAAGAGATAGTCGGAAGAGTTATTTATTCCTTAATGTACAATTATGAACAGCAGAATAAGCCATGTATTCTGTCGGGGCATCCTTAAAAGACCTGCTTCAAAAGGACGCAATTATGAACAGCGCTACTCCACTACTTGAATAGGATATGGATAGGAATCCACAGCATGGTACATATCCATTCCAATATTGTAATCTACAATATGCCAGAAATCATTAGACATTATAATTGTTATTATCATAAAGCTATATCGACAGCCCCACATTCAACGCGTTATTATAACCTAATAGATCGATTTACCTCCTAGGAATTCAACATGATAAGCCTCCAGCACCGGATGGGTTGAGCATTCACCCAAAACTGTCTCAAAAATAGGGCCGACGATGATCGGCGTCATTTGCGAAAGCGCAGGCTGTATTCAATTAAAGGATTGTTGATATGAGATCAAATGCCTTTTTTTCTCTTTTTTCTTTTTCTTTTTGTAATACTGACTGATAGGTATCTACTTTCACTTACGCGACGGACTTCTTTTGATTTTCTTTGCGATGTTATCTCGGCTCCACCTTCTTCGCCTGCATCCAACCCCTCGTCCTCAGATAGATATCCTTCGGGAACTAACCAATCATCCTAACACACCAATAAAACATTGATACATCTTAGCTCAAACATGCCAGTAACATCATAACTAATAATGCATGAATGCTGGGTCTTACCTCCTCATCCTGATCGCTGCCAACATCCTCTACGTCCTCTTCATCATCATCACTCTTGCACTCCTCACCTTCTTCATCCTCTTCCCATTCGGCTTCACTGTCAAAGTCATAGTCAACCAGCTCGGTATCCTTACCAAGAAATCGACGTCCAGTAATGCGTTTGCTCTGTCTCGACCAAGTGCCTAGAGTTCCAAGCAAAAAAGAAAAAAAGAGAGTAATAATAATGGTTAATATCAAATAAATTATGCAAACTATATCCTGTCCATACAAACTACAGAAGCTTCCACTTGCCATAGTAAGCAGGTCGATAGTTCTCTGCAAATTGCAGTAAACGCATGCGTAAGGAGGGTATGTCTTTCCATGTGAGCATGTAACTAATATCATTTCCTTCGTCTTGAACTAACAATCCTGATCGAACTGCTTCAGAGACAGTCATAGACTTGTAATGCCTTGGTAGTTTCTTTTCTTGCTGCTGCGCATCTACACCTTTGGACTGTGGTCTCCTTGAGAACAACGAGCGCACTGTCTCCCTAGCATACTTTGTTTCAGCTACCTTTGGAACATTATGACCCAAATCCATGTCCACGTCCATACCACTCAAATCCCCATCTTTTCCTGCTTTAATATCCAGTGCTTCATCAATTTTCTCGGCAGAAATATGTTTTGTGAATTGATTGATTGGTGCTAGAGAAGTGTTCTTTTTGATATGGAACGGATGGAATAGTTCTGAAAGTGGCGGCGCAGATAAATCGCTTTTTGCAGAAGACTCAGGTGCATCCTTCTTAGTGGCAGAACTTGTGATTGGTTTGAAAAAACCAACAAACCGCATGGAGGTCTAAGTAGCCCAAAGATGAACTGATGTTAGGGTGCCAAGAGTGGCATGAAAAAAATCGAGAAATCCCTATAGCAAACAGCTTGATGTGTTTACTTACTTGCTCTTTTTTCAATCGCTCTTCTTCCGCTTTCTTCCTCTTGATCTCTTCCCTCTGCAAGCGCTCCGCCTCCTTCTGGTCCTTCTCCAGCTGTTTCTCAAGCATTTTGCGTTCTTTTTCCAGCCGGCGTTCCTCCTTCGCCTCAGCTTCCTTCTTCTTAGCTTCTGCTTCTTTTAACTTAGCTTCTAGGACTGCAGGGTCCACAACAGCCGCAACAGTTGATTGATTATGGACACTCAATGCATCTAAAGGTTCTTCGTTAGTACGGTTCCCAATTGCATCTACATCCATGCTTTCACCGCCCAGAGATAGCCGACTCTTCTTGCCTATTGTCGAACCACCTTCAGCTCCTGGAGCTATAACAGGGGTGATGGGAAGGGGACAGAGTTCTTCCTGCTGCTTTGTCTCTAATCCCAGAAACCAAGCTGTTAATGCAGCCGAAGCTCCAATACGCTTATTCCTTCGTTTGAGAACCACTGCTTTCATATCGCTCGGAAAGTAACGGTCGATATCTTGCACCTCCCATCTATAAACAGATAGGTTAGAAGGCGTCACAGTAATTGATGCTGGAAGGCTGGAGACCGGTACACCATAATTGACTCTCTGTGCTACCGCTTGGATGGCATCCATGATGGCTGTCGTTGAAACAGTTGTGACATTTCTCTTGACAAGAGCCTGTTCGTGCGTGGAGCCGTCCGTTTGCACGTCATTATCCACGTCCATCTCCCCTTCACCATCCTGTGCATTGAACGGTGCTGTAGGATCCTCAAGAGTATCAAATCCAGAAGGACAGAGTGTGCTCATGATATGAGCAGCTGCTTCGTTTAGAACAAGCTCGCTTTCCTCTACTAACTTTGCAATGAGTCCATAATGCTTAGTCGGTATACTTGTGATCTCTACATGGTCCGTTTCAACACTAACTCCTGTATATTGAGACAAATCTTCAGACATCTGCAGGCTCTCTCGGTACTCGTGAAATCGATACAAGTCTGCGATTGCCGATGGATGAGCAGAAAATTTGAGTTTGCTTTCAGTGATGTAAGCCTTCCCGCTTCTGACCTTAAACATGGAGGCAGTATCAACCTTGTTAAATTTACTGATATTGCTAGAGCCTCCACCAAGAGTTAGACTGCCAGATGTACTGACGGCAGAAGTCGTTGGTTTGCCAGACTGCGTTGCTTCCTTTGAGTCAATTAGAGAAGAGGGTGGAGCTGCCTCTGTAGCAAGTATTGGCCTCTCTATAAATTTAGAGGTAGCCAAGGCAGCTTGAGGATGTTGCATTAATGGGACAACAACTGAAACCTCCATGCGTGTACGTTTCCCTTTCGATAATGTAGAATCTTTTGATGGCGTATCATTTTGCACCTGCTGTGTATCGACATCATTTGACATAGGCTGCTGATTTTCATGATCTTCCTTTGTTCTGGTTTTATTAGCCTTCTTTTTTGCTTTTGATTTAGGTGAACCAGTGCTGTCTACTGTATCATTGGCGGCAGACATAATAGCAGTGGTACTGGTCATAGCTTCTGTATTTTAACATAGATGGAAATAGGCCTTAGTCGATCATGTATTGTAAGAAAATATGAAATTATTGGTTCTTTAACGCCATGTATTTAACGCCTTACGATTATTTGCAGGTTTCTCAAGTTTGGAGGCACTATGTAATGAGTCATCTTTGGTAAAAAAATCTCCCAGTGTCTTAGTCTTTATCGGTGATGCTGTCTTTGGTGGCATGATGTGAGGAGAGTTCTTGTCTATAAAAAAAGGAATTGCTTCGTATTCGATGGGTTGTAATATTGAATGGCGATTAAAATAAATGTTGATATTAGACGATTTATATTAAGAAAGAATAAGGATATAGCAATATCGCCTGTTGAGTGTCGATGAAGAAAAGAAAATGAGTGCTTGATGGTGAGCATCGCGTTGCCTTTGTTTGTTTGTCATAAAAGCAGTCGCACAAGAAATTATGCACCGTAATGTCCAGGTTCAGTTATCTGTTGATCTGTATGGTTTTTAAAGTTAGTCCAGAAATTCAGGGGCAAAAGATTAGAGAGGATACAGGAGACGAAAATAAACAGAACTTACAAATTTTTTGTGGGTGTGCCGGCACCCAAATACTTGTGTCTAGCGTCGTGCGCGCTTTGCAGCCGGAGCAGGCGACTCTTCCGTGGGCTTGTACTTTGCAGGCCTCTCTTGCCTCTCAATTTGAGCAAGACCGATTCTTGCGATGTTTTCCGCCCCTACTGCGTCACAGTCGAAGAATACCTTACATGTCCGGCAATATTTAGAGCGAGGGTACACCGTCTCTAAAAAGCTATCGCAGAGGGGTCGGGGACAGCGGGCGCTGGTGTAAAATCCGTGCGCTCCTACAGCGAAGTGTCCTCGTGCTTTGATCTAAGCGTTTCAAATGGTCAGTCGTTTATTAGCAAGGGTTCTATGGCTTTCCAGCTTTTCTTATTTTTTTTTTTTAAAAAAAAAAGTCATACCTGTGTGATAAGGTGTCTCGTTATAGCAGTGTGCTTGCTGGGAACTCCTTTACTACTTTCAAAGGACCCTAGACCGACGACAAGCACTCCTTTTTCCCCAAGCATCTCCAACACTCGCTGTACCGCGTAGTCGAACGTAGCTCGTTGAGCCTTTCGTAGGTCCCATTTTTTTTTCAGGTGCCATCTGGACTCGTAGAACTCTTGAAGCACATCCAAATTCTTTGATCCTATCTGTGTCTGGGACTCCTCGTTCATCCATTGAAAGTGCTCATTGTACGTATCCCTTCCAAACACAGGGATGGCGCTCTCAACCTCAATCATTCCTTTTTCACGCTTCCTTTTGTTCAACAGGTGATTGAAGCGGAGGACGGGGAGGTACAAGAACCTGCTTCTCACCTTTACCGTTTGCCGCAAGTTAGGGTTGTGAGGATCTAGGGAGGAAAACGTAAGGGCGTTAACAATACCAGGATCGCATTCGACGATAGTTGTGGTGTTTGCGGATGGGCACCGCCCTGGTTTGTTGAATGTGAGCTCAACGTTTTCAAGCAGTTTGGAGTTCCTCTTCCAGTTTATGTTTGCATAGTCTTCATCTGTCAGACCTTCACCGGCTGCCTTTGAACACGTCGTGTTGAGGAATCCCTGAGAAAGCTCCAGTTCTTGGCTGGCGTCTTCTTCATCTACGTCAAACTGCTGCTGTCTCTTCGTCTGGGTTGTGTCATAGGCAAGTAGATTCAGAACTAGACCGTTGGTAGAAATCGTTCCTTTGAGTTTGAACCGAGTTATATCTTTGTCCTGTGACTGCAGGGATACTTTGTCTCGATATCCAAGAACCATGCGATCGCCTCCAATGTCACAAAAGAGAGCCTGAATCAAAACCCCTTTTGTTCCCTGTACACACTCAAACATTGCAGTCTTGGAAGAATTGTCGAGAGGCAGAATACGCTCCAGCAGCTGCTTGGTATCTTCGTTCGCCCAGAGGGTGTCAACTAGGGCGTGTTCAGACAGATATACATACCCGGGTGACCAGGGGGACGTAGGAAAGTCTGAGTATTTTTTCACTTTTTTGTTCTCCCGCAAAAAAAACTCAATGTCGCTCATATCTTCGTTTGTTTTCTCGACATCAAGCTAAAAAAAAAAAAAAAAAAAAAAAAAAGTCTGAATAAAGAGCATTTGATTGCAGAATACACATGAAAATACCCTACACAAGCTATACCATTGCGTTCCTGTAGTGCTGCCTTAATGATGTCTGTACTTGGCCCATTAGTAGCTCTGACGCTCTTGGAAATGAGATCTTTTTGGGATCAAAGCCTTGCACGCCCCCCAATGTGATGTCTATTTCCTTTATTGGGGAAAGTTCAGTGGTGGCCTTGAAATGTTCATAAGCGAGGAGATAATGGGGCGTTTCTACCGCCTTCCTTGTTTTTTGTCCTCGACCTTGCTGCCCCTGGTAACCGCATGATCCTCTCAATGTCCAAGGCAATCGCCCAGTATGCATAGCGGCGTAGTCGGTTGAGGACAACAACTACCCCTCGGATCTGGCCTGCAATACTATCCCTTTCATCTGCATCCAGTCCGCCTTTCCTTACCATGGAGGCCTTAAGGGACCCAATTGTTAAGGCCTTGATAGGGTGCTTACTGCTGTAGCTGTGATCAACCTTCGTAGCATTCTTCAAGTTCCTAATTGGTGCACCTTCTTTTTTAGCCCTGTGGCGCTTCTTGCCTTTGTGCTTCCGCTTTTGTTTTTTCTGTTGCCTCTTTTTGCCTTTTTCCGACGTGGTGGATGCTTAAGGCCCGGCCTATCGTGCTGACGGCAGTTACTGATATCAACTGTGCGCCCATTCAATATGCTCGCCTTGTCAGAAAAGACGGGCCGAAACTGGTTCCTATGTGACCCTTCCGCTATATAGAATGATGGTGCGCCTCTACATTATCCAAGAAAGGGACTAACGATTAGTATTGGGGACGTATGGTTTCAAGGCTAAAACTATAGCTTGAGCTTTCTTACGTTCTGCGGCGCTGCGCTCGCCTTTGCTGAGCCATTCTATGGCGAAGATCCTTTCCATTGAGTAGACGCTGCTTGAAGCTATCGAACTCATTGTTCAATGGTAACGCTTGGGCCGACGTTTGATGGCCGGAAGTAAAAATGCGGAGAGCTACTCTGAAACGGCCTTCTTCAGAGGCTGCGTTCCTTCCCAACACCTTACTAGCTTCCCTTAGGTAGCCCCGAAGCATTTTATTGTAGTTCTCGTTCCACGCAACCTTTCGAATTAATCGAAGATTATTAACCGGGCCTAAGGTCTCGAGGTTCCTTGAGTAGTCATTGCCTGCGATGGCACAGAATAACACCAGATGCGCGTGTGATGGCAGTCTTAGTGCTTGGATAACGTTGTCTACATCGTAAACCCCAAACTTCCGTCTGCGGTGCAGAAGGGGTCGCACTAGGATGCAGACTCGTTCGTACGCAAAAAAATCAGAGTCTTGGGATATCACGATCCTATCATTCTCCTCATTATGGCACCCTATGCATGGGTCCGCTTCATATGCACACAGACAGACATCGAAGACAGAGCTAAGGCCTGTTGCCAGCTGATCCTTGTCCTGGACGCTGAGGGTGTGGACTTCTCGAAGACCCTTCTGGATGCGCCTCATGACTTGAGGACGAGTCCATACCCCACTCCGAGAATTTCTCTCGAAGGTGCTCATATCGTTCTCCAAAGCATCCATATTTTTTTCTCTTATGCCTTGCCGTTCTGTCCTTGCTTTTTCTTTCTCAGTACAAGGTTTCCTATCAATATGTATAGTCAAATTGTCCGTTATGAAAAGATCCTTTATCACGAGAGCCAGGGGCCTTCCTACATCAATGATGGATTCGTTTTTCATCTTTGCATGGACGACTCTGCGGAGGATGTCGTAATAGAAAGTACCGAGGAGATCTACATGAACAGAATGGTCAGGATTTGCCGCCAAGAAAGTGCCCACGTCAGTTTCCGAAGGTAAAACCCCGCGATCCGCAACCAGTTTGAAGAAGGACTTCAGCCCCATGGTCAATATCTAAGCGAAAGAGAAAGAAAAAAGGAAAAATAGTGGTGATGAAAAGAAATGAAAAAGAAAAAAAAGAGCGACAAAGGTATAAAAGGATGAGCTTTTTTATGGTTTAAAGATCCAAAGTGAATAGATAAAGGATATTGAGGGAAAGATACAGGAACAAGTGGCAGTGGTAAAAGGGATGGGACATTGAAGGAGGAAGACAATGATACCTTTTTATATCCTGGATTGATGATGAGTTTTATCCAGAGCGTCAAGCTTGTCGCTCTTTTTGGCTAGACTCTTTCAAATATAAATGGTTTACTTAACAAAATCCTTATAATTGAAAAAGGACTAACCAAAAAGAGCGACAAGCTTGACCCTCTGGTTTTATCATTGTCTCATATAGTTTTGATATCGATCCTTTGCTTCACAGGCCACATCAATCTTTATTCAGTTCCTTTGTTTGGATTGGGATTTTGTTCAAGTCAATAGCAGAGATTGACAAATAAATACAAGCTCTCGCATGAACGGCAGATTGGAAACAATAGCATTGAGATACCAAAGTGAGCATTCGAAAAAATCATCTCCATATACAGCATACAGTGTCGATGTCAATCCTTTTTACACAATTTTTTTTTTTTTCAGTTTCTTTTGTTTGCACTGGCCCTTGCTTTGTGCTTTGTGAGGAATTTAATGAATAAAAGAAGATTTATAATTTTGAACAGGGGTAATAAATGCATTGACAGATATGACTCGGTGATTATATCCTTGTCAAAGGTAACAACTAAAGAAAAAAAAGTCTTTTTTATCAGAGAATGGCTTCATATGATGCTCTTTGCTCCAACAGCCCCAGTACTATTGCATTAAAGCAGAGATATTCGTTGACTCTCAGATTCCGGCATCAATGGCGGAGATAGGAGTGATGTAGTTGCATGCGCTTATTGCTTGGAGTAAAAGCTATCTAAGCACCCTTTCTTACTGGACAATGCCTTGTTAATGGTGATATTGCGCAGCGCCTTGTGGATGGAGGGAGAGCAGAAGCGAGAGTGGTGGTTTTTGGCGGTCGTTTGGTGTGTGTATGTGTGAATTTGATAGTTGATACCAATCGCCAAAACATTTGCATCTAGAAATACAGAAGCGAGATTGGTACCGACGCATTTGATCCTTTCCTAGGGATTGTTATAACCATGGGATGATTGTGGAGTGGCCACCAAAATAAAGTTTGTCTGGAGGCACCAATGGAAAACGCTTGTGTTTTGAACGACGCCGCGATGTAAAATGTGTTTATACATGTACAGAAACCAAAGAGATGCTTCAGCTGCTTATTCGTGCACACAGTGATTGACGAACAAAAAAGGAAACAAGATTTGCGAAACAATAAAAAAAAAAGCCCGCGATAAAAGAAGGCATGTGCAGACAACAAATAAACACAGCAACTGTTTGCTCACATACATTTTTTTCACCGTTGTGTCTGTATCTCTTCTAAGCTTTCTGTCTGGCCGTTTAACACAAGGAACCCTCAGAAAGAGAAATACCTCGCATGATTAGGTCTGAAAACAACAATAATGCAATGCTGTACGTGGAAGATAGGGTCTAGAAACTATACTATTGTTATGCGGACTCACCGAAATCAACTTGTGATCACAACTGCTACTCATGCTCTCTTGCCAAGGACTTGAACAGGCATACCAACCCCTTCTTCCTTGCTCTCATAACCGCTCACATCCTTTCGATGCATTCTTTCGCCGTTTATGTCCACTACATCTGAGCCACACACAGTTCACCACTCACTCCAACAGAGATATTTGTATCACCTTGGGTATGATATGTTGCTGTGGTTCCCGGTTTCAGCAGGCCCAACAATCTCTATTAGCAGTGCTTACCAACCCAGATACATCAAGGGAACGCAAGAAGACGAGCAAGCAAACGATGTGACAAATCAAGTCTTGCCGAGCTGTACAGGAAAAGATCAAGTTAGTCAAGCTCTATGGTGCGGTAGAATGAATCGACTCAGATTGCCCTCCTTCCAAGTCGAGACTACGACAGCGAATATTATCACTGCTATTACACTAGTCAATAAATAAACGATACAATGGACTCCCAAGCGGATGCTAGGGTCATGCGAAAGTCTTCAAGAGTTTTTTATTTGCACAAACAAAGAAGCCAGGATAGCTCTATGACAATTTAGTTTTCGGTCATTTATTTCGACATCGAAATAAAATTTCAAGACAATGCCCATGGATTGCTGGATTTTAAGCCCATTTATAATGGCAAATTTGCCCTTGTTACGGACGAAGTTATAATAAATAAATAGGAAAGCGTTGCGAGGAATGAGATATTGTTATCCTTTACTCAAGTCGCTGACCCGAAAGGAAGCGTTTCAGAGACTCTTCTTCAGAACGTGCCCGACGCCCTTCTAGGTCCGCCTTATAGGCCTCAATATCCTCCTCTTCATCTGAATCAACCTCGTGTCTATATCTTGGTCTCCGTTCAAATTCGTCATAACCATCATCTTCATCTTCATCTTCATCTTCATCTTCGCCTCTATTTCTTTCGAGAGGATACTCGCCCTTTGTGCCATCAAACTTAACTTCCTTGCCTTTCTCTTCCATGGCCATATCTCTCATCAATCGTTCCATTTGCTCCTCTTTCTCCGCTTCTTTCCTCCTCCGCACCTCAGCAAGAACTCTCTCTAATTCTGGCTTATACTCTTCATTATATTCGACTACTGCCTCATCTACTGCCTTTAAGAATTCATCCATACCAGCTCCTGTTACAGCACTAACACCCACAACCTTTAAGTGAGAGTAAAATTCATCTAAAACTAATGACATTGAGTTCATCAGACTGCTCATGTATGTTGTATCCTTCCGCAATGCCTCTTGAAATGCCTCGAAATCCGTCATCCATTCTACTGCGAAGTCGTGTGATTTGACGTCGGTCTTGTTGAAAACTAGAATGAATGGAACTTTCGTCTTATAGAGAATACTACAGGCGTACAACATATTGCTCATAAATGTAGCTGGAGCAGCTGTGCGTGGAGTGTCGATGATATAAGCAACCATGGTGGGGTATGTAGCTGCCAAAGTGTCTGTAATGATGGACCCTGATGCTGACCATGTGAAAATTTCAATTTGACCAGGTGTGTCGACCAAGATGTAGCTATTTATTAAGTGATCATCCACAGTCCATCATAAATATCAACCATTCAGTTGTAACAAACATACTACTATTGCTCACAGGATTCCCTGAAGTAAAGCAAAACAAGATGCAGATCGATAAGAAAGAGTAATACTTACTCAAGGGACGAGGATCGCTTGTCAATGAAGCCAAGAACTTGGTCAAACTTTGTGGTGAACAAGTTCAAAGCTGTGAGAATACCACCATTGGGTCCAAGATTATACCTGATATATATGTGTATATATTTTTGAGAGAAAGAACGTAAATTCAAGAAAACCAGTGTGCCACGGCAAGCCGCATTAGCTCTGAATATCCCTTGCACACAAGTCATGAGCTTCACAAGAACAATTAAGAGACTTTTCGCGATCTGTATCTATATCCCACATACTGCTTCATGACTTCTTTGTAGTTAACAGTGTCGCGAATATCGATGTTGGCGGCGAAGGGAAGTGCAGCAACAGCAGGGTCGAGATTGAGAATGTATGGGGGCTGCTTCTTTGCATGCAGGTGAGCATTAAGGCGCTATCAAAATAAACGAAATATAGTCGTCAGCGTATGAGTCGAATGCATGCTTGGTTAATTCTTGTTTTAACAAAACAATGTAATGTGGAAAAGAAAAAAGTACCTGCATAAACGTTGTCTTTCCAGAGCCTGCCATGCCGATGCAGAGAATGACTGGAGGACGTCCAGCAGACTGTGTAGGAGTGTTGTCGCTCATATTTGCTATTGCTATTGCTGTATTGACAGTGTTAAATGAAGAGAATGAATAAACATACGCCTATCAAGCGCAGTGATTTAAGGCAAACGTGGCTTTGCAATTGTTTGTTTCTTCGTTCAAAGTGGCAGGATAGGTACAGCAATAGCCCATAGCCCGCAATCGTCCTCTTTCTTTTGCTAGATACACACTTGTGCGTTAGATCTTTTTTTCCCTTTGTTTGTGCCAGAAGGCCCAATATATCAATTCTTGGATGCCTTTTCTTTAGTGATCTAGCTATCTGTAATCGAGGACGTTTTGAACCAACCCTAGCTATCAAATGCCATTCCCTAGCAAGGTCCTGCAGATGCGCCTTAGGGTCTTCTCACTGAATGAAGCATCTTATCTGGGGTCATGTATGGGTATGGCCTTAGAGGGTTCAGAGCTGGAACAGCAGCCCATCAATCCGTGGGTTGTCCTATTTAAAAGGAAGGGCTACTTGCTTACATTTCTGCGCCATATTTACTGACACCAATAACCGGAAATTTTCCTGTAGTCTTTTAATCGTAAATACTGGTACTAGTGTACACTAATGATCCAGACAGCGCCTGTGGAGACAACACGTTGTGCACGAACCATGTAGTCTTTGAGACCATCCTCCTGTTGACAATGAATTGAGCTGCAAATACCGCTGCGTAGTGTTATCACATGTGAAAACTTTAATATTGAGATAACCATATTCACCTGGCAAACCTTCCACGGAATACACCATTAGTTTAGCAACTGCAACTGGACATGACATCGGGCGGAATGGTTAGCATTGTAGTCGTGCACACCTGGCTCAATGTGACATCTCGCCTGTCAATCGAAATCCCTATAGGAACCCCGCCCATAAGTCGTGTCTGTAAGTAATCGTCATGGGCACTTTAATAGATGTACAGTCACATGAAGAAATTTTACGGCAAATTCTATTTTTTTTGTAATTTTTTGAGCACCCTTGACAAACAGATCATAGACAACATACACAAAGACTTTATCAATCAACATGAAACTTTAGAATTCGTTAAAGAGGTCGATTTTGTTTCTTTATGGAGGTTTTGAGGATATACTGTATGAAAGGTAAAAGTACTATGTGGGTTTAATAATGAGTGTGCCCACCTTTAGCCTTCCTCACTTCTTTCAGCCTGTTGGGCATGGAATCAACAAGGCTTGCCAGTTTCTCTTGTGGCAAATTATTCCACTCCTTAGTAAGAGCTACTGCGAGACTGGGGAGATCTCTTGGTCCTCTGGAGCGCTTATCGAGTGCATTAGCGAGAAATGACCATACACGCTCGATGGGGTTTATATCCGGAGAACATGCTGGCCAGTCTGGAATCCTAGAGATGTTGTTATTTTCACGCCATTCTTTTGCTATCTTACAAGTATGGACTGGAGCATTATCCTCCATGAGAATGCCGCCCTCTACTTCAGCCATAAACCTGATTAGTTCAACTTTATATACATCTTCCACAAAACACTGCCCATCTCTACGACCTCGTTTAAATATAACCAACCGAGACTTTTTGGTTGATGTGAATGCCCCCCAGACCATCAAGGATGTTCTACCACTCTTGAAAGTGGGTATAAGGCAATCGTGGTCGTACTTTTCCTCCGCCGTACGCCAAACTCTTATCTTACGGAAATTCTCGCCAACTTCAAATGACGATTCATCAGTCCAAACTACCCGACTCCAATCTTCATTGGACCAACTCTCGTACTTTTTGGCAAAAGCCAGTCGCTTCTTCATATGATCTTCATTTAAGTATGGTTTTGGAACCGCGATCCGGCTGAAGATACCCAGTGAATGCAATATCTCTGCAACGGTCCTTGTGCACACTTTCTTCGCCAATTGATTGGTGATGTCCTTAAGAGTGGCTCTCCTTTCTCTCTTTGTGCAGCGCACTATGCTCCTGATATCTCTTTCACTCAGTGCTCTTGGTCGTCCTGGGGCGGGGGCGCGAGCGGTGGTACCTCTTTTGTAATATCTTTGAATAATAGTGTAGACCGTTGATCTTGATACATTACGTTTCAGCGCGATCTCCGCATCCTTCATTCCCGCAAGATGCATTCCAACCATGATAGCTTTATCCTCGATATCCAAATTTAAAGGCATGGTGGTTTTTTCAAGTTGTTATTGTTGTGAAAAATGAGAAAAAGAAAGAGAGAGGATGATGCTATCTTCGCGTCAATTATTTTCTAAATTTATTTTGCCGTATAATTTTTTCATGTGACTGTACAATGACCATTGGTGGCTTATCTAGAGACCCAACTCTATTGACGCTATCTGTCACAATAGCCCCAGTGGAAGTGGATATGGTATTCCCATTCATCACAGCTCTTGTAATAACCTTATTGATTGTGCTAGCGATGATCACAGGCTTATTAAATGTCAATATTCTAGAGTCTGTCACTGTTCGTACGCTATATACCTTTGCCTTCATCGTCTCCTTTCTTAGAGCCCACTATCTACCATTCCATAATGAGCTACTGCGCATTAAAAGAACGCTTTTCAGATCGGATGTCGACTGAAATACTGTCTTATTCTACGACATGACGCGAATTGTGGAGATGAGCGAACTAACTGAGATCAAAGTTTATTGTTTATAACCCTTTTCATTCTAGTCTTTTCATTTCTTTGTCTCACTTGAGCTTCAGCTTTAGAGTCAAAATCTCAAATGCATGCAAAATGATCCATCCTGAGGTCTTTTGATTCTTGTTGTAGTCTACAGGGACCCCTTCATCTTCCATGATATTACATCTATGGATAGTCTGGATATCTAGTACACTTTAAAATGACCCACAGAATATACAACATGTTAGCAGGTGATAATGTAAATATCACTATTAGAAGGATCTAAAGCTTCGTATTATATACCTCTTGAGCTTAAACATGGCACGGCCACCAAAAGCTTCATGTAGTCGTAATATGACATGGTCCGAGTCCTCAGCTCTTTTGATCGTATCCAGTACTACATTCCTGGCGCCTTCGATCTTGAAAGCTGACTCAGGCATACGCTCAGCCCGAGCATCCTGAGATACAGCCCTGCACAAAAGCAAGCACATATATCACGTATATATAAGGTTCAAAGTAGTCTCATTAGTTCAAAGGGAAAGGTCTGCAGAATCTACAGGCTACAGGATATACAGTAATTTGTTTCAACAGTAGCAAGGCCATATGAGGCTTACTTGACAACCATTGGCGCATTGAACTGATACGATTCACGCACTACGTTCGACTCATGAAATGTCCCCTTGTGAGGATAAATTGCGAATGAGAACTCATGATGCCCTACACAGACAAATTAAACAAATGAGAAAGGACTTAGGACCAATTGAAGTACTGTAGCCAATTTACTGAAAAGAGGAAAGGACTATAAAGGTACTCACCCATATCACAGTTAAGATCTGGAGCTTTAGGCGAACGCAGTAATGATAGCCGCATCATATTCCCATGGCATGAATATCCAAACTTACTGTCATTGAGCAGCGCCACACCATACCCATGCTCTGAGAGATCTGCAAATTTGTGTCCACAGACCTCAAACTTTGCATAATCGTGACTAGTGTTGTAGGTCGTAGTACGCTGTACAATACCAAACTGTGAATCGTACGTTGCGAAATCAGAACAAATATCCCATATAAACTCAGCTTTCTATAAACATGTAAATAGGCGAGATAAAGAAGAACGGCGTGGGTTAAGACCATCTACGCATTTATACGTTTATAGTAAATCCAACGTGTATCTTTGGGAATGATGGAATGAGGAAAGCGTGTTACTTACCAAAATAACACGGTTCTCGTGCCATTCTACCTCCATGTGAAAGTCGAGTCGCGGTGACACAGCACTCAGCACAATACTTTGTACAGCTGTGCTATTCTCTGACAGCGTATGATTGACAATAATAGTCGCCCTTAGCGGACCCACTTCTTCGATACGAGCTTTCGCAGTGCCTGCATTTCTTCCAGTGTTGAGATGATAAATCTCTACATCCCATGCATCCCAGTAGAGTGGAACATCCTCAAAAAACTTTAGCCTGTTGCCTGCCTGACCTTCAGGAATAAGTTCACGGACCTCTTGTTTATCGTAGAGACCGATCAGATGACCTTGCTGGTTAAACTTGGCTACGATCCAGCTGTTCTCCAGGATAATATGCTGGCCTTCGGTAAATGCTTATAAGTTTGGAAAATACAACGCGATTAAGGATAAGGTCTGCCAGACCATTTCGAGCAAGGGCTATTTGATACAATCATTCACAAATGCTTTACTTTACCTCGGACTCCCTCCTTTTCCGCCTTGGAGCCAGAAATCTCTTTGAAGGAGAACCCTTCATTTTCAACTATTCGCGAGTAAGTATAAAGATATAGTCCGAGATTGATAAGCATATTTTGGAGCAAACAAGATAGTCCAAATTAAAAAGTGATGAGCTTACCCTCAGCGTATCCTATGCTCTTGTCTGCAGAGTATTGTTGTAAATTATCTCCTGGCCGCACCGGGACCTCAAGGATTTCAGATCGAGACCAAGCTAAAGTGTTGAATGCTACATATCGTGCTTCGCCTCCTTCAAGCTGCGATGAAGATTGATAAAGCGAATGGAGACTATTATCTAGTAGCTTTGTTGCTGGACAGGTGCGTGTACGATTATCGAATAGAAGGTTGGTTGGCATTTTAATGGTCAGTATTATCGTCGGAATCTCTCTGAAATGCCCACTATTCATTTGTCCTCTATGGCTACCATGGAGTACCTTTGGTCTCAATTGCTTTGTACAAGGCACGAGCATCGATATTGGCGAGTTCAATAGCCGACCCTGGGAGGATGTCGTGAAATTGATTCCTGTATTTCTTGAATTAGTACAATAAAACCAGGTTGCGAATTGAAGAGCTAAGTCGTAACACTTACAATAAAAGATCCTTCCACAAGGAATCGAGTTCTTCCTTAGGGTATTTAAACCCACTTCTTCCAAAGCCAAGGCATAAGGTTGCAGCAATTTCCACATCACGAAGGAGGAACTCAAGTTTCCTGTTGTACTTTTTGGTTGCTGCTTGCGAGGTGTAAGTGCCACGGTGAAGCTCAAAGTACTTTTACATGGATTATAGCATATCATGGAGCCGATCAAAAGTAATTAGTAATAAAAACCTTGATCCTCGGGCAACAAAAGAGTTTAAAAAAAAAAAAAGAAAAAAAAAAAAAAAGGCACGAACAGGCTCCTTACAAGCTCACCCTTCCACTCCTGCAGTCCCTTTGCCTGCCTCTCTACATTCTCAAAGAAGCCTTCAGCACTTCCTGATTTACAGCGAGGTATGCCGTCCTGGAGTAAAAATTTGGAAGGAATAAAAAAAAAAAAAAAAAAAAAAAAAAGCAATTTCATTCAATAGTTGTATAATTTCACTGTATCTGAAGGATTGAAGATATAAATGAGTACAAGGCTATCTATGGAAAAACGCCTGCTTACAAGATTTGCCATGCGCCGAATACGCTCTAACATAGCGCGTTGGGGCCCTCCGCCACCATCACCATTACCATAAGGCATCAGACTTTGGTTGCTGTAAGCTGTGTCGCGATTATTCTTGACGCTATCCAAAACATCATCGTGTGTCATTAGAATATTAAGTACTGATGTACATGTTTAAACAAGAGCTTCCTTTATCATTGAAGCACATCTAACCTGCGGATCATGTCGGAAACATCAGCTTGCGCGGTATAACTATATCAAGCAACAAATTATAAGTTTCTAAAACATTATGATTTCACTCAATATCAACAGAAAACCTACGTCTCGCATGGCGCCATGTGAGTCAAAACCTTCGTTCCATCAAGGCCCACCCAAGTAAATGTCGTGTTGGGGAACTTTAAAAAAAAAGTATAATAACAAAGGTGGAGGGTTAATATACTAGGAGTCATGCCAAGCACATTGATTCCAACCCATGATATAAATAGGTATCTAAATTACCTTGTTTATATTATTCCAAGACAGTTTTTGCGTGAAAAAGTATTTAGCACCGGCAAGTGTAAGGATTTGAGGCAACTAAAAAAAAAAAAAAATACAAAACACATCAAGGGATGCTTCAGTGTCCCTTTCTCCTAAACATGGAAAAGCTTTTCGTAGCCTCGTTTAATTAATACCTGAGCAGAATATCCGAATGTATCTGGAAGCCAAAAAATTTTACAGCGAGACCCAAAATTTTTTTCATAGTATCGTTGGCCATATAAAAACTGACGGCAAAGCGCTTCACCACTGGGCAGGTTGCAGTCCATCTCAACCCATGTGGCTCCAATGACTTGAAAACGGCCTTTTTCTGAAGCCGCCTGGATCTCTTTGAATAGTTCTGGATAATCCTGGGAAAGCCACTCAAGCTGCTGCGCTTGTGAACACACAAAAACATACTCTGGATAGTCCTCCATAAGTCGTAATTGTGTGGACCAACTGCGGGCAGTCTTACGGCGTGTTTCAGCATACGGCCACAGCCAAGCGGTATCAATATGACTTATTCATAAAAAAACCAAAATAGAATAAAATGTTAGCAGAATTATACTTGATCACAATGCAACGGCTTGTAAACAACCAGCATTCAAAAAATGTTAAATGATGGACACGTATTTGACACCACATACCAGTTCCCGACCGCCGTGACCGTATGAACCCCTGGGGCAGCTTTCTTTGACAAAAACTCGCTACTGATTTCAAGACATTTCTTTAGTGAAACATCTATGTCTCGCCTATTGAAGTTGTCAATGATATTGTTACAGGCATAAAGAGCCTCTTGAGCACGGACATCCTCGTGAGGAAGCTCGTTTGCTATACCAAGTATGACCTGCATATCGTAAAAGAGCTGCCAGGCGGCTTTATTTGGAACTGCAATCTCGACTGCTCAAATGTAGAATGAATGTTCAAGTAAGAATACCGAAATATGCAAAAGGATAAGGTTATCAAAAAGCTGTTGCATTTAGAAAAGCAACGAGTTTACCTTGGCTGAGCTGGAAATATCTGTTCTCTTCAGGCGGATTGATTACCCCATCCTTGCCAGCACCAAACATGCCATTACAGGCCATTTCAATCAATAGCTCAATGATCTCTTCACCTTTAGCTTTTTTCGTGAGAGTATATTCGACTCGTCGATCGTTACCCTCTTGTTAAGAATGACCGAGGAAGAATTAATATAAATATCTTCGTAAACACACGTAAGATATATATAAAATACAATAAAAAGTAATTTCCGAACATACTATCGCCTGTCAAACCCTGACGGGGTATGCCCTCTGTGGACCAGACCATGGCTTCGCTGTTTGAATCCCATAGCAATTCGACGTGCTCTCCAGACCATTGTTTAGGGACAGTGATCTTGAGCTTAAACCAATGCGTACTCTACAAGATTTAAAGTTTGTCAATGAATGACATCGATTGAATAGATTCTTGTGAATTGGTCATTTGATTTAAGATAAACGTTAAAATACCCAGCTGGGACCAAATTTGGTGCCCGGAATAGTTGGTTTGAAATTCTGTTTTATGGCTTCGTCGAAAGAAATACGTCTAAGGTCAGGAACAGAGTAAACTGAGAGCTCGATAGCTTCAGTTGATCGCTTGGAATAGAGCTGTGAGAAGAGGTTAATGTCGCTATAAATGTCGGGAGAGCTGAACTTGGCGGCACGATCTAGTGTGATAGACCGTATGAACCTCGGGTGCGCGCTAAGAGTAGCCATGACACTCTTATATATTGTATGGTTGATCTATTGTTCTCAGATGGAATAACCGAAGGGACAAGTTATAAAAGGTAAAAAAAAAAAAAAAAAAAAAAAAAAAAGCAGCTAGGAAGAGAAAAGATGAGATGTCGAAATGAATGAAATGGACACATCCATCCATCTTCTTAGCAGTTCACATCCAATAAAAACATTCCCACGCCTTTTGTTCTCGTTTATTGAACTACCAATTAATCGCGCTAGATCATGGTCACATAGACGCACGAGGTCCATGCGCTTGTTTTCCCTATTTCCACCAATACCCCTCTATACACATTTCACTGACACGACAATTCTATTGTGAATACGTCTTTTCGCCGCATCGTGAACTTGCATTTGCTGGATGGTGGTTTTTTTATTTTTTATTTTATTTTTTTTATTCTAGCAATGCCTCTGACATTTTTAACTATTAAAGGCCTTTCACTATCGCACATTTCTAAGCAAGGACAACATTGTGTGTGAACTATATTACTAACGTACTGTAGATGGTGGGGATTAATGTCTGTTTTGCCTAGCGTTCGGCCGTTCTTTCAGGGTCGTTCCGCGCGGCATTCTGAAAGGCTTATCACCTCTAGACCATAGAGCAGGTCCTATCGCTAGACTTCTCCCTCGAGATATTGGCGCTATTTAGTGTAGTAAACCTGCTCTCCCGCTGGGAATTGAACCGCCAACCTTCAGTTGTTAGTCGGGTGCTGGGTGGCAGGCATTGATGCTAAACGGAGATCTTTTTTTCAACATTCAATTGTCGTCAGGTGTCACGTTGAATCCTTAACATACTTCAAAATTGTCTGTTGGGACATTGGATAGTCCATGCATTTATTCAGACCTGACGCATTGTCCATCCCTGTAGTCAAACTCGTGGATGCACATTGCAACCTTATTGGGCAACTTATATGCAGACTAAATGTTAAAAAAGATCTATGAACATCATTCTGTGCGGTATCTGGCTCCGATGACAGGGGTTCATGGTTTCGACCAAGTTAATACCTCGTAAGTACATTCAATTTATGGAATGTTGACTACTTTATACTTCATCTCAGTTTCGAAATATCACGCTGTTCTTCATTGCCACCTTCATGTTCAATATAGTTCTCCTCAATTTTAAACTTTATGGTCCCCAGAGAGGTACCCTAACAGCACTGGGTAAGTTGGGAACCATCCTGACTACATTTGGATTAGCAAGCTATATAGGTCTCCGAACCTGCTTAGATTTTGATTATGGTTTTAAAAACAGACTGACAAAGATAGAGATGTCACCAGCACACAGCAGGATGAACAATGTGTTACATGTTCTTCGATAGTACCTACTTATGTATTCGTTGATATATTCAATATATTTTAATATATCTATCATGGTAGTAACCCATCTTCTAAATAGCATTGAATGTTACTTGGAGGCACGGATGTTGCTCGATTCTTCGTTTTCAGGGAACTACTCCGATTTAGAGTACTGCCCTAGTAAAGACTGGTGACAAGTTTGGATAGCATGCATTCCTGCTCCAGATCCCCGGATTTTGCGTTACCATGGTTTTGGGCTTTCATTTTATGTTCATCATCCCAGAAACCAAGAGACTATCCTTGGTCCACCATCTTCAGCTATTGTTGAGCCAATTAGATCAGTTTTGACATTCTTAAAATAAACCCCTGAGCTTTATATTGGCGTGTTGGTATAAATATTCATTCCTTTTCATTTGATTTTTTTTTTTTTTTTTTTTTTTTTGGGTTAATGGAACAGAAAGTACATTGAGTTGAATTAATAGGAGCAAGCAGCTGAAACCGTAATGGTGTTTATCCTAGTTGCTTTTTTGGTCAGATGGTCCTCACTTTTTTTTAAATTGCAGTGTTGATGTGTGGGGTAAAAGTGTACCTTTCTGGAACCTGACTATGTAATCAAGCTTGTGCACGATCTAGTTTACTTCAATCACGAATCATTCTTCATATCGTATTTTTGGTGGCAAGGAGAGAAAGAGAAAGCACATCTACAAGGTTTGTGAAGCGAATATCTCGATCGTCACTCGCGTGGATGCTCTTTTTCTTTTAGGGACCCTTGTAGGACACAGCAACTCAATTGTGCATAGTTGATGATAATGAACATGGTGGGACAAAGAAATAGGTTCCTAATCGATGGCTGTTATGGAATTGATGATAAATGGGACAAAATATGACTGCAGTGTTACCGAAGAGTGCTTCTTTGGGTAGGCAATTCTTTAGTTTTGTTGATTGTTTATTCATTGTCGAATACAGTTTCCTGTTTGGAAAAAAAAAATAAAATAAGAAATAAAAAATATAAAAAAAAAAAGGTAAAAAGTAAAAACGTGCTTTGTGAGGGTGTGTCCCATGCGTGTGGTGCGTATATGTTTGCATACAATGCTGAAAGTCTTGAATGTGAAATGCGCAAATAGCCTGGTGTGGCACAAACACGCGCTGGCTGGTTGGTTGGGGGACAAGAGAGGGAATAAAGTCAAAAAAAAACGGGTCCTTTTGTCCCTTGTTTTTCCATGATAAAAAAAAATAGTGTTCATTCCCAGCAAATGCAAGAAATGCAATGCTGCAAGACATTCAATTGAACAAACATTAAAAGGAAAGGGAAGAGAAGCAAAGAGAGAGAGAGGGAAGGAGAGAGAAGGGGTTAAAAAAGCTGAACGAAGACGGATCTATCCAATCGAACGGCTGGATCGAGCCATTCTCTTCTTTCTTCCTTCACTGTCTTCACACTTTGTCTTCACACTCTCACACTTGTCTTTGCACTCTCACACACTCCTTCACCTTTCATATAAAACTACATTTTAACCCCCCCTTTCTTCTTTCTCTCTCTCTGTCTCTCTCTGTCCCTTCCCTCCTCTACTCTTTTTCTCTGATTAAAAAAGATTCTCTTTATCTTTACCTCCTTTTTTTTTTTTCTTCACTTCATTCTTCCTTGACTGTTCTTTCTTTTTTTTTTTTTTTTTTTTTTTTCCTTGACACGATCGTTCAATTGCTCTGCTTTTTGTGAACAGTTGTAACCATATCTTTATACAATTATTCTTTTCTTCCCTATTGTGTCGTAATCATCGTGTGGTTCTGGTTTCTTTTCTACGTCTCTTTCTCTTATCTTTCTCCTCATCTCTCTTCTTCTCCTCCTTCTCCTCCTTCTCCTTCTCCTTCTCTTTCCCTTAATTTGTAAAGAAAGAAAAAATACATTCCCCATTCTTTCATTCACTTACATTCCATTCCTTATTCTTTTAAACTTTTTTTTTTTTTTTTTACCCTTATAATTTTATCATATTTCATTTGACTTGCAGGATTGACTTTTTTTTTTATTTTACTTCTGGCTATTTCTGTGTCTCCTTGCTTTTCTTTTTCTTTTTTTTTGTACGTGTTTGTGTGGATTGAATCTTTTTTTAAATCACCCTTCCTTGGGCTTGGACTCTCGACCAACTCCTTGTCGCTGTGTTGGCTTCTGTTCTTTTGATTGTCAAGCGCGTGTTCAAAAAGGACCACCTGCCACCAATTTTTTTTTACTTTTAGTTTAAGCTTTAGCTTCCTTCCACAACCCTTACTGTTGACCAGACACTTCCTGGAGAATTAAAGTCCTCATATCAACCTGGGTTCATTTCCTCTCTTTTCTTTACAATTCCCTTCTCTTTCCATACCCTTTATCTTTTTCTACATACTTTTTATTTTTTTTTTTTTTTTTTTTTAAACAAACATCCGGAAATAACATTATCAAGGAATTCAGCGAGACATAAAAAAGTGAGCCTCTTTTTCTTTGCTGTTGTAGCTCGTCTGCTCTTTTTCTTTTGGACACTGTCTTTTTTATCTGTTGCTCTTGCTTTGCTCTGCATCAGCCAACACCCTTTTTCGCTTGCTCATTCTACCTGCTTGTTTGTTGACATCTTTTATTCTTCTCTGTTTGCTTCATTGCTTTGCTTCCTTGCTTCATTGTTGCATTCTTTTCTTCGTTTCTAAATCATTTCAGCAAGATGCATACCCTCGACCTGTCTATTCACCCAGTCACCTCGACTCTCAAGATGCTTGCCAGCTTGCTAGAACGAATTACTACCGCCAATGACAAGATCAAGCAATCTTTGCCCGAGCCAGAGACACCACTCGTCATGACTCCTGCCCAGCATCAGATCCATACCTCGTTCACGCGCTTTCATGCAAGGTCGATTCCTTCCATCAGTATTAATGCCTACCTCACTCGTATTCTCAAATACTGCCCTTGTGCAAACGAGTGTTTCCTCAGCTTACTTGTATATTTTGACAGGATGGCTAGGAATGTAGAGGAAATCACAGGAGGCGAGGGGCGTCAGTTTTCAATCGACAGTTACAATATCCATCGTCTAATCATTGCTGGTATCATGGTCTCTGCAAAGTACTTTTCCGATGTCTTTTTCACCAACTCCAGATACGCAAAGGTAAAAAAACTCTACATTAAATCAAATCAGGCAATCTTCCCATCAAATCCTCCTATTTGGACGTGAACTGCAGCTGCATAGACGGATATTGTGGGCTGCAAACAGACAGTCAACGAAGCGCAATCACCTTGCTCGAAACAAGAACGTGATTAGCTGAGCAGTCTCCTTGTTCAGAAAAATACATTGTTTTCTTTTTCTGGATTTTTTTTTCTCACTGGACACAAAAAAAAACGAAACAGCAGGTTCTTCGAGAACATATTTTCAGGGCCTTTTTTTTTTTTCTTTCTTTCTTTTTTTTTTTTCTGACTGGGTGCTGCCCAAAATGAAGACTAAAGATTCCCACAGGGTCGCGGAAGCGGGGCGTGGTACATCAGTTCAAGACAGTAGGGATTCTTGTTACTGGAACTTATTGTGTGATAATGTGTTTTCTTGTGCTGGATACACATCTTTTCGCCGTTTTTTGTGTGTGCATGCTTGAGTAGAGCAAGCCAGGAATAGATGAATTTCTGCAAGGAGCTAATAGAAACACCTCTAACTGTGATCCTTATTCCACTTTTTTTTTTTTTTTTTTTTTTTTTTTTCGTATCCTTAGGTCGGAGGTCTTCCTGTATCAGAATTGAACCAATTAGAGGTCGAGTTTCTAACACTCAACAACTTTGCACTGGCCATCTCTATTGAAGAGCTTCAGACCTATGGCGATCAATTGATGAAGCATTGGATGTGCGAGGAGGTTGCCAATAGAGATCCAGAGGACGAGAGGCCTTCGCCATCAATGCCCGCTGCATTACCTGCACCACCGCCATCTGGCACTCAAGATCAATATAGTGATGAACCTGAGCTTGATGGCCAAGGACAATCAGAGCAAAGCTATCAGATATCAAGACATGTCTCGTCAAGACCACAGCAAAACCATGACAATGGTCGAAAAGAGCTGAATAGCAGACAAGAAACTGATCACAGAGCACAAACAGCATCACAGTCTAGACATGATTATAGACATCATGCTAATGAACCCCGTCATGAACAACACAGGCGAGAACATCGGCCGGAACACACGCGTGAATACAGACAAGATCATCACTCTTCAACTCAACATCAGCAGCAATATGCTTCTCATTCGCAGTCGCAACACCAACAGCATCTTCACAAGAATGGCAGTAGTCGTCAATACAAACAAGGTCATGATGCCGAATACAGCTCAGACGGTGGCCGGTACCATACATCTCAACAGACACCGATCACGCCAACAGAAATGACCCATGCCAATCGACTTGCCGCACCCTCACCCATTCATTAGCATGCATACCACCAATCTGTACAAGGAACATAATAAATTCAATCATATACAAAAAAAAAAAAAAGTGTCAGCTTATCAAAGATAGTCATAATAATGTTTGACTTTTTATTATTCATTGGAGATTAGTGCAAAAGAGGCATGACAACTTCAGGCTCAATTTGGAGTAGCTTCATGAAACAAGCTCACATGTAGTTGACAAAAGCTCACTCAGTACCATACCGATGCCGTTTGAAGCAATTTTACCTCATCTTTTTAATTTAGACAGGGCATATTGTTGATCATTTATTTTATTCATGCCATACACCAACACAGATTCCCATTCCTTAAAACTACAAATGGTATGTATAATATCAACTTTTCGTAAAGAGATATGTGATTATTATTATATATACAACCCTTAGTCAATGTCTTTACTCAAGTCTAGCTGAAAGATAAGCGTTAACGTCCTTGGTTAATTAACGATGTAGTGGTACAAAGGAATAATTAAATTTCGGATCGTCCACGACAGGACATTTCCACATGCCAATTGAGGTCTGATAATTTATTCAAGGGGAAAATTCAAATGAACCAACTGTACTGAATACATGAGCAAGTTGTTTTGGACCCTTTTAAACAACTTTTTGGGATATAAGAGATGTGTAACAAAGATATTCCCCAAGTTGCAGATTAGAGAAATCAATTCATTTGCAGAGAGGGGAACAAAACAGTATATTGGTAAAGCTATTGTTGACACATAAATGAATCCTTAAAACCCGACTTTTTTTTTTTTATTTTTTATTTTTTTTTTATTTTTGCAATAGGGAAATCTATCACGGCAGCGTATATACAATATGATATTCTGGTAGAGGCCTCATTTGGTTTACTTGGACAGAATATAGTCCCTGCCAATGCGAGACTATAATGTAGATAGATCTCAATAAGGTAGGGCTGACTATCCCTGTCGTCCTCAAAGGAAACTTTAGTGTAAAAAAATAAGGTTTAAGACCCTTAATATCAAATATGCTTGATTATTCTTTTATTTTATTTTATTTATTTTTTTCATTCACACTTTTTTAAAATGACTGACGACGGCATCAAGAGATCTGCTACAGGAATTCCAATTCCCGGCCCTGAGAGGCCCAGCCGTCCAGATTGGGCGCTTGATGACAAGGATTTCCTAAAAGAAATGGACAATATCCCTCTGTTCATGAAGTCTCTGCCCGAGGACGCTGACGAGAACCCCCTTATTCAAGCATTACAAGATTTAGCATTTGATGGAACACCTGAAGGTAAAAAAAAGTTTTTTCCTTTGATTTTACTGTTTCTATTTTACTACTTTATTATTTTCTCTACCCTTCATCTTGAATTGACTAACTAACCAATGGGATTTGTCTATGTTGATGCATGTTCCTGAACTATTGTAATCAACATACATTTATGTTTCTAGAGGTGGCGGAGAACTTCAAGAATCAAGGAAATGAATGCTTCAGACAAGGGACGAAATACTACAAGGATGCTCTAATGTATTATACTAGTGGATTGGAAGCTTCCTGCAAAGACGATAGACTTAATGAGACTCTTTTAGTCAATCGAGCCGCCTGTAATCTGCACTTTGGTATGAACAAAGACAGTGTGATCGCTTACTCTGTTTTGCTCATCTACCTTTCTTCTTTTGGCTTATTTTATTTTATCTGTGCCGTCTACTCATGATACCACATCAATAGGCAATTATCGCAGAGTGTTGACGGACTGCGGGAGTGCATTGAAACTAAATCCAAAGAATGTGAAGGCTTTGTTCCGATCGGCCAAGGCATTACTTGCACTTGAAATGTATCCAGAGGCTCTTGATTGCTGCGATCATGCACTTATACATGATCCAGACAACCGGGCTGTGAAAGATGAACGTGTCAAGATCCAAGCCGAGTTTGATCGGAAAGAGAAATTAAGGCGAGAGAAGGAAGAACGAGAGCGCAAGATCCGGGAGAAGAAGGAAATGATTGAAGCTGCATTAGAGAAACGAAAGATCCGGACAGCGTCCACACCAGGATTTAAGCCAGATCATCCTCACGAGATTCAATTGGATCAAGAGATGGATCAATTGACTATACCGACATTTTTTTTGTATCCAGAGTATAATGAGTCAGATTTGATCCAAGCGTTTAATGAACAGGATACGATTGGAGAACAGTTGGCAGAAATCTTTTATGATCCAGCGCCATGGGATCCTGAACATAAATATCGTCCAGAAACAGTGCAAACTTATTTTGAGACAGAGGATCAAGGAGGTAATATTGGGCTGATGAAAGTTGGACTGAATGTCAAGTTCTTAACAGTCTTATCACATTCAAAGCATGTACTGCGGGATGGCATCGCACGGTTTATTGTAGTGCCCAAAGAAGATAGTCAATGGAAAAAGGACTGGCTGGCTAAGTATGGCAAGTAAAAAAAGTGAAATAAAAAAAAAAAAAAAAAATCAACTTGAACAGAAACCAGAGCGGTCACACCAACGATAAACAAATCCGGACATGAGCAGTCATGAACTTGTTTGAGTTCCTGATTTGCATGCACTTTCCTTTGAACCAAGAACACTCTTTTCATTCGTTCCGGGCGACGCCACTCCCTGTACCACTTGTAGCTCTCTCTTTATTTTACTTCGTTCTCATTTTAATTACACGCAAAGAGAGGCACATACACTTTCGTATATTGTCATATTTTCTTGATTCCTATTCTGTCTATACACTTACACTTTGGCATCAGAAGACAACAAACGAATAAATAAAAACGCGCCATGCATCACGGAAAGCATTTTCGTCGTCTTAATAGGACATCATCACATCGCAAGTCGATGTTCCGCAACTTGGTCACACAGTTGATTCAACATGATCGCATCAAGACCACATTACCCAAAGCTCAGGAACTGAAGGCGATAGCTGATCAAGTAATGTGTAAACTTTGAAAATTAACTTCCAAAAAAAAAAAAAAAAAAGAAGTGTGTGTGGATGTTGTGCGTATTTTTAATTATTTCTGTTTGAAAGGAATTGGAAGGAATGGAGCATGATGGGTACATCTTAATTTTATTTATTTATTTATTTGATTTGATTTGTATCTTTAAACAAAGATGATCACCCTGGGAAAGCGTGGGGATTTACACGCCAAGGTCCAAGCCGCTTCGTTCCTAAGAGTATGTTGCTTTTTTTCTTTTCTTTCTTGGACTTGCTTTACAAATAATTAATATGCCATTGTTAAAACATATATCTTTCCTCTTTTATTATTACTATTACTATTACTATTACTATTACTATTACTATTACTATTACTATTACTATTACTATTATTATTATTGTTATTAGGAGCATGAGACTACACTTCCGAAGCTGTTTGGTCCTTTAGCAGAGCGTTTCAAGAATCGTAAAGGCGGCTACACTCGTATTCACAAATTGGGCAATCGATTTGGTGACAATGCTCCTGTGGCTGTGATTGAACTAATTGATGGTCCAGGCGATCTTAAGAACCAGATGTTGTTTAAGGCTCTGGCCAGACAGGAGGCTATCAAGCCAGGATCTATTAAGGAGATTGTGGAAGCGAACTTGAATAAAGCATCATCATCGTCGACAAAAACAACAGCAACAGAAACAGAAACAGCAACAGTGACAGGAACTACTGTAGCAAAAGCTGCTGCTGCCTTCAAGAACAAGGCTTTGGCTCGTCATATCCCAAAGGTTATGAGCTCCAATAAATGGGAGTTGAATGATCTGGAGGCTAAGGTTAGAGAGCTGTCAATCCAAGGAGAAAACAAGATCTTTGATGCCACTACCACCTCAACAAAGGCATAAGCAACAAAAAAAAAAAAAAAAAAAAAAAAAAAAAAAGTCTCGCGGATCAGAATGGACAAAGAAGCAATCCAAGCTTTTCGAATGGGCGGTAGCTGGCAGACAAAGGAGCTAATCAATGCAGACTCATAGCTCCATTTTCTTTTCTTTCTTTTCATTGATTTTAACAATATAGATATTGTGTTATTACTTCTTTTTCCTTCATTTATCTCTTCATTCAAAATTTCTGAAAAATCTATATGTACAGTTATTAATGTGATGTCTGAACAACATGAAGCTGAAATTGTATGTGTAATGCGTATTGCGTATGTCATGTTTGTCGCGAACGTCGTGATTTTTTTTTTTTTTTTTTTTTTTTTTTTTTACACCGGAACCCAGTCCTTAGGTGCACGCAAAACCTCCATGAGTTTTCCATGTGCTTGGAGATCGATATCATGCATGTACTCCCATCGGGCTGTCAAAGGCATCGACATCATGATACTCTCTATTCTAGCTCCAGGAGTCAAAAGGCCGAATTTGGTACCACGGTCGTACACCAGATTGAATTCAACATATCGACCGCGACGAATCTGCTGCCACAACTTTTGTTGTTCTGTGAAGGGCATGTCCTTACGTCTCTCCATGATAGGTATATACTGGTTCAAAAAAGCATTTCCACAAGTCTGTACGAACTCAAACAATTCATCAGGCGACTTGTCATCCAGATCGTCGAAAAAGATGCCTCCAATACCACGACGCTCACCACGATGAGCAATGTAAAAATAGTCGTCACACCACTTCTTAAAGTCCTTATAATATCGAGGGTCATGCTTGTCGCAAGCCTCTTTAATCACTTGATGAAAATGCACAGCATCCTCCTCAAAGAGGATTGTGGGGGTCAGATCACATCCACCTCCAAACCACCAAGAGATGGGTTCACCATCTTCTTCGCCACCTAGCTCAAAGTAGCGGTAGTTGAAGTGAACTGTGGGCGCATTAGGATTGTGCGGATGCATCACACAAGAGATACCTGTGGCGAAGAAGGGCATAGCCTTATTGGTGACTTCGATATTGGGGTGTTCTGCTCGCATCTGTGCAACAGCAGCAGGTGGAAGCATACCATACACGACCGATACACCGACACCTGCTTTCTCAAAGACCTTGCCGTCCTGTAACACCATTGAAATACCATCACCTCCTTCTACACGGTTCCATTGATCTACTCTGAACTTTCCTTGCCCGTCCAATTGCTCAATGCGTGCGGTAATTTCAGCCTGAAGTCTTTTATTGAATGCCTCCATGCGCAAGCGCATTGGTGAATCCTTGGTTAGCCCTTCAAGTTTCTAATAAGAGAGGGGGGGAGAGAGAAGGAGACAGAGGGGGAGGGAGAAAAGAGAGCAAATGTGGATAAGAGGATAAGAGAGCACAAAGGAGGAGGGGAAATGCGCGATAGAGCAAAAGAAAAAAAGGTTAAGATGAAAGCAACACAAATAGATTTCAGATCAGATCATCGGCCGACAAGGTCCGAAAATCATTGTTTTGTTTTCCTGTGTGTGCGATTTTCTTCTTCGGCCCTTACGCGTTTCTGGTCCGCTTGAGCAGTCTTGCTCGGCTTTTTTTCCTGCTTCTGTGGTGCTTCACATTCTACTTGTTTCACCTGATGGTCATGGTGTTATGTGAGCCAAAAGAAAAAAAAAAAAAAATCAATATACATGTTGTTTTAATGTGCAAATGTGTAAATGTGCGAGAGCAAGGGTACACACTATATTTCATGAAGAAAAAAAAAATACATTACATTAGGCATTTGACTCCAAAAGGTAGCAGCAGCTATTGCTCCAATGACTGTGAATGCTTTGACTGAAGCTGAAGAGAACTTTGGAGCACCTTGCTGAGAGGTTCTACTTGATGCTGCCGATGTTGAATAGAGTCGACCATGAGATGAAATGGCACGCGAGTATGATCTGTGGAGCAACCTAATAAATATTCAACAAAAAAGACAAAAAAAAAAAATGTTTATATTTTTTTGAATCAAAATATAAATGGGAATTAGATGATCAATTATGAATAACATGCACTTACGATCTGGACGCCGTGATATGTGCTTTATTGTAAGATGTGGACAATAAGAAGAAAAAAAAAGATCGAATAGTAGCGAGAACATAAAGAAAATAACATTGTGACCATGAAGAATGAATTTTCCGGACCAAAGTCAAAAAAAAAAAAAAAAGTTTGATCAGGCTCATGTCCCAATGTCCTATTTCTCATGCAGCATAAGTGAATTACATTCTTAAATCAATGAAAACTTACAGACACGAGTCAGTCCACACAGAGAAATGGACCGAGCAATGTGGGTCATGGCAGTATTACGAATTAAAAAAAAAGGTGTAAAAAAAAAGAAAAGAAAAGAAAAGAAAATAGAGAAAGAGAAGAAAAGAATAACCCGAAGTCGCTTTTCCGACAGGAGTCTTTCCGCGCCGCCCTTTTTTTATTTTTTACAGGTTAAAAATGCATGCAACCATTTTATCCTGCTTGAATGGGAGGCATGTCACATGATCATCTCGGAGATGCAAATGCATGATTGTGTCATTTTACAGGGCATTCCATTTATCATTTGTCAGTGTATAAAGTTGTTTGTTGCTGCTTGCTTGTTTAGGTCAGCAATGTTGCATCCTACATTTCTCTATACACTGTTCGGTTCACTAGTTTACTACTCGATTGTAGTAACGAATAGAGGGATGAACAGGGCTGTTCCTTTTTGTAGTCACGAATAAGTGAGTTGGCTGACGACTAACAAGCTAACACTTCCTCATAGTGATCCGGCTACGAGGAACATGTGATATGTCATTAACGCTGAATTTTTAATCAATGTTGAAGATGAAGTTGCTCAACTCAGCAGACTTTCTCAGATCCTAATCTCTTTGCAGTTCACAGCCATTATTACTAGCTGAACTAATAGTGGGACTGATGTTATTGGTAGTGTCTTTGCCTCGGGTCTCTACTGCCTTGACGAACAAGAGCTTGTTATCTAATAGATCTCATTTCTCACGGTGCGACTGGGTGATGATTATGAATAGCGATCTACGGATGATAAAGGCCCGCGTCCGGCTTGACCAGGACAAGGTGGCCACTAAGTTTGTCCTCAAGGATCTGCCCACCAAGGATATAAAGTTGATCAAGCAGGAGCTTCCTTGAACAACGCCTTTATGTGTGATCTTCGAGGATCTACTCAGAACAAAAATAAATGGCTTGTGTATTAAGTCAAGGAGCAACAGGAACCAAGCTATATGTTTAAATGGATAGAACATGGCATGGCTCCTAATCTGTTATGTGTAGTGTTCTAGACATTTACACTTTAATTTTCAACTGCTAATGATATTTATAGTATATATAGGAAACCATGCGTAAATTTCGGGTAAGGATGATCTATGGATTTACTATATGTGGGATATCAATCGCTATTTCTACGGGCGTTCCAACGGCATCAATGTAAAAAGCGGGCACTGTAACTGGACTATAGGTCTTTTGGAAGCAATTGGCTAGCCTTGGTTCAGAAACGGAGTTATGGACGCGGTACGCGACTGAGGCTAGGATATAAGCAAACACAGCAGTAAACTAGTTTGTGAAGCAACAACATAGACAATGGAGTGGGATGTATATAATATCAAGGTCTTTACATCACCCAACAGATTAAGACAAAGTCAGGAACAAGAATTCCCCCATTCTCTGTCCGTGATGAAAATATAGCTTGTTTACATTTCTGTGTTGTGTCATTAGCTCTTTTTTATTGTCTGTCCACGGGTTTGTATCACCATGAGAAATGCGCCTTCCTAAAAAGGAAGGTGCCCTATTTTTTTCACACGGGTACCACTCTCTATATATCTCACTTTCACTTCTAGACTTTTTTTCTTAGAGAGAGAAAGAAAGCAGAACTGTTGTATGAATCGTTATTTCGCTACTTCAAAAAGACATTGAGACAAGGGTAGCAATAATAACAATAGTAGTAATAAAACCATCGATTAAGCCGTAGAAGAACATTTAGAGAGATAATTGTATTTCTGTAACAAGCGAAGTGTGGTGTTGTGGGGGTGAGTATGTGTGATCAAAACATCATTGGGCAATGCGACTCATCCCTTCACACACACCTTTAAAAGCGAGGCCTTAATTCTGTCCCTGACGCCCTTTTTTTTTTTTTTTTTTCTCTTCCCTTCTTTCTTCTTACGGCCTCATCTCTCATTCCATCCTTCCTCTCCATTCTTCATTCCTCATTCCATCCGGCTCTTGATCTCGTCCTCCCATTGTTCCTCCGTATTTTTGTTGCTACACCTTTTATTATTTTTACCTGGCGTTCCTCTTCACGCCCTCCAATTCCTCTTACTCGTTATACTTTCACCGGTCCTACTTTTAGATCATTATAAGACCAAAGGGGTAACAAAATGTCTTCACAAGTGTCTATGGCCTCAAAGGCCTTTCTTCCACGTCTTGGTGTGACTGGGTACCGCCTCCCTACCCAGATGATGCGACGGTCCGCAATGGCCATCTCTTCTTCCTCTGGCAAGCGTCAGTTGTCGTCGTCGCCTGTGGCAGCAGATAAGACCTACTTCCCGCAAGTTTCCCCTACAATCCAGCAGAATCCACAGCAGCCGCGCTTATCGACGCTGAATCTCCAGCGTCAATACCAAAAACATGCCTCTCCATCCTTGAATCCATACAAGTCTATCGCGATCCGTCGAGAGGGCAAAAACCGTTGGGAAAGGCGCGTAGCCTTGACGCCCGAAGCAGTCGAGAGGTTGATCAAGGAAACAGGCATCAAGGTCTATGTACAACCTAGCACAAAGCGCATCTTCTCGGACGACAAATACAGGGCTGTAGGCGCCATCATCCAAGAGGATCTTTCACCTGCTGATGTGATTTTGGGTATCAAGGAAGTTCCAGTAAAGGACTTACTTCCCGGGAAGACATATGTCTACTTTTCACATACACACAAGGGCCAAAAGCACAACATGCCCATGTTACAAGATATCCTTGACAAGGTAATAGCATATGACATCTCAAAAAAAAAAAAAAAAAAAAAAAAGTCTGCACAAAATTATTACGCTATGTGGTACACTATAAAAAGTACTCATGCTTACTTTTGGCACCTATTCTTTGTTTCATTGCGTGCAGAAAATTCGTCTGATTGACTATGAGTTGATGGTGAACGAACGGAAGCAGCGCTTGGTTCTCTTTGGAAAGCATGCGGGGTATGCAGGCATGATCGATGGGATTCACGGTCTGGGCCAACGATTGCTCGGTCTAGGCTACAGCAGTCCTTTCTTAGTAAGTACGCTTTCCAAGACATGATTATCTTACTGGCTACCCTACAGGCTCAATGCAACAGCCATATCCACTTTAGCCCTTAACTAACATTCATCTCTTTTTTTTTTTTTTTTTTTTTTTTTTTTTTTTTTTTTCAATCCAAGCACGTCGGAATGTCTCATAACTATAAGTCTCTAGCTTCTGCAAAAATTGCACTTCAGTCCCTTGGAAACACAATATCAGATGAAGGCACACCTAAGGCGTTTGGTCCCATGACGTTTACTTTTACTGGAAGCGGAAATGTCTCCAAAGGTGCACAAGACGTTTTCAAGTCTTTGCCTCACGAGTTTGTTGATCCAAAGGATCTTGCCAAGATTGCTCAAAGCAAGAGTAAGCGAAACTGCTGCCTTTTGTATCAACACGATTCTCTTAGTTTTTTGTCATAGTTCTCTTTTTTCCAGCCCAGGGTGAGGCATAAACAAGAATGAGACCTTAGTATGATGAATCGTTCTGATTTTTTTTCTTCCTTATTCGCTATTTAGATGCTCGTTTGGATCGTATTTATGCTACTGAGGTCAACATTGAAGACCACATTCGCCACAAGGACAAGAATGTCTTCACTACAGCAGAAGAATACTACAATCACCCCGAACAATTTACATCGGTCTTCCATAAAGAGATCGCTCCGTATTCATCTATGATCATCAATGGTGCTTACTGGGACGAGCGCTACCCTCGTTTGATGACTAAGGACCAGTTGAGGGCCATTCAGAGCGATCCTTCTAACAGATTCAGAATGCTCAGCCTTGCAGACATTTCATGCGATATCCGTGTAAGACTAAGGAAAAACTACTATAGCTTTGATTATTTCTCTCACTTCCCAGAAAGTACTCACCATATTATTGATTTTAGGGTTCTTTTGAATTCATGTCTCAAGCGACTTCAATTGAAGATCCGTTCTTCTATGTGGATGCTATCCAAGGACGGGAGCACAAGGATGATGAAGCACCTGGTATTCAGATCATGTCTGTTGACATCCTTCCTTCTGAGCTACCTCTGGAGAGCAGCCAGCACTTCAGCGATTCACTTTACCCTTTCATCAAGGAATTGGTATGAAGCCCTTTATTGATATGCAGTATTTTAATTTATTATTTTTGTTACAGCTTTTTTTTTTTTTTTTTTTTTGCCTGTGTTGACATCTCACTCTTGAATACACTTTAGATCCGTGACAACACCGATCATCCTGTTATCGCCGGAGCCACTATTGCAGAGAATGGATCCCTCAAGCCTGCACACAAAGCCTTGAGTGGGGTTTTGAGGGATACTAATGCAAAGGAAGCTCTTGCTAAACTCAAGGTTGCTATTGGTAGCACTGGACAAAGTAACTCTGGATCAAGCAACAAGCCAAAGAAAGTCTTGTTATGTGGGTCCGGCTTCGTTGCAGGGCCTTTAGTTGATTACTTGCTTAGAGATTCCAATATCAGTATCACTATCGCTAGCAACTCAGAGGTAGAGGCTACTTCTCTGGCTCTGGGCAAGCCCAATACGAAGGTCGTACCTTTAGATGTCAAAGATAACAATACTATGGCTTCATTAGTCAAGGATTCAGATATCGTTGTCAGCTTCGTTCCCGCACCTTTCCATCCCATCATTGCTGAGCACTGTATTCAAAACAAAAAGAACATGGTTACTGCAAGCTATATTAGTCCGGCCATGCACGCTTTGAACGAGAAGGCCAGCCGCGCTGGCATTACCATCATGAATGAAATTGGCCTGGACCCCGGTATCGATCACTTGAGTGCCATGAAGATGATTGATGAGGTGAAGGCAGAGGGTGGCAAGGTCACATCATTTGTGTCCTGGTGTGGAGGCCTTCCTGCTCCTGAAGCTTCGAATGTCCCCCTGAGCTACAAGTTCAGTTGGTCTCCAAGAGGAGTTTTGACAGCTGGATTGAATGATGCCAAATTCAGGATGCATAATGGCTTCCATGAGATTAATGGCAAGGATTTGATGAAGAAACACTTCCCTGACGTGCCTATTTATCCTGGCTTCAATTTGGAGGGTGTTGCCAACAGAGATTCTTTGAGTTATGCCAGCACCTACGGATTAGGGCCTGTTGAAGAGCTGGACACCATGTTCCGTGGAACTCTTCGCTACAAGGTAATTCATCATCGTAAATGCGGATAGTAATTAAAAAAAAAAAAAAAAAAAAAAAAAAAAGGTACTAACGCCGGTGATCTTATTAATGTAGGGGTATGCTGACTTAATGTATTCATTCAACAAGCTGGGGCTTTTGAATGCTCAAGAGAGTCCACAGCACTTTAACACATGGGTGAGTATCGCATTTTTGGCTTCCGGTCCGTGTTGAATAAGATAAGAAAGGAAGGGTGAAGGTGAAATGAATGCTGTTAATAATTTTTATTATTCTTTTTTACTCAAGCCGGAGTTTATGGATAGCCTGTTGTTTGAAAAGACCTCACTGTCGTATGACAATGAGTCCCGGAGAGCTGCCATTGCGGACCGTCTTGACCTTCCTAAAGATCATGCCAGTGTCGGCAAGGTTGTCGATGCTCTTCAATGGCTCTCCTTGATGCCCCTATCCAATGCCAAGAATAGCAGTCCGGCGGCTCCCTTCACGGCCAAGGACTCGCCAACGACACTGGATAGTTTCTGCAAGCTGCTGATGAACAAGCTTAAGTATAATCCATTGGAGCGCGATATGGTGATCTTACATCATGAATTTGGCATTCAGCTCAAAGATGGAAGCGAACAGACTCGTACCTCAACCTTGGTGTCGTATGGTACCTTTGAGACTTACACAGCCATGGCCAAGACTGTAGGACTGCCTGCAGCTATGGCCACAGAGATGCTGCTGAGGGGCGAGATCCCAGAGAAGGGTGTACTAGCACCCACGATGCCCCATGTATACAACACTATTCTAGAGAAACTTAGCCGAGAGGGCGTCAATGTGGTGGAGGAGATTGTGCAGAAGGGTATGCGACCATCTTTAAAATGGAGTGGTAGTGGAGTATTCAAGTAAGGCAATAAATGACATTCGCATAGAAGATTAATATATTTTGCTTCAGGAACTGAGGGCCATCCACATGCACAGGCACATGTTCTGATATGGTGATGCGTGCGACCGTTGCACCAAGCCACGCGCTGGGCGTGTTTCTATCATTCAAAGTTGATGTATCACTCGTTGGTTGATGCTTTTTGTTTCCAAGAAACCAACTTCATTCTCTGTCATTCTCATCCCTACCCTATAATACCATGTCCGTGGCTGTAAGGTTTAGCTTACCAGAGAAAAGAAAAACTACTCAAATAATACACCATACACATATTTCATTACCTCTAAACTCGACTGTTATGAATTACTTCATAGAGCCTTTTTGGTCTTTCGGCACCCATTGACGTCGAGATTCGTTTCGAAGGTCAGGAGAACCGAAAACAGATTGAGGCCAAAGTTGATAAAGACAGAAGAGAAAAGTTTCCTTTATATTTTGATGGAGAAACTGTTGCGGGAAAGGTAAAGTAGACAAAGGAAGTTTAGCTATTTCATTTTAGTTTTTTTAACTACTGAATTGAAAAAACGTGGCAGGCAAACATGTAGTCTCTTTTTTTTATATTTTTTTTTACTTACTCCTGACCTTTGCATTAAAACTAAACATAGATCAATATCCGAGTCAAGGATGGCAAGAAGGTTGATCATAATGGCATCAAAGTTGAATTCGTTGGAAGTATAGAGCTTTTCTATGATCGTGGAAATCATTATGAGTTCAGGACGATTCAACAGGAATTAGCCATGCCTGGAGAGCTCCGCAATAACACTCAGTTTCCCTTTGAGTTTAAGAATGTGGAAAAGCAATATGAAAGTTACCATGGCATTAATGTTAAACTGAGGTTAGTTTTTTTTTATCTTTACGGGGAAGCAGGGATAAAAAATAACGAATTGCTCTTATATGACTCTTTTTTGTTATTGTTATCTGATGGTCAATTGTCGACAGGTACTTCGTCAGGGTGACAATTCAGCGTAGACTGGCAGATGTGGTCAAGGAGCAGGATATTTGGGTGCACTCGTATGTGATGCCCGCGGATGGTAATAACTCAATCAAGATGGAGGTTGGTATTGAAGATTGTCTACACATCGAGTTTGAGTATAATAAGTCAAGGTAAAAAAGAAAAAAAAAAACTGTATGGCTTATATTAAAATGACAGAGTGAACACGAGAGTCTGTTGCAACCCAAATGGTTTTGTATTGTATAGACTAACTACGATGCTCCTTTTCTTAATACAAAATTAGATATCACTTGAAGGATGTGATTGTTGGCAAGATCTACTTCTTACTTGTACGCATTAAGATCAAGCACATGGAACTTTCGATTATCCGAAGGGAAACAACAGGCGCACCTCCCAATCAGTATAATGAAAGTGAGACAATTACAAAGTTTGAGATCATGGATGGTGCTCCTGTCCGTGGTGAGACTATCCCTATTCGTCTCTTCCTCGGAGGCTTTGAACTCACTCCAACCTTCCGCGATGGTAAAGCCAGCAAAAAGATAGAAAGAACAAAGAGCGCAGCAGCAAAAAAAAAAAAAAAAAAAAAAAAAAAAAGATGCTGCCTGATTTCCAGATATACTTTGTCTAGCACTCACTGACATAATTGCCCTTCATTCATGTGAATAGTTAACATGAAGTTCTCTGCACGATATTATCTCAATTTGGTGCTTATCGACGAGGAGAATCGACGTTACTTCAAACAACAAGAAATTACAATCTTCCGCAGACAAGGTAAGTTTTTTATACACCCCTGAACGGGGGAAAGTGAAAAGCTTGCTGGTATCGTTTAAAAGTTGTATACAAAACTTATAGATCCTTTGTCAGATTGTTGAGGCCGTTATTCACCAACTTATGCAATTTCTATCTTGTCGCTTGATATTCATAGTTGATGACGAGAATGTTGATGAACCTAGACAGATCCAAGAATAGAAAAAAGGAATGGCAGATGAAGAGGGAAATAAAACCTATTAAAAATCAATGGCATCATTTTTTTTTTTTTTTTTCATAGAAAGGAATACCCAAACACACTCCATGCCGTTTTAACTTTTCCTTGCGACATTAACCAATGTATTGTATGAAGATTGCCACCTTAATCTTCAAAGCACAGAGTAGATTTAACTTGTGGAGTGATGTATCTCCACTTTTTTTTTTTACTTTATTTGATTATATCATATGATCTAGTCCCTCGACCGCTACTTGTGGCCCTATAGAGGAGATTCAATGATACTCTCCTCCATCTTGTTTGTTAAATAGTGGTTTGATTTACAGCCTAAATCTTTTTCAAGACACGTCTGAGTATAGGCAACTGTTCGATGCCTGTTGTTTTTCCATGTCTGCCTCGATTCATCAGTAATTATGGGATTTGGTTAGTATCTCCTGATGGCTGCCATCCTGAGGAACTAGTTAAAATGAACAGCATTCACTGTGTTGTCCAAAACAGTATGACATTGCTCATATCCGAACACACCTGAAGACGAAAGCCTGACTTCTTAAGCTTATAAGAGTAAAAACTTGGCTTGTCAGCACCAATGTAGCTGACTCTGGTGTCGTGTCCATCGAGGTTATGTCATGATGTAGTTTCACAGGGTCCCGGAGATAAGACTCCTTGTACAAGTCGTAAAAAGATGCCTTTAGTATGAACGTTAACATTGTAGACAATGAGTCTTCTGTGATCGGCGTATGCAGGAGCAGAAGGCCCTTTTCGATATTGCGATATGGGCTACCATAGTCATGCACCCCAAATACTAGGCAATCCAGCACCATAGACTTGACGTGTGTCACATCAGATGAAACCTGGCTTTCTTTATAGCTGGCTACTCTTCTTGCATAAACTTCCTTAGAAATGGCATTCATATAGATTATATTCTATTAGGTATAAAGAATTTTATCGCAGGTCTTCTTTATCAATATGCTAGAAATTCACTTCATTTGCAATTCATCTGAATATGATGACTGTTCGGGCTCCATAGGAAGTTGTATAAACATCTGAACACTACCATATGCCGTTGATCACTCTCCATTCCTTGAACAACACTTTTAACATACAAATGCACTTTTGCAAGATGTATCCTCCGAGAGTACAGCACAATCTTGGCCCTGCACTCCGAACTAGACTAGCGTGTTTGCTGACACGCAGATATTGTCTATACTATATAAAACTATGTGAGCTACATATGCTCAATGTGAATTCTCTTGCTACCTCTAGGCTCCTCTCCTTACTCGGTCGACGCCTGTCGCTTGATCGCTCTCTTTTCTCCGCTGTCCATGGAAATATTCTTATTTTTGTTTGGCACAAGGTAGGATGGTCGTTCTTGATAAAGTAGATGTTTTAGGAACACAGTTTTCAGCCCTTGATGACTTCATACGATCACGAGAACGCGTTGATACATCCAACCGTAACTTGACCTCTTCATTCAGGACGCATATGTCAAGTGTCAATCGTCAGCTAGTGGTACTCTCTCAAGGGATAAAGGGGGCCTTCAATGGTGCAGGAAGAATTATAGGCCATACTGTATCTGAGGTCAAATCAATCCAAGAAAAGCAAATGCGAGAGTTCGATCTCCAGATACAGCAGGGATGTGGAGCAGGACGGAGGAGCCCATTCACCCAGGAGCAAGGGCACACAGACGGGCACCTGGTTAACCATGAGCCGGTTCATGAGCAAGCGAGCGTTACCAACACTTCTTTATCTTTACAAGGCGAGGATTCATTCTTCAATGAAGTAGACGGAGCCAGAGAAAGAGAAGAAGAGGTGGTTGTAGAACAAAGACAAGCTCACTCTCAATCTCAATCTCAATCTCAGTCTGATAAGCAAGGTAGAGATGATTTGGACCAATTGGCAGAACAGATCGCCATGCTCTACGTTCAGTTTGGAACAACCCTGCCCTCGCACGAAATGCTTCCGCAAGCAGCGCCTCTCAAGGATCAATGGATGGAATGGTTCCATGGTGTCGATGGACGGTCCTCGATCTGGGCTTTGAATAAGAGCTCTGACCAAAAAAGAGCAAAATGGCGTTCAGGATTCGATGCACAGAAGAGGAGGTTGTATCAATTCAAGAAGGAGCTAATTGAAACTATGCTAGAAGAGATATCAAAATCAACATGCATGACGTTCGTGGAAAAGGAAACTGATGCCCTAACGTCAGTTTCCAAGGCTATCATCAACGCTGGCTCCAACAATTCCTACATTAAGATGCGTCGAGCACAAAGAAAAAAAGCTTTTGAGTAATGTGTTTATACATATATTTCTTTAAAATAAAAATAAACCACACTATTGAAGGCGTTTTGTTAGACATTTCTAAAGCACCACTCCATTTTACTTGAAAGCTTTCAACCGATGATATTGGTATATTATTTATTACAAAATTGCTGTATGCTATTTTAAGCGGATATCATTGTGTTGTTGTTATTGTTGTTGTTGATGACTGATCAAATTTTGATTTTTTGGTTGCTGGGGAGGCGGATTCGATGTTGAAACTACCCTCTCGTGCTCATTTCATCCTTCATTAATTCGAAAAGAGTAAGGACAAAGCCAAATATAAGCTTGCATCTGTCTCTCACGTCTTTCATTTCTCCTTTCACTTCTAAATGTTTAGTCACTTCCAACCTTCGGTATTTTAGCGCGCCATTTTCCAATGTAGATTCAACAAATGCCCATTGCCATGAGTCGGTTACGATTCCATAAGCCCTAAAGACTCTATGGCAATCCCCATTCTCCTCCTCAGTTCGTTTTCGTTTCCTATTGTGCAAGGCTACATCGAGCTGTACCATATTTTGTGCAAAGCCTTGCACATGATCGTCCTTCTTCACTTGCGTAATGCCAAGAAATTGCCCCGAATTGATACGGTCAACAACAGCAAAGTCCAAAGTCCCATAGCCGCGCGTGCCTTTTAAAGACTGTTGTTGCGAAAGGATCATGTCGGGCGCATAGAGCGATGCTGCTCCAACCATGAATGGATCGACAATTGTTGATCTTGTGGCCTCATTTGATTCTGCATTAAATGCATAGGCTCTACCCTTGCGAATGCAATCCTGCACAATATGTCCCAATATTGCCTCTTCATCTTCTGTCAAGTCCTCCTTGGGCTTGAGATCAAATTCTGGTAGATCCATGAACGATTGTACTTTATACGTGTCTTGAATTTTTTTCCAGCCCCATGACGAAAAACTAATGGCTGGGGTATCCAAAGATATAGTGAGCCTCTTCCCATTTTTTTTCTGAAGTTTTTCCAAGATAGAACGAAATTGAATATCGTCTCAACAACAGAAATGCCTTCGTTTCCTCATCGTACACAAATATTTGGACTTCCTCGAACTCCTCAAACTCCAAGCAATGACCTTGAAGGCTTTCTCGCAGACTTTCTATAGTAGCTGTTTTAATATTGGTGGAATATGTGCAAGCAATCTTATTCCGATCTCTTTTGTTCACGACGCTCAGTGCTAGAATAACAACAAAATCAGCTCTCTTTCACTATGGTTCTCTTTGACATCTTTCCATTCCACATTTTCACTTATTGTTGATTATTACTTACTAGTATATGTGTCCGCATGTAGTTGTTGCTTCAATTCGGCGTTTTCCTTTTCTATCATTTCTAAATTTGCGTTCGTATGCAGTCGTTGCTGCCTCAGGTCGGTTTCTAAATTTGCGTTCGTCGTTTGTAAACTTGCGATTTGCTTTTGTAAATTTATGATTATCGTTTCTAAATTTACGTTCGTATGCAGTCGTTGCTTCAAGTCGGCGATTTCCTTTTGTAAATCCGCGTTCGTCGTCTGTAGACTTGCGATTGTAGGTTCGTTCTCTTCACTTTTAGCTTAGGAAAAAGGAATACAAATAGAAAGTGCGCATGACTTGTTTAATCATAGTTAACTGTGGACAAAAAAAAGGTATACCAGTAGAGTGGAATAGTACCTGGTTGTTCAATAATGACATGGATGGTTTTTTTTTTGGTGGTACAGCGCCAAAAACCTCAGAGACCTTGTTAGTCGGATCTTCAAGCTTCTCTGGGTTTTTCTGCGCCTTCTGCTCGTCTGTAAGATTGCTTAATGTAATTGGTTTCCCGGAGATAGAAGAAATGGCGACATGCCAGAGAGTGGGCTTGCTTGCATCAATATCATGAAACTCTAGCTTCTTTTTCTTGATGGCATCCTTGAGATGGTCTATCGTTTTTGAAGAGGAGATATCCACTGAGAACATGGAGGAATCTCCATCGTTAACGCAAAAGAGGGTTACTTCGGTGGCCATGGTAGTGTTATGAATGTTTGTTTCAATAGTTTCAATGGAGCGAGTATTTTAAAGGATGGTGATAGCGCAAAGCCACAATGCGTCTTGCAAATAGGAAGAGAACGTTATTAAAATATATATAATAAATGAATAACTATGGATAGCGAAGACGACAAAGGAAGTCTTACGCTCATTATCCGTACCAGCGACCCTTTCCTGTCCCGCCCACGGCCACCCAAGGAGCATACGATTCTTAGCGGTCGAAAAAGAAAGATGTAGTACCAGATCAGCCAACAGAAAAAAAAAAAAAAAAAAAAAAAAGTTTATTTTTAGTTTAAGGGTAGTTCTGTAGCTCGAGATTTATTAAAGAGAAAGATTACACAGGAAAGGGTCGCTGGACTATGAAGGATAATATTTGTGATTCGTATTGATGCAAGGAACTCACCATAAGAGAATGATAGATGGATATCAAAGAGGGAGGATTGAAATATCATGTGGCAACAAATATAAGATCACAGGAAAAATTTTGTGACCCTGTGCACGCTACTGATAACAAGTGTAACTTCAAAAAGCTTGGCCCCAGGGGATGAACTCTAAATCCCTCATTACATAAAAGAGACAATACTCTCTTTTCTGAATCCCAAAAGCACACTACAATCCGCACAGAGGCATTATTTGTCTCACGGCTTGAGGATCAGTTGACTTCCAGTCAAGTTTTATTGAAAATATGAAAAATGCTTTGCTACGAAAAATAAGCTATGAAGTCTTTTTTTTTTTTTTTTTTTTTTTTTTTTTAATTTTCAGTGCTAACCACAATTGTCCCTAACCATTGATGGCAAATGGGTGAGAAGAGCCTTGTAGAAGGAAAGTGGGGATGGAGTTAAAGAGGGGTATATGCAGATTTGAATGTGGGATGAGAATGGCAGAATACAGCGTGTAGGATTAAAAATGCGTAATAAAAAAGAAAGAGAGAAGCCTTAGAGAGATGCAATGATGATAATGATAAGGTAAAAATAAAAATAAAAATAAAAATAAAAAAAAGGACCATTAGACAGACTTTGGAAAGCCATTGGCTCTAGGAGCATCTTCAGATCCTTCAACGATCGCGTTTCGACGACGGAAGGTATATGCGGAAGGTACGGGCTTGCTGCCTTCGTTCTCACCACCCTCTGTATCATCATTGCAGTCTCTTTCATCAGCATTGCTATCTTGACCGGGATGAACGCTGGAAGGAACGGGGCTATCAATGTATTGGCTGCTCCCTCCCCCGCCTCCAATGCGACCTCCAGTACCCATTGTGCGAGTGGTTCCTCGCATCTTGGTCACTGTTGGTCTTGGGGGGAAAGAGTACTCGAGTTCGGCTTCATGATAGTTCAAGTTATAATAGGTACAGTGAGCAGGATATGGAGAGAGCGGTGAACCCGGCATGTTCATCCGGAATGTAACAGGTGGGAGCGGCACAAACCCTAGACTTGAATACTGTGATGATTTTGCTCCAATTCCGAGATTGTGTGCATGCGCATATGAAGATGAGGACGAAGAACACCAGGATACCAATCCGCCTGCAGACTGGTGGCCGTGGAAAGCGCAGTTGGCCGTATCATCCTCTACTCCAGCGGCAGCAGGGTTTTCATATCGTCGATGTCTTGGACTGGTGTTAAACGAAGGCGCACATGTAGCATGATCCATCGCTGAGTATGTTGATCGGGTTGAGTGTGAAGGAATACCAGAAGCAGACAGCTGTGATAGAGGCGATGATGACATTGAGGATGACGATAAAGCTGAGGTAGATGTCAATGTACGCATCATCGCATCGGATTGTTTGCGATGCATATTTCCATTGATCTCGCCATGATCATATGCATAAAGGAATTCAGCCGTTGTGATGTCCTCACGACGATGAAGTTGGGCCTTCCGTACGGAGAGACGTCTTGCACGGATCCCATGTTGATGCCGGGGTCCCAATAAACCAAACCCTTCATCGTACATCCTGTTGCAAAGACTTGACATTTTGTTATTGTTTTCTTTGCTTATTCGTTTTAAATGAAGATTGAGAATGATAGCAAGAATTGGGGAGGAAAAGGAAGTCTATGATATGGAATGACGATTCTGATCAAGATTGGTCAATGTACTGTTTGGGCTTCAGAAGATGTCGAGAAAGGACTAGGTGGGACAGTAAGAGTGTAAAGGAATTGAAAGACGAAGAAAGTAAACTATAAGCAAGAAGGGAGATAAAAGCGTTGAAGTTAGTCATGGTGTTGGGCAGGCCTTTTATAAAAGTAGTAGGGTATTAGGATCACGATAGTCACTGAATGTAAGCATAGAAATAGAAATGCTCAACCCCACTTGGGATTCAGGAGTTAGGTAAGATGAGGTGAAGTAGGTCTCAAAAAAAAAAAAAAGAAAGAGAGAGAGCAATCGAGCAAAAGCGAGTGAGCGTAAGAACATAGCGCTAGATGATACGACAGTCAACTAGGAGCCAAAGAGTGATAAGGCGCAATGAAGTGGGGAGTGCTCCTCGAGTATCATGAGAATATAAGAGCAGAGGAGAAATGACTATCCGAGGGAACGGATGCATAACTTGGAGCGGGATACCAACGTGATGCCACAGTGGACAAACAAAACAGTAAGATGATGGTGTTGGTAGGGAAGAGCTGACGAAATGATGACGATGATAGGTTGCCAGACAAGACGAAGAAAGCAACTCTCGCTCACAGATCAGTAATGGAGCACCTTCGTTCGTCTCCAAGATTATAAATAAAACGATGTCATGGATGTTTGTTCAGCGGTTGTTGTTTGCCAGGGGATTGGACAAAAAAAGGGGGTGAGGAGGATCTTTTGCTAACCGTTGTACACAGGTGTAATTTGGGAAAAACAAAAGAATAGAGCTGGTTCTTGTTGAAAAGAAACGAGAGGAAGAGAGGGAGAAGACAGGGAGCAAGTGTTGGTCCTTGTTCTTCTCTGTCTCTTTTTCATGGAGATCAAAACAACAAAAAAAAGGGAAAAGGAAAGAGTACCTGATGTTGTGAACGACGAGAGATTAGCGGGAAAGAAAGAAAATGAAGAAAAAGATAAGTAGTATGGGGTAGAAAAGTAAGAAGGAGACGATGAAAGAGAAAGAGAAAAGAAGAAAGAAAGAAAGAAACGAGATGGAGGGAACATCTTTCTTTGTTATAATGGTTTTTTTTAGACCATAAAGACCCAAAGGTCCATCTTGTGTTGTGTTGTGTTGTGTTGTGTTGACAAAATGTCAGGAAGGTTGAATAGATGGATGTATTGCATTAAAATTATTTATATGCAGTATAGATGATTGATTAATTGAATTAACGTATTCGATTCAGTCTGGGTATATTTTTACATAAAACTGTTAGTCAACAAAGCAGGTAAATGCTCATTGAGCATTGAACTGCATGTCTGCCATGCCCCATGCCTTGCTTGCCATTTATTTATATTCAATATTCAACACAGAAAGACAAACATTTATATTATATCTATATAGTTTATTGTTTAAATTTATATATAATAACATCTATAATAGAATGGCAAAAAAAAGGAGAGACCCTGACACAGCATTGGGCTGCACCGTTGAGGACATGAGTGGGTGGACAGTGTTGCCATGCACCTCTTTGAGCTCGTGGTCGTGGGTGTGACATCGTCAACGGTCCAAACCTATTCCTCCCACGTGCACATCCACATCCCATCTGCACAGACTGCACAGATCTTTTTTCCACATCTCATTTTTGGCTGGTCATTTTTGTATCTTTGCATAATGATTCTCAGTTTATATTGCACAAAGTGAATTCATTGTCAACGAAAGGAAAAACCACAACATGGACACTTATTAAATATAAGGGCTATGACGAAGAAAGTGGGAGGATGTAGTCTCTATCTGAACAAATATTCATTTTGCATTGAATGGTAATTACACCATGCTGTGTTGTATATTTTCATGGATTAAAAGCCCAATGTCAAGTGTAAAGCATTGAGCCCATTGTGCTCCCAAAAAAATAATAAAAAATAAAAAATAAGGGCAAGTGTCAGACTATTGCTCTCATGGACAAACACTTTTCTCTCGGGCAATGTTGCTAATCTCACAACATATCAAAGCATGGGGCAACAGTTAAATGAAAAGAGCTGGATTTAAGAAGCGGTGCAGTGTAACCATGGCGTTCTTTTTTTTTTTTTTTTTTTTTTTTGCTCATGCTCATCATAGCTCCTTTTTCATATCTCTCTCTTTTTTTCCTCTCATCTCTCCATCCCGTTGGTTCCTGCGAGACGATAAAAAAAAAAAAAAAAAAAAAGATAAAAGGACAAAAGGACAAAAAGGGCTTTTATATTTTTATTTTATATTTTTTCCTAGCATGTCCATTTTCTAATCTACCTCTTGTTGGTTATATCCGCTCTCAAAGAAAAAAAAAAAAAAAAAAAAAAAAAAAAACGATTCCAACAAAGCGTTGATCGGACCATTAACATTGTTTGTCTTTTACTTTTACAACTGTTGGTTTGTGGATTTGGATACTGATGTATCCCTTTGGCTGAATGCTCACTATAATTAGATCCTCAATTGTCGAGTCGAGCGAATCCATTAAGTGTATTTCCATTCGAAATACCACCGAAGACCAGTTGAAGATTGTTAACTTCTACAGCTCTTCAAATATTAGCAAATAAAATAAAAAATAGGGCAAGGGGCCGTCTGCAGGCATCACTGAATAGCTCAACCGATTAAAAAACAACAACGGTCGCATCCGAAATGCTCACACTTTTTTACGTGAAAGCCGACCCATGCATTTTTCATTTTCCATTGAATAGAGCATTCATGCGATTATTATCCATGTAAAAAATATTTGATTAGAAATGTAAAGATCCTTTTTTGAGATGTGCCGCATATCAATCATACCAATCATGCCAATCATCGTATGGCGCCACGTTATCCATAGAATAAGTTGATATTATGTATTACAAAAGAGTAAAGAAAAAGCATTTGCATGCTCACCTGTTTGTTGCATTGAGGGTGACCTGGGTAACCATGGGATTGAAACTGATGCAGCACCATATTTATTCATCCCACGTTCACCAATGCTTTGTCCCTGACCCTGACCTGTTGCCATCACTCTCGTTAGACTTTCTTCTGTTGTTGCAAATGCATTTGTTAGAACTGACAATCATGCCACGTTTGGTTGTAAAAAGCTTAAACTGTTATGCATGATTAATGTTGAACAATGTCGTCAACCTAGACTAACATAATGACGAGTGTTCGAATAACGGATGACAAGGCTTTGTTGTCTATTCTTTTTGTCTATGCTGGTCACTACAGTATAATCATCAGTATCAGTTAGTGATTTTATCTACTCAATATTAACGGCTATCGATATCTTGATTACCATATTAAAAATCTCTTCATGATAGAGCTGCTCAAGTAGCGCCTTTTTTTTTTTTTTTTTTTTTTTTTGCTTTCCAAAGCAAGGTTAAAACTGCGGGAGGTATGTATTTATTAAACCATGACGACAAATCAATATTTTTTGTATGGCCGAGGGATGCTCTTTTTATTTTTGTTGTTGTTTTATAATTCACAAGCCATGTTCATGGTGGCTTCACATAAGCTTGCCAATTAATAGACATTCAACCTTTTGTCCTAATTCTAAGCTTGCTCGCTCGGCAGTCCTTCCGGGAAGGACCATCAGGCTGTTAGCACCGAGCATAGTCACCATGCGACTGCTCATTTGGTTCTTATCCGTAGATTGGACTCTAATATGCCCTTCAGGTGTGACCATGACAGTAGCGCGTTGGTATTCTGGTCTCTCATCCAATCGAATATCATGCGTGATCTAGAACGCAGAAACATGGCGTTGTTGGATGAATAAATATATCGTGTGGGTCCAAATGTGATAGATTGGTGCAACCATCGTACGAGAGCATCATGCAAAATCAAGAAGTAATATCTCTCTCTCTTTTTTTTTTTTTTTTTTTTTTTACCTCTGCTTGGATACTGGGCCACATATAATTCTCGTAACCGGCGAGCTTTCGAAGAGCTGGTAATACAAACAGATGGAAAGTAACTGTAGCTGAAACTGGATTACCTGGTAAACCAAACATGAGCCTTGGCTGCCCGCCATTTGGACTAGGGATTGTTGCGAATGTAGTTGGTTTGCTAATTATTCATAGTAAGCAATGCGACATAAAAATAAACCAGTATTAGATAGTATAAATATGTATAATGAATATTATAGAAGGAAAAAAAAAAAAAAAAGAGAGAGAGGCTGGGTCATTGTTTTTTCTGATTAACAATGCATGCATACCCTGGTTTCATCATGATACGACCAAAATGGATGGTTGCTCCAAGCTTTTGTTCGAGAATAGGCTTCAAGAGATCCATCTCTCCCATAGAAACGCCTCCAGTTGTGACCAAAATGTTACATCTGTCCAATCCTTTCTTGATTGAAGCCTCAAGCTCTTCAGGGCTATGAATTGAATGAGGTAATGTATTATTAGTTCATGTCACTAATAACAAGATATCCTGTAACCACAAGTAAATGATGAGTGCAGAAGTCCCTGCAGCTTCAAGAATTGAAATAAGCAGCTTTGGTCTCATGGACTGGAAAAATCAACGTGGCAAAAAAAAAAAAAGCTTAAGTTAAAATACATACCTATCAGGAGCAATGCCGAGATCGAGATATTCGAATCCTGCAGCCTTTGTTGCGGCAATAAGGGTTGGTCTATTACTATCGCGGATCTGCCCCATCTTCAATGGCTGTTCATTATCATGATTTACCACCTCATTTCCAGTAGACAAGAAACCAACCACAGGCTGTTGTTTCACAAGCACCTACATTTTTTTTTTTTTTTTTTTTTTTGAGATGAAAAAAGAAATTAGTTTTTTTTTTTGTTGCATGGGAACACAAGAAAAACGCGTGAGTTTGCCACGTGTACAAGTTTTTTTTTTTTTTTTTTTTTTTTTTTTTTGGTGCCCAGCAGATGGGTAACACAGAGTCACGGCCATATTCGGGAAACGAACATAAAATATCATCATCATTGTCCACATTCTCGTCATTTCTCACTTCATACCTTCCGGACACCAATTGAGGTAAGCACACCAATTTCTCCGCCTACAGCGGAGATAACTTGTCCCTTCTTGAGAACTGCTTGGCCAATTCGTATATCAGATCCGATCTCACGAATAGCTTCTCCTTTGCGCACCTTGGTCAAAATCTCTACGATCTCTTCCTTCGTACCATCCTCGGATGTCTTGATCAGTTTGGTATCTTCAACCATGACCACCGCTGTAGCCCCCTCGGGCACTGCACCTCCAGTTGTAATTCTAGCAATCTGCCCTGGAAGAAGTTTTGTAGTTCCATCCGATGCTGCTGTTGCAATGGATACCGCAGTGACTGGGTACTGTCCCGGACCATCCGTGTCTTTAAAACAAAAAACAAAAAACAAAAAAAAAGATCTCATATTAGGATTGTAAAGATCAAAGATCAAATAAAAAGATATACAAACCACGTGCCCATTTTTACATGTCTCTTTTATCATTATATATTGTGATCTATTGGTATTTACCAATTACTGCATAACCATCCAGAATTGATGCTCGGTACCCCGGGACAGCTTCAACAGCGATTACATCCTCATCTAATACTGCACCGATCAATGATTCATCGACAGGCTTTTCGGTCGAGGATAGGGGTGTAATTCGATCCATGACAGCTGCCAGCGCTTGATCCATTGGAATAAGTGGATATGGTGATTTGCGGAGCCTTTTAGGTACTATAACCCAAGCACATGCATTAAAATGAATGCCCTTTTTTTTTTTTTTTTTTTTTTTTTTGGATATAAATTCAACATAAGAAGAGAAAAAAAAAAAAAAAAAAAAAACATGCAGCCATATGGGGAGACATATACCTGGCGTGCCCAGTTCAAGCGATCCAGCATCTGTCCTAGCTTCCCTGTCACTGTGGTGGAAGCAAGTGTGTCCGTGGCTATGTCCATGCGAATGCTCTGTTCTTATACTATTACTGCTTTCAGAGGCAATGCCCGATGGTCGTGGTCCACCCTGCATCTTTTCATGTACCTTTTTTCCTGTTCCTCCACGAGCAAGATCAATAGCATGAGGCAGTATCTTTGCAACTGCCTCAAAGTTTTCTTTAACCGCCTTTGGACTTCCAGGGAATGTCAAGATTAGGGTCTGGCCGCGGATGCCTGACACAGCTCTGCTCAGGGCCGCGAAAGGCGTGATGGGGATGGATTTGGAAAAGATGAGATGCGTAATTCCAGGTGTTTGCCTCTCAATAAGTGGTAAAACAGCCTTTCCACATGAGTGAATACATATTATTTCTTCCATAAAGCTTTTCTTTTTTTTTTCCTTTTTTTTAGGACTTAAAGATTTACCTACCTCTGGAGTGCAATCGCGAATGCCAAAGCCTGTTCCACCAGTGGTGAGGACTAGGTGCAGATCGAGGTCGTCGCACCAGGCGGTGACAGTTTTCTGAATAGCCTTGAAGTCATCAGGCACGCATGCTGTCATCTGAATTGTATATCTAGGCTCCGCTTCGAGCAGACGGCAAAGAGATGGTCCACTGGTGTCAGATGCAGGATCCACGGATGCAGTGTCGCTGACTGTTATCACATTAAAAAAAAAAAAAAAAAAAAAAAAAAAAAAAAAAAGAAAAGCGAAAACCGTATTGATTATTACATCTATTAAATAAATTAAACAATAGTGATAATAATAAAAGCCGGCGTGTTTCTAAGGCAATTATCTATTTAGGCATTACTTGTGAGGACTCCAACGCGTAATTGATTTGACATTGTTAAAAAATGATGCGAATTAGTTTGTTGAGAAGAATGAAAAGTACAAATCTTTACAAGTTCATTAACATTGCATTCGATTGCTGCGCTTTGCATTTATAACCAAAAACAAGTGATTGCAATTGAGGAAATTTCGATAGAGCCATTGCATTTACAGAGACTGTCATTTGATATGTGTATCACGCGAAGCTCGTCTTTTAGCATTACTCCTAATTTTATTGGGGAGGCTACGATCCTGGAGATATTCCTTCTCATGGAGAAAGATACTATTCCATTCTATCGCTGAATAAAAGCGTGGCTGGGTATTGAAGCTATTCAGGGGATCTACTTCAACAGGTTTGGTGTAGGGTGTGCCATCCATTCCACTCTAAAGTTTAAGGAAATAATCACGTCTCGCTTCGACTTCTCACCCCATTTACATAGACAGATTGTACCGTTAGGTACTTATGCATTCATAGACAAATTTACCAACATCACTCATCAACTCTGTTAGTCTTTATACCGGCTCTTAGAGGAAGTTTATTACCCAATAGACATTTTAGTTTAAAAGTTTCTTTGGTATAAGAAAAAAGAACAGGTCTTTAAAAGTAAGGCTCGCCTCTGCATGAAACACGGATGCTTCCAATTGGTTTGGACACAGTTTCCTTCATCCAGTGTCCAAGAGATGTTCCAAACTGGTTCTTGCAGCCATTATCGCTGTAAAGTCTAATTCTGCACAAGTGCTCGTTGCGGAGATTCAAAGCCGACTCAAAGATGAAGGACTTGCTGTTCTTAATGTTGATGCACGCACCACGGTTCCTCGACCTTCTTCCGTAGTTCTTGTTGTAACAAGCAGTGTCGGTGAATGTTGCAACAACAAGTGGATCGCCATTCAACTTCATCCTTCTGCAGCCTGCTTCAGCTGCGGCAACTGCCATCAAAGCCAAGATGCAACTGGTCAACTTCATGTTTAGCTATGTTGTTAGGAGGAAGGGATACCTGCATGTGAGAACGACATGAAAATGACAAGAAAAGAGTGGAATATTGAGAACAAGTGATTGAGAGTTGTCCTTACCTTATTTTTGGGTGGAGACGGTGGAGAGGGACGAAATAGGTAGTGTCCTTAATAAACGAAGAGGGAAGCTAAAGAGTTGGAAAGATTTTGGGTGATTAGACGAAATATAAATACGAACCAAGCGTGTAGGAACTAAAGCAATGAGATGAGTATGAGCTGTTTACTTTGCTTGCTGGTGAAGAGTGCTGATGAAAAAAATAATTGGAGACAAGAAGAGGACCTTTATATATCTGCACATTTGTCAACGACAGAGTTAGCTAGATCATGGAGGAAGTGAAATAGTTGTGCTACAGTCTCTTTTCTTCATTCTCAGGAAATGCTCAGATAATTTACGAACAAAACATTGTACAGACCATTAAAAAACACGCCGTCTCGGGAAAGAATGTTAGCTCATTGAAGAGCAATAGAATAATGAAAAGGTATTTATTTTATTACCCGTCACAAGCATGCTAGCCAAGGTTTCCTAGCGCGCCGTCTTTTAACGGCGTCTCCTGTAACGGCGTATCTGCATCATGAATGTGCACTGCCACATATGAGCCTCTTTGAGAAGCGACTAATTAATGGGAAAGAGAAATTAGCGTTTGCATAGCCGTTGGATCACAAAAGCTTGCATTAATGGGACTTCACGTTCTTTAATATTTTTTGACCTAATCGGATGCCCCCTCATACATCTCGTAGAAGTGAAGAAGTGAAGCATCGAAGTAAAGCGGTAGTTGACAACTATGGGTGATCCCTCCTCCGTAACAGTGTGCCTTCGACGTTAGGTACAGTGAGATACTGTGGTAATGGTCGCGCAGTGCCCGAAAGACTTATTGAGACGTGATAAGACTGGTGGCGGCAAAGAGATAGTTGGCTAGAGAAACGAAGCAAAATCATTGGACAGTAATAACTTTTTTCCTACACCTCTGTGCCATATTAAGGCCCAACAGATCAAATCCCGATAGTCCACTCACTAGGCATACTGTCCGCAAGAGCGTGGCAGAAACCCGATATGCCAAGGATAAACTTTGATAAAGCTCTTTTGTTATTTTAAAATGGAGTTGTTTCTTGACTTTCCCTCCGCGCTTTTGAACCAACTCAAGCACTTTCTTGGCAAGTTTCAGTGGACGAGGCCTTTTTCTTTGCTGCGCTTGTCGTGAATCGTCTTCTTACCCGCTTCTTTGCCGCTCAGACACAGAGCAGCAGATGCAGGTACCAAAGCCTGTCTCAGCTCTAGGAATTTAAATGTGAGTGACTACATAGGATGAATAACACATCGAGGAAGCTGTTGAGACTGAAGAGTATAGGACGACAAGGAAGTGACCCATACTATATATTTTTATTGCTTGCACACACTCCTAAATGAATAAAGTCAATCTCGTAGATGCACAATAAGAAGGATAGCCACCTCTAATAGCCTACTCTTCTGGACTTCATTTTAAGTTTGCATCAACAGTCAGCGTCGGCTCATTTGTAAGGATGATAACCTTCAGCTTTACCTCAGGCACCAGTACCAACATTGGCAAACCATTTATTAGTCTATTGAAGTGCCATATATTTTAAGAGTTTATACAGCAATAAGAAATACCGGTTCCGGGATACCTTTAGACGAATGAATAGGATGAGGAGCTAAGGATTAGAAAGCTAACTCAGGACTGTTGCATGCGCAGTCCAAGACGAAAGGGCGTGGCTTAGCGCTTGGCTTTTGCACTTGTGGTACTAATACATGGTTATGGTTTGGTCATTTGCGGATCTACACATGCTTGTTGATCCTCTACTTACTGAAGAGATACAAATTTATAAGAAAGTGATCATTTAACTCAATATTCATATACCTTACTAAATACAACAAAGACCAACGTTGATAGTGGGTCTATTTGTCTATGGTGGCATTCAAGTCTTCAGCATTGACACATCACACACCAAGCTGATGATTTACAAACAGAGCACGAGCCACGCTGTTTTTGGGTTATTTTTCGTGTGAAATCATGGCTGAAATAAAAGGAGATCACTTGCATTCACTCTCGTCAGTATCTAGCCCAGGCGATTTTGACCCTTAGTAGAGACGAACGAATAGAGAAGATAGCTCCTTCAAGAATATGAAGACTGATCAATATGTGGCTACCGACTTGCCTTTTTTTCTTTTTTTAAATTTCATACTCGAACTGCAGTATGATCCAATCTTTTGTTTAATAAAGATATATGCCCATTGCCTCAGTAAACATTTATATGCTGGCACTTAAAGTGATAATGACAGTTACTTGAGCACACCCCATAGTCACAGTGCATATTGTTCATATTTACATTCAGTCAACGAATCTTAAAATCTTGTGGAAATGCCATCTTTTAGGCATGGGAGCTAAAGATCGAGCTGCAACAATAGGGCTTGCATGTGCTCTCAGATACCACCAGCTTACTCGAAGCGGCATTTCGTCGCAACAGCAAAACAATGCTTGCGCGTTAGAATAAGTAACTCGATCGACCAGGCCACGAAAGTGCAAAGTATGAGATCATTGGTTCTAGCTGTTTGACCGCCACCTTATTGGGTGGTGCTCCTACGGGCAATGGATTAATCTTGAACCTTCAATTGTTTGATTCAATGAACGGTTCCGTGTATGAGACATTACACAGGGACCTAAATTGTCACGTGCACATGACCACATCGTGCTGCGCCCGACAAAACTCAACCAATCAGACCATGCTGAAATAGTCCGCATCGTCCTCATCGTTTGCTCATTGTATATTTTTTCTCTCTCACACACACATCTCTCATCTTAAACTGGATTCGTACATTATTCCCCTTCTCCTTATTGCAATCTTCCTCGTCATGAGTCTGGAACAAATTGGGCGACGTGCTGGGCGCATGCTCGCCAACAAAATGCGTGGTACAGCAAATTTTCCAAGACGAATATCATGTACATATGAAGCATCGTCTATTGACCCTCATACCTGACGAATTGTAAATTGCATTCAAATATATAGAGTACATTCATGAAAACCGTCCCGTACAACCTCCTAGGCAATCTTTTCCTTCGCAGTCGGCTGAACACAAGGCTAAAGTGGCCGCACAATACCCAGGCAACCAGTATCCCGGCCACCAGACTGACCAATTCCAAAATCAAGCGTAAGGCTCTCTGCGATACCAAACTATTGGACTTGTAGCAACCTCATTCCTAGATCTCACCCAACCAATATTAGGATTAACATTGAAAAATCACTTGCTTCTAAATAGACCATTTGCACAGCCTCGGTCATCCAGGGAGACAGAATACATGGATACTTGTGATCTAGAAACACTCAAAGTGCCCGATGCCTGTAATAACACGATTCCTGATTTCTCAAGAGTTGGGTATAGAGAGGGTCATGTCAAGCTCCCTATGGTTCCTGTTCAAATGGTGGTCGAACCATCCATTGATCCTTTCATGGACGATACTGACAGAATCCAGTCTGCCATAGATTCCGTTGCAGCCTTGCCCTTGCAACGTATTGGTGAGGATGGAGCGCAAGTTAGAGGTGCAGTCCTGCTGAAAGCTGGCACATATCGTGTAGCAGGAGCAATTGTCATCAATGCCTCGGGTATTGTCCTTAGAGGCGAAGGTCAAGGTGAAGATGGAACTATCGTCATTGCTACAGGCAATATCCAACGTGATTTCATTCTCGTAAATGGAATGCTGAGGTCCGAGATGGGATGTGTTGAGAAACAGCGTTGCATGGCCAGGACAAGAGACATGATGCCAGTGAATGGATACAAAGGCTGTGGTAAGCCCGAAACATATTCTCGACAAGGCGTACTTGTTCCATGTGGGGCAACATATATCCCAGTCGTGAGTACCAAGGGATATTCCGTGGGCGAATCTATTGTTGTAAGTGATTAAAATGCTCTTCAAAGTAAAAGGAAATCTAGCTTGAGAGCCAGGTCCCATACTTAATAATAATGACGCCTTTATGCCATGGAGTAGATTGAGCGCCCTGGATGTGATCAATGGATCTGTGATATTGGCATGGACAGACTACCAGCAAGGCCCAATGGTCCCGGATCAACACAATGGACAGCGAAGTCTTTCACATTCCGTTTCGAACGCAAGATTGTGGCCATTGACCAAGCAACAAGTACATTTATTATTGACATCCCGATGGTAATGTGCCTTGATCCAAAGTATCCCCCAGCGCGTATTTATGGTCTTGTCCACAAGTTTCCTACCATATCCGATGTTGGCGTTGAAAATATGCGTTTGGTGAGCGAGTTCGATTCGTGCAATCCAGAGGATGAAAGCCATGGTTGGTATGCTATTGTGCTAGATAGCACAATTCATGGCTGGGTTGCCGATGTAACTACAATGCATTTCGTCAGCGGGATCTATGCAGCAGCTTGGTCTCGGTACATTACCATTCAGGATTGTTCTGTGCTTCATCCCGTATCCAAACCTTCGGAAGGAGGCCGCCGTTACATGTACAATCTAAGTGGACAAATGGGTCTTGTTAAGCGTTGCTTCACAAATAATGCTCGACACGATTTCATTACGCTAGGGCGAGTTTGCGGACCAAACGTGTTTGTAGATTCAACAGGAGTGAATGGCAACAACGATACAGGGCCACATGAACGTTTTGCTATGGGAATCTTATATGACAATATAACATGCAATACCTTGAACATACGTCAACGAGGATGGATGGGTTCTGGTCAAGGGTGGGCAGGGGCTTTCCATGTTGTGTATAACTGCAAAGCGCTTCAGAATAAGAACTGTTTCCAGGATCCGCCTGGAGCAACCAATTGGATCATTGGGTTTCAAGGGCATGTAACTGACCATGTCATGTTTGAGGCGCCTCCAACACGACTCATTTCCCATAACCGTCCTGTCGAACCTCGTAGCCTTTACTGGGCTCAGTTGGTCGCGCGCATGGGTGGTGATGTCCAGCGTGTCAAGAATGCTGTTGGAGTTGAGGGTCGACAAAGATATTCTCCACGCTTTTAAATCAGTATCGTTAGTTCTTGTAATATTATTACAACTTTTTCTATGGCACATGTACGCATCATCAATAAAAATTACTAATAATGTCATTAGAGACCACATTAAACCCTCCTATGACCATATCCAAGTCCTTAACCGAGGAATGACTTGCTTTAGTCATGACTAAAATACAATATATTGCTCAGCTGCATACTATATTCTACTTGTCCAGAGCCTGGAGTTCTTTCGAAAGCTTAGCTGCTCTTTCAGGGCCAGCAGCAGCCAGCATCTCCGCGACCACAACTTGGAGTTCCTCATCGCGATTCTTGCCATCGGCCTCCGTAGCCTTCATTATAGCCTCTATCCTCTGCCTAAATTTGTTTTCGCCGGCGACATCGGAATCGCTGTCATCATCTTCCTTGTCACTTTCTGATTTGTTGCTGTCACTGTCATCACTGTCTTCCAGAAGGTGTGACATGTCGTCCTCGAGCTCATCAACTTCCTTGTCAGGGTGAGGTACTCCAGTAAGCTCGCGAAGATAATGAGCAACCTCAAACCACTCCTCCTCTTGCGCATTTTCTGCCGCCTAAAAGGAAAGAAGGGTGAATAAGGAACAAGCAAGATACTACTTAATCAAGAAATGACCAATTTAAAATCGAAAAGTAAGGATTAAACTCATTATAATGAGAAGCCTTCAGTTACTACAGAGCAGCTTACAGTCAATTCGTTCCCATTAACGTGATTAGCGTCTGCTCCAGCGTCGATCAGGATCTTGGCAATCTCAACTGTCTCACAGACGAAAAGAGGAGAATCGCCATCTGGATCCTGAATGTTGACGTTGGCACCTTTCCCCAGTAAATACTTAATCAATTCCTTGTGTCCATATGATGCTGCGGCATGACTAAAATTGAAATACAGTCATAAAAAAGTTGTAATAATGCGTTTGTAATTGTGATTAAATGAGGGAAGGTAGAGACACAAAAGGATATGTTGAAATTATCTTACAGTGCCGAATATCCATTCTCATCCTGAGTGTCGATAGAAATACCGTCCTCTTCGATATACTTTTTGACACTTGCAAGGTCACCGTCGCCTGTAAATATGAAACAGGAAGAGGTTTTCGGGATAGGGTGTCAATCGTCTTCCATGGCAAAAAAAAAAAAAAAAAAAAAAAAAAAAAGATGTCCAAGATTGTCAGGTTTCTTATCTATCAAGAGAAAAAAGAGAAGGAGAATGAGGGACTTTACTTGCGGCCAGCCAAATGTTATAGCGAGACATGATGCTAAAAAAAAGGGATGAATAGATGGATGAATGCAATCTTTCTTTTTTTTTTTTTTTTTTTTTTTTTTTTCGGTGGCGCAGAACTTGCCGTGAGCGCAAGTCTTAACACAACTTTTCTGGGACGCGCTTGTCGCGGTGCATACCTCTGATCTCTCCTCCCTTGTTATTCAACCATCAGTCCACTCTTTTTGTCAATTCAGAGCATTTTGTCTACGGTTCTATTTGACGGGTACCTCTGCTCCATATAATCTCATTCCTGGATTCGACTACAAGGAGCAAAACAGAGTTGAGGGACATTAAAAAATCAAAAGCTTGGCTTTTTTAGACTTTTGTTTTGAGCTTGAGCCACTCTAAAGTTAAACGTGAGAAGAAAAATTATGTTCGCGGCAAGGGCATCTAAAGGAGGAGCGGCAGCCAATCTTAAGGACAATAGCAGTGGATCAAGTAATCGGCCTCAAAACGAAAGTCGAGCAGTCGATACTAATGCTGAGTATGCGCTGCCTCACTCCGCCATTTCATCAATAAATCGTGGCAAATTCTTTGCTTATTCAGCCGATTCCGACTTAGAGAGTACTTGGACGCCTATTCGAGCAGATATAGATGATAACACTCCACGACTCCCTCCACGTCTAGGTGAAGGCGTTCCAATCGATGAAGATTCGATTTATTCGAAAACCGATAAAACATTAGTGGCATACTTCGGACCGCTACCTCGTGAAGTTGATGAGGCGCTGAGCAGGACAGGTATACAGTAACTGAATTTTACTAGTTGCTTAAGAGTTTGCGCAGGAGCGGCATGAACACGAAATATATGAAAATACTGACGTAGATTTCTCATGCATTATTGGATCTATTGACTTTATAGATTTCTATACACAGCCCATGGCAGCCAAGATAGACTTTGATGCAGGGCTTGGCATTATTGTATCACAGTCAAAATGTTACATCTGGGCTGTCCAGAAGGTACCACTATTCATACCTTTTTTTTTTTTTTTTTTTTTTTTTTTTTTTTCGAAAGAGCAATGCACAAAGGGTGAACCTTAGAACAACACTTGTCGAATTTATAATAGATCGGGAATCTAAGAACCTGGATGGAACTATATGATCTTTTCTATAATTAGGATGTTACGTACCGATCTCCTCCAATGTGTATCAGCCTTCCAATGCCACCAAACAGCTATACATCAGCAGAAGCCTCGGTTCTTTTGCCAGTGGTCACCATAACCAAATCAGATAATCAGAATTCTGGTGTACTCGCATGTTCTCCCGACGGAACCTGTTGGTACTGGAATAATATTGATCTCAGCCTCTCGAATGTCGATGAGCATGTGGATACGAAAATTAACTTAGCCCAAAATGACTGCATTACTTATGTTGAATGTGCTGGGGTAAGTTTTTCCTCATAGGATGTCACTCACTAGCCACTATCTTTCATATTATATGTGCCGCATTAGCGTATGACCCTGGACTTACAATCCATTTCATTCATATGAAATGTCAATAAATAGCCCATGGGATATTATTTTGGCTCAAGATACGCGTGCATTTACCAGATGGCGATCAAAAAGCAGCTCGGATCCATTACCCTCACATCGACCCAATTGCATGGGAAATCAGGAGGGGCAATGGCATCGTTCTATAGCATTATTGGCAAGACACAAGGACCTGATATATCTCAAAAAGTTAAATCCTTAACCTCTGGCCCCAAAATCCAGGATCAGCTTGGGCGATGGAATTTATACGTTTTGACACAGAGAACCCTTCATAGATGGTGCCTTCACAGGTCTGGCGAATACGCCCAGGAGCCTGAAATTCCGCTAAAGGAAAAGGTTACAGAACGGATTTTGCGTGATTACTCTGCTACACTTCCTCTTGGCAGCGATCCCGACGTTCGTCTTTTGGATATTGAGTATATTAAAAACGGCAAACTATTGTTGCTAGTAACTTTTTTTGACACTGCCGAGAAATATCCAACGACACCACTGTCTTGTGCGCTGTTTACACTTTCGTCACAGTTTAGTCCAAGCATTGATATTGAAAGCGTGAAATATATCCACAGCACAATGGTAAGTTGAATGCAAAAAAAAACAGTATTTTCCTATACTGTATCCCATAGCATACCATTTCTCCCACGTGAAGCAAATTCAGTGACTAATACGCAGAAATATCCCTATACCGCTTCGGCCCTAAAGGAAGAGGATCTACGTCCGCTGGCATCGCCAAGACTAGTTGTACCAAAGGGTGGCCCAGGTGTTTTCATTGTCATGCCCAAAGCAGTAATCATCAGCTCGACATCACCTAAGATGGACCTCGAGGACTTGGTTCCTCTGAAGACAGACAGGATTATCGGGTTTGGATCAGAGGATTGGAAGCAGCGCGGTTTAGAGATGGAAGATAGTAGTGAGCTTACAATTATATGCAAGGCTAGTGGCCGATTAGGGATCAACATCCAAATAGACAACAGCAAAAGCTCTAGCTTACCATCTTCAACTTTAGGAGACGAACCCAGATCACCCAAGGAGCTGCTGACGGAGCAATTACAAGCTAAGCTGGAACAGGCAGTCTTTTTTGGCCGCAAAAAGAACAACCCTATCTCATTTGATCTAACACACTACGACGGCGGTGATCTTAACCAGGCCTCGTTGAATGTTAGCACTGAGATCATGAAGTCCTATGCAGCATTGCTAAGTTCGGGCAAGGACTTGACTGGAAAGCTTTGGGAACGTTACACGAGGATCACGAGCATCATTGAGAGTATCCAAGCTGCTGGAATGGCAAGCCGCCTCACAATTGACACTAGATTCCAGCTCTGCTGGGCTGCAGAAAAATTGGCAGCCGCAAATGCATTATGGAGCCAGTATCAACTAATATTGATAGCTAAGGACAGAAATTCGAGCACCAGGAAAAATCTGAAGCAAGTCATGGATGATGCGGCATCACAAAGCTTGCAGAGGCTTGGAGCAAACTTGTCTGAAGATCCCATCTCCTTCTTTATGAACTATCATGTACGACACACATTCGGCAGCGTTTTTTTTTTTTTTTTTTTTTTTTTTTTTAAAAAAAAAAAAAAAAAAAAACAATCCTTTTGTTGTATCTTGGAGGGTAATGTATTTCAGAGGAGCGCTAACCCTTAATTTTTCAATTTTCTACGTTTGCAGGCCGACAACTTGGCTGAGTTTCTATCCAACTTGCAGAGATCCACTGCTGATCTCACGTCGTTGTCTGACGGCCAACAAGCAGAGCTCGTACGGAATATCAACAAAATTATGATTCTCAGTCTGCGCTCAGCCTGGAATTATAGAAAGCAGAATGTGGCAAGCTATGCGCTACAAAAGAGTTGTAATTTCGAGCCTTGGACAGGTTCGTTGGTTGTGAAAAATCATTTATATTTATCTGATGATTGAAAATTAATAGTGATCCATTGCTTATTAATCTTCCTCTCTGTTCCATATGATTTTTATTTAATTTACTTTGACCCATATTTAAATGACAGGAGCGGAGAAAATCATTATGGCATTTTCAGCACAATACATGGAAACACTTTCAACTTTTAAAAAGCATGTCGACACGAAGAAAAAATCTCTGGACGTTATTAGATCTTCACCCTCAACTGATGAACTTTTGGATCAACTTTGTGACCTTGCAGATGTGGCCTTGCAGGCATTCTCTGAGCGTCTGCAATACTTAGAAGGGTAAGGGGCGGTAACATGGCTAAATCGTTTATTATACAAGACAATTTTACTATTTGGGTACAGCTTATTTATTTTACTTTATTTTAACTGCTTATTAGGTTACCATCATCAAGCGTTCACAACATTGCTGTTGTCACTGCTGTGAATGCATACGATAAAGCAAAGTCAGAGCTGTTAACACCGTTGGTTGAGCTCAAGAGAACACAAACTGCGATTGAATTGGCCCAACGGTACAAAGATTTTGATACACTAGTCAAGCTGTGTATAGGGAATGAGAACCAAATTGCAGCCTACATTGACATATATCAACAAGACTTTGCAAACGCTTTGTTTCAATGGTACTATGATAATGGTATGTTTTACATTGACCCAATTACCAAATCTACGAGCTATTAAGCGCTTTATCAGGAACAACGTTTATTCGCGGTATATGAGCTAACGCTATACCTTTTGCGGATACATGGAATAGATCAACTATCGGATCTTTTAGAAATGGGCGAGAAATACAGCGACTTGCTCACAGTTTACTTCGACAATCGTGACTACAACAAGATTGCCTGGCTGCATGACATCAAGACCAAACGATTTATAGGAGCTTCGCAGCGTGTACAAGATGCTGCTGTACTTGAAAGTAATGTGAATCGCCGAAGGACAATGTTGAGTCTGAGTAAACTCCTGTTCATGGCTGGCGTGACGCAAGAGCAACAAGAGAACGGTGCTGCAAATTCGGATGAAATGATGAAGTATGCAAGTAGAAACAATGAGGAACTCGAGATGGCAACTGTTCAAGCATTATTAGCAGATGAATGGGATCATAAAGTAGGCACATTGGCGAGTATCGAAGAGAGGGCTCAAGCGATTATTAAAACCTTTGGATCTTCTATTTTGCCAGAACAGCCGACTCTGTACAAGGTATGAAAGACATGCAAGTTAATTTGGACATCGGTCTAGCCTTAGTATGGCTTGTTGACTTTGTAAATACACTTATGCAAATTGTTTGTCAATTGATTAGGCAACGCTTCTAGCCATACGGACGCTGCTCAACCGCCAAACAATCAGTTCAGAGGACCTCCTTGACATTCTAATGCTGCAACAGAAGTTTGAAATCCAAAACTTGGACATTTGCGACGTTGTACTCAACATTTGTCTTCATTCGTCCGATATTCCCGAAAACCGTCGACCCTACGTTTTGCAGGACATCTGGCGGCGTATCTTTATTTCAGGCTCTGTACAAGATTCATATTGGAAACTTGAGGACATGTCAGAACAGGAAGCACGGGACAAGCTGATGAATTCTTGGATGTGTCGGGCGTATGCAGTGGTGGAACAAGGAAGTAGTGGTAGTAGAGATGATTTAGTCTTGCTAAGGCCACAAGATACCAAGTGCACGATGCCTGCAGAGCTATTCAAAGAGCGGTTCTCAGCCGGTATGGCTGTAGAAAATGAAGATGATATAGCTGTCGATATCGACAGGAACTATAAGGCTATGATTCGTGATTATGAGCTTGAGAATGAAGAACTAGAAAGGCGTATTCATGATGGCCAGCTGCTGGAAAAGTGGGAGCAGGTTAAATACATTGTCAAAAAAGAAGCTGTGGGATCGAGGGCAGAAGCAGGATCATTCTTGGCAAACCAAGATGTGGAGATGAAAGACGCAGATCTGTAATAAAAGAGAGATAGAAGTTGAGACAGAGCGGAATTGCAATTGCCACTTTGGTTTAAAGTTCACTTCATGTCTAAAATGTATCCTCTGGGATGAAATGGGGTCCCTGAAAGATGAGGGATCCCACTTGACACTGCTTGATCTCAGTCGTGATTGCTCACGTCTGCATCAGATCGAGATTTTCATTTTTATGCATAGTGATCTTGTACATCGTGTTTATCACGTCGCTTACTGACATTTCAAAACTGCTGACCACAAAGCATGCCCGGAATTCATTTAGACTGATAAATGACGGACAAATGCTCTCTGTCGATCGATATGGTAAGGCAAGAAATAGATTAATATAATCATCCTTCTAGTAGCGTGGGTTTCAAATTTGGATCTTTTTCCTCCATCAAGTCGCATCTGACGTGTTATTTTAGCTACTTTATAGACTAATTATTTCGCATAAGATGGTGTTTCTCTATGATTAGTAGATAATGCTCAGCATAGACGCGGTAATAGCACAAGTTGATTACCAACAAGAGGAGATGTATGAAATGCTACCACTATAATACATAAAAAGTTTTTTTTTTTTTTTTTTTTTTTTTGGTCTAGCGCCTCCTTGCTCTTGATTGTTGCGCCTCACTTTGCCATCGATACTCCCTCAACTCTTTGGAAAGATCAGGCATTTTAGTGCCCCAAGCTGGTAACTTGACGACCATGACTGTACAGTTATCTTCTGCCCCTAATTGCTCAGCCAAGTTTAACACATTAGCTGCTGCCTGTGTAGGGTTGCTTTCAAGCTTGACACAGTCGACTACTTCTTGATTACTCATGACGCTAGAAATTCCGTCAGAGATGAGGACTAAGAAGGCAGCTTCATTGGCCTTGACGGTTCGACGGATTAGCTCGGGCTCTGCAGAGACTCCGAAGGGTTTCATGGCAATATCGCCCAAAGCACGTGTATTGGCCAATTGGCCCAGAAACATATTTTCACCAAACGAATCTGCACTGACATAGGCAGCCATCTTGCGGATACGTTCTGTTGAAGCACAAAAAATAAAAAAATCGTGTGAGGTCAATCTCATTATCACTTAATAGGCACTTTTTTTTTTTTTTTTTGTTTCGATTTTGTTTTTGTTTGATTGTTTGTTTCCTTGAACATTACCAACTTCCATTACAGCATCTGGATGATGATCCGTTGTTAACTGGATACTCTCTCCACGAGGCGCTTCGCAGAGTAAGACTCGTGTATCGCCCACATGAGCTAGAATCAAATCCAAGTCATCCTTGGCCTCCCAGAATGCACCTTTGGACTGCACAATCACTACAGAGGCTGTCGAACCATCTCCATACTTGTCACGGATGAGCTCAGTATCGCATTGTAAAAAGGACAGGCACAGGCGCTGTTCCAAAGTCATGGTTGTAGGAATAGGTATAGCAGGCGCCTTGGGCTTTACTGATACACCATCATCTTTTTGGCTACCACGCTGACGTATAATGAGTTGCTCATACTCTGAAGGATCTGACCCAGAGTAAGAGGATGTTCCTCCCGGAAGGGGTGAAGTTCGATTTAGGTTTCTCCGCCTAGTTACCTCAAGCGGATCATCATAGTCATCATAATCACGTTGCAGTTCTTTCCCTTGAATCTCGTCCACTATGCTTTTATCTTGATCTGCACTTTCCCCTTCTCTTTCGACCCCTGCTGCCGATGCTGAAATTGTTGGTATAGCCTGGTTTTCCAAGCTTTCCAATTCTTCTTTTTGCTCTTCTTCTGTGGCGTTTGGGTGTGGAATGAACACCATCGACTTGACTTGACCGCCCTTACCCTTCACATGAACTTTCCTTTGTTGTCTAGCCAGTTCGGCTGCAGCAGATTCTCCAGCACCCTTTCCTCTTGCCCCGTATTTTTCTTCAAAATCTGGTGGTAAGAATGGTTCGAGGAAATGGGGTCGAAACGACCGAAAGTATCCCCCTAGTTTACGCAGATCTCGAATGACCTGAGGGACCATATCTGGTTTAGCCTGTTCAATATATTCATCCAGATGAGCCATCAAGTAATCAGCTGTGTGTGATCCACCGTGGCCATCAAAGATTGAAAAGTAAAAAAGTGTTTTGTGATCTGCATCCATTTGTGTTCCTCCTGTACTCCTAAGCGTAGTATGATGATGATTGCTGCTGTTGGAGTCCGTAGCCGTATCGACTTTATTATTAGTGCCGTTGCTGTTGCTGTTGCTAAGATTGTTCTCATTGGTTTGGCTAGTAGCTGGACCATTCTTACTTTCTGGCGATAGATCAGAAGGATATGTTGGTGGATTAAGGACCAGAACCTTGTATCTGTCCTGATTATGTTTTCGTTGGCAACGTGTGGACCGGATACCGACAAAATCGCGAGATTTAGTAAGATGAATCCTTAATGTATCGCCTTGTGAGTTCTGCATCGCGAAGTATGGTTGCGCATATCCATGCTTTGGACTCATGCTGAAAGCTCGGATTTGCGGACGACTTCCCTGGCTGTATGATGGATACAATGGTGCGGGCAGTAATGATGATGAAGCGAGATGAAAAGGTGGGGGGGATGGGATCAAGACTTTTAAGCTTGAACCTGTTGTTGCAGCCGTAATATTTATGAGATACAGAGGATTGGAATGAGGGTGTGTCACACAGAAATGTCGATGATGTTGCATGATTGGTTGTTGCTGTTGTAAGCGCAGTAGGGGCCGTGAGAAAACTGTCGAGATATTTGGTCTTTGCTGGAAATATTGGATGAAAGTTATAACTTTATGTTGTTACTATTGAACTCAATGATTGAGAGCTTTTTCCTCATTTCTTTTATTTCCAATGGTACTAATTTGCTAAGGGGTTAGATAATGGAGCAATTACCTCGGTTGGAAGCATAGAAAATAAAGTGTGCTGCTGTCGTTGCTGTTGCTGGAGGATTGGTATGGGTCTAGGGCTGAAGCACACCTTTGCAGTTAAGCCTGAGGATGACTTGAGAGAGCGCGAGCACGAGCGTGATGGTGGTATTGAAGGGGTTTGACGGCAGTTTGGCGTATTAACACGAATTGGAGCTGTAGAAGCTACTTCTGACGAGGCGATAAGGCTGCTACGGGGGCGGATTTCTGGAAAAGCCGAGGAAGCGGAATAGGTGTAGAATAGCCGTGGAGATGAGACAGACCGACGGGCCATGGTCCATGCAACAGAGTTGATCATTCGAATTTTATGTCCCTAATCTGTTGTAAACCGTTGCTTTATTGTTGTTAAGCTCACTACTTGATAGAGTATAAAGAGTGAATAAGCGCTATATTGGGGGGAAGAGAGATAAGAAAGAATAAAAGAGGAAGTAAAATAGGGAATGGAGAATAATGAGCAAGTTACCGATCAGATGAGGCAAAGTAGCCCCCAAAAAAAGAGGTATTGTGACCGCAAAACGCGAGACGCGTCCAAAAAAAAAAAAAAAAAAAAAAAAGTACAAACCTTGACCTGATTTTTCCTTAACGTCTCATTGTCTTACCTTTGTAAAAACCCCTCATTCTTTCGACTTTTCTCTTTCATATTCACTTTTATTTGAATGTCGGAAAAATTACTCGAAAGACTATATACTAGATATTAGAAATATTTTACTCGTCCTTCTCCTCAACATCATCACTCCTGCTTGCGGTAACAGCAGCACGCTTTCTCTTGACATGGTCAGCATGTCCACCACCAAATGAGGAGGTCAAAGAAAAGTCAATGTGCTTCTAAGATTCAAGGCAGATGATGAAGGAGATGTCGGTGACCTGCTTACGACACGGATGTGGCGCTGACGGATCAAGACACAGGCGTGATGGATGGATTTGGCAAAATCGAGCTTGAAGACCTGGGTCTGGAGATGACGCTCCAAGAAGTCCTCAATCTTCAAGGCCAAGGAGTAATCTAACACATCAATGGACATCAAGACGTTGCCCCCGGAGGAACGACGAGGGCCCTTGTCCATCAATGGCAACAGCTCACGAGCACGACGGATACTGGACAGAGTATAGTCAATGCGCCAAATCTCATACCTATTTCAGATTATACTCTCCAACAAGCCTCAGTTCCTGATCGAGACTAGCGGAAGGGACGATGGAGGGCCTTATATGTCTTTGAGCAGCTCTTGGGAACTCCATAAGGCACTATTTAATATAACAGGAGCAAAGAAGGGACTAGTGAACGAATATCAATCTTAAAATATGGAATCTTGAGGAATAAAAATGGTCGGATTGAATTGGATCACGACGCTGCAGTCTAGGCTGAACGAAATCATACATGCTATTCATCATTATGGATTAAACGTCAAATCTTATTTCCCCATGCTTTGATGTTGAATTGGCAATGAATGACGTTCAAACCCTGTTCCTGAGGATTTTTCTCTTTTGCAATTGTCTAAGTAATGCAACAATTTCATTTGATATTTTGAAGATCTCGTGATTTCACATTTTAGTGGCGTATTAGACCAGCCACCAAAACTCTCCGAACATGTTTGCTATTCGCTCCTTCCTTAAAGATCAGTGCAGGTCATGCGCACATTCACGGCGTTCACAAGACAATGGACAAGCAATCCCTCGCGGGTAAATTTCCAAAAGCATGCAACGGCTCTCCGATTTACTTCGTCTGTGGCGGCTCACGTTAACAGGAATCCTGTTTTGGAGTTGCAGAAACGTGGTTTAGTTGCTGCTATGACGAGGTACCATTAATTGTTTAGAGGTGACACAATGGATCATCGCTGAATAAAATCAATCGATTCTCTGAAACTTCCTTCACTTTGGATCTGTTCTTACCCAATATCTGGATTATTTTTTTTTATATTTGCGCAATCCAGTGCAGATCTGATTAACCATGTTGATAAAGGTCCTACAGCTATTTACTGTGGAGTTGACCCTACTGCCAGCAGCCTCCATCTCGGGAATCTAGTGACATTGCTCGGCTTACTTCATTTTCACATCAAAGGCCACACGACCATCGGATTGGTATGATAATGGCGTCCTAAGCCAAAAAGAATAGGAATAGTCATAACGAGTCAATCACCAATTTTTTAAGATATATCCAAGAGCTAATCATGGATATTGACGCCATAATAGGTCGGTGGGGCGACTGGTTCAATAGGTGATCCATCGGGCAAAAGCACTGAGCGTCAACCCATGTCTGCGGCAACGTTGGCCAAGAATGTAGCAGGAATTGACGCTCAATTTCAACAATTCTTCAAGCGTGGAAGAGCTTATGCTGAAAGACGTGGGTATTCGATCCAGGGCTCTAGTGGTGGGCATGTCAAAGTGGTCAATAACAAGACCTGGTTTGGGAAATTGTCTGCTCTTGATTTCTTGGCTGACATTGGCCGCTATGCCAGAGTCGGAACTATGATTGCCAGGGATAGGTAACAATGACTAACTTGAACTACACTGTTTTATTTGCCCATCTCTTAAATCTCTTCTTTTTTTTTTGTTATTGTTGCCTGTGAAAGTACAACATTGATAGACTGACGGCCTGACGGCCTGCATATCCAACTTTCAATGCCCATACATGTGTTTCTAGTGTGAAATCTAGGTTGGAGAGTCCTCAGGGTATCAGCTTCACAGAATTCTCATATCAATTGCTACAGGCGTACGATTTTTGGCATCTTTATCATGAAGACGGTTGTAGGATCCAGGTGTGTGTTTTTTTTTTTTTTTTTTTTTTTTTTTTTTTGCTCTTCTGATCTATTTGATGGAGTAAGCTCACATTTTGTTGGCTACCTTTTCCTTTTTTATATGTTACCGGGATGAAAATAGCTGGGTGGAAGCGATCAGTGGGGAAACATAACAGCAGGCATTGATTTGATCCACAAGAAGAAGAAAACCGCGAAGGAGCAGGTCATTATTGAAAGTAGCAAGGATGGCCACGGGACGATTGCTGACAGCGCTTATGGACTCACAATCCCTTTGCTTACTACTGCCACAGGGGAGAAGTTTGGAAAGAGTGCAGGCAATGCTGTTTGGTTGGACGAAAGAATGACTAGCCTTTTCGACTTTTATCAGGTATAGTGTAACTAATGGAGATACTATTGATGTATCTGTTTATTCGTCGGTTCAAAGTACAATATACTTTCAATGCTTCCCGCTATCTACTCTTTAAGGATTAATTTGCTCCGTTCCACAGTTTTTTGTCAAGACAGCTGATGCAGATGTAGAACGTTACTTGCACTACTTCACATTATTGAACACGGACCAGATCCAAGCAGTGATGAATGAGCACAATGTAGGCCATTTATATTTTTTTTTTTTTTTTTTTAAGAAAAAGTTGAATTGATAAACATATATTTTTTTGTGTTTCGTAAACAGACAGAACCTGAAAAACGTCATGCTCAACATACTCTTGCCAGGGAAACTACTGAGCTGGTTCACGGTGGTATGTTCAAATTGACTCGGAAGTCCAAAATATGGTTCTTCTCGTGCAATCATGGCACTTCTAACTTGACCGTTTTATTTTATCATCCCTCTTTTCTATACGGTGTTAGTTGATGCTGTACCTAAGGCTTTGCTCGCAACCCATGTTTTGTTTGGTTCATCATTGGACAAGCTTAAGGGACAAGAGCTGATCGATGCATTTGAGCATGATTCACGAATGATATCTCTAACCAAGTCCGACATTATGGATATGAGCGTAGATCGTGTTGCAGTAGAGTCCGGATTATGTTCCTCAAAATGTAATTTTGCTGTAAGACCAAGTTTTATGTTATCTGTACGATGTTTGACCTACCCACTCACCCAGATATTTTCTATCTATTATCTTTCTTTCAGCTGAAGCCAAGAAGCTAATCAAGTCTGGTGGATTTTACATCAACAATGTCAAGATGACAGATACAACATACCACATCGTTGAGAGGGATTGGATAGATGGCGCAGTCTGTGTACTTCGATCTGGAAAAAGTAACTACAAGCTACTCAAAGCCGCAGTGCCTGCTTCAAACTAGAAGAGTCAATTTTGAATAATTTATCATGTTTATAAAAATAAAGTATACATCTTTTAGACGGAACTTCTCATGTGTTGTCAAAAAAAAAAAAAAAAAAAAAAAAAAAAAGAGTACGCAGCACTGTCTTTTGGTTGATTTAGTAAATTTATAACACACCCACACCTTCGATGCGACTACGCACACGTGAGGCTGTTAGAAAAACTGGGACATGTGGAGTGCTCCGTACATGTAGTAGGATTAACTATATCTAGACGACAATGAGGCCATATCGATGAAGTTTTGAATTCGTTGGTGCTGACGATTATTATATGCGGTGCTTGAAGAAATGCTGGGCCTCACGAGGACAGCCATGGCATCACTCAATCTCGTAATCAAATTAATGCTATGGTCGGATGTTACGGCTGCTTGCACAAAAATCTGCAAAACGACCTTGTTATATTCAACATACGCAGCTCTGGTATGTCTAAATAAGAATTTTATTTGGCAACTATATATGTATTTTGTTCTCCTAAAGTCCAGGCGGCGCTGGCCATAACCCAGTTCCATTTATCACAGACCGGTCTGTAAAGGGGAGGTTTTTAAGGTTTTTATTCACTCCTCATGCGTGTCGTTCGGTGGCCAGCTCTTGGTCAAGACACTCATAGGCCATCCTTCGTCCTTGGCCACCTCCTTGTTAGGATAATCTAATGCAACCCACTCAACACCGTCAACTGTTGATTTATGATTGACCATACCTAAGCTCACGTATTTGCGCTCCACCTTTTGAAGCGCAATAGCACGCTGAGCATTCTTGCTGTCATTGATACTATTGCTATTGTCATTGCTACCCCCGGTTTCTGTTTCTTGCGCTCTGTTACCTTTACTCTCTTCATTTCCTTCTTCAAAATCACGGTAGTGTCTTGATCGGTCAATGAATCGGGCAATATTCCTCCTAGCCACAGCTGCAAACTCTAGCACTGAGAAGACGTGATGGACATGAACCATGTTTTTATACACCTCAATACGCACTAATTTATCTGGGTTTTCCAAACCGAGACGGTGGGCGTACAGGCGACTGTCGTCAATCTGTCGATCATGCGTTGCAGTTTGCTGAATGACGTTCCAGATAAAGATAAAGAAAAAGAAAAAAAAAAAGAAAAAGAAAAAGAAAAAAAAAAAAAAAAAAAAAAAAAAAGGAAGGTTCAGCAGGCCACTATTGTAGTAGATAGCTCAACACTGATGTATTTATACTTACCAGAAGAGTATTTGTTAATCCAGAGAGATCGGCTCGATGGACTGGGGAAACCAGAGGATGTTGAGCTAAATGAGAGTACCACTCCCATTTTCGTGCTTTTCCAAGCGCGTTTCGTGGGTTTGGGCAGGTCTCGGGATCACCACAGATATAATTGCAAGCGTAATTCATCTTTTTCCGCCACAAAATGAAAAGAAAAGAAAAGGAACATTAAGAACAGAATAGCCTTTTAGCCCTCAGTCTCCGTCCAAGATAGCCGGTAAATATGTACAAAATTTATACATTATATGTTTATGGAGAAAGTAGCCAGAAACCTACCTTGTTATGTGAAAAATAAGCTTCCTTGTTAAAAGGGATGGAGCCGATGGGTCCGGGACAGTAGCAGTACCAGTCATTGTTATTTGCTGCTGGCAGCGATGATGTAGGATCAGTCCATCCCTAAAGTCATTGAGTTGTCGGAAAGGACTTTATCAGGAAACAACTACAGACATCAGGGACCTCATAGTCACTTCTTAAAACATGTATTTCTACTCACCGAGATCAGAATGCTTGCGTGCGGCATCACATATTTGGGAGAGGTGCATGGTTGAACATATTTAGCTAAATACAACATGAATGCTGCCGTAAGGTTGCCGCCTGCGGAATCACCTGCCACGACAATATCTCTTGGGTCCACGGGCACATGATCCATAAATGGCCTTGCTTCCTTGTCACCATCGAGGATTAAAGCCTCATGGCCAGGCTCCACTAGATACAAGTAAGCCGCAAATGCATCGTGGATGGCGGCTGGAAAGGGATGCTCAGGGCCCATACGATAGTCCACCGAGAAGACTCTTGTACCAGGCCCAATGTCCTTTGCCAATCGACACAAGAAGTCACGATGTGAGGCTGGTGATAAGAAGGCGTAGCCCCCACCATGGAAATAAAGTATTACAGTTGAACTTTTAGGTCGTTTATCGCCCTTGATCGGTAAAGCCTCGATCCATTCGCCTCTTAGAGTATAGGTGCCTTCTTCAATATTGTCTAGCTGGCCAACTTCTTCAGGCATGTTTGGCAAGCGATAGGGGCTAAGCATGGGTAAATGCATAGACTCAAGATACCCCTGACTTGGATTCATCACATCGTCTGAATGCCCCCGATCCTTCAGTTGCTTGCGAAGTTGTGCCAAGCTAGCGCGCTCGGGTCTCAGGAGTACATCCAACTTCACCTTAAATTGGATGTTTTTATCTATTCTCACGTTTCGAACCAACGCTGCTTGAATTGGTATAAATCCTTCCACAAACAAGCCCGTGAAGCGTAATTGCCCAATGGTCTGTAGCTGTGGCCCCACTGAACGCAAGAGAGCCATAACAACGGTCCACCACCATGTCCAGCCGAGGGGATATTGTTTGGTTGGGTACTTGAACCGCGTGATGACCAAAAAGGGCAGTTCGATGCAATGAAGTCGGATTATAGCCCAGAGCGCTGAAGTGATGAGACACACGAGAAACACAATATCCTGCGGCTTGTAGAGGACTCCCTTGAGATAGGCTCGTTGAAGGAAGGAAGGCGCAGGGAACGGCTGAGGCTTTTGTTGGCTTTGTTGTTGTGCCGCATGTGCTGCTTGCAGAGGGGACATATTGACATCGCCAGGGATAGCCTCGGCTCCATTGTTCTCCACAAGGCCCTGCTCAGGATTAGTGAGGGGCGGGATAGGAGCCCCTGTTCGAGAGTACTTGATATCGCTTTGGACAGATGTCATATTTTTATTATTGGTTCCAAGGGCAGAGTGGGAAGCTGGAAGTAATGGATTAGAAGTATGGCCTGGTGGACTGATGGAAGGAGGAAGAAGAAAGCAAAATGTATTTGACCTATCTTTTATAGCTCCTGACTAACTTAGACGATGATTGAGTCGATCAATACACAGAAGAAGGCACATTCAACCATTGTTTGGAGGGGGGTCACGCCGAGATATTGATGTGCATGTGCCTCGGCTGGCAAAAAGTGAAAATAAGGGGAGGAGATTAAATGAAATGAAAAAAGTGTTGTTCTCCACAGGGCCAGTGCGTAGCAGATACAATCTACAATCTGGTTCAGCACCACTCATTATCATGTGCTTCTCAGCTCCCTCTTGAATGCCGTAAAAGTAAACGCTTCTTCAGGGATAACATTACGTCTGCATACCCCCAATATTATCTTAGATACCATTTTCTAGCAGCAGCAGCAGGCCGTAAATACATTACGCGACAAAAAAGCGATTTAGGTTTCGCCACGTGACCACAGCGCTTCCCTATTTTTTTCTCAGAGCTTCTTTTGAGCTCATCAAACTTGTCCAAAGTACTAAAGAAGATTAAAGTCCAAAAATCATCGAATTGAACTAGCAATGTCATCCGCCGAGGAATCTCTTTTCATCTCCCAGGTCCTGGCTGTCTATGCAGGTCAGTCTACCAAATTCCCTGCTGACTACATTCCCCCTGGCCTTGCACCCAATTGGACTTCAAAGGTAAAACAAATATAAAAATAAGCATGAGCGCTAGGAACTCTTGAAAACCTGAGTATACGAATCATATATTCCTTTCCGATATGTTTTTTTTTTTTTTTTTTTTTTTTCCTCTTAACTGTAGAGAGCCACTTTCGAAAGGCCTGCCAAGCCCGTGAAAGCCGGGGCTCCAGAAGGAGGTATTTTTTTTTTCCCCCTCAATATTTGGGCTATGAACATTGTCCCTCAATGGTGTATCAAAATACCATTGATATTAAATCGCGTGTACCTATTATGGTATTGGTTTGTAATGTTAGATATCCAAGTGACAATCAAATCGCTCAAATCAGGACAGTGGACGGTCAGTGTTCCGGCACAAGGAACAATTGCAGATCTGAAGCAGGCTTTTCAGGCCAAGTCTGGGATTGAGGTTGCAGCTCAGAGATTAGTACTCAAAGGAAAAGCATTGGTGGATAGCAAGAGTTTAGAGGATTATGGTCTCATGACAGGGTCAGTTGTTCATCTGTTTTCAAAGGCTGGTGGTACTTCCGCTGCAGCAGCTGAAGGAACTTCAGTAACAGCAGACGCGGCTACAGCACCTACATCTCTCTCATCTTCAGCTACTGCTGTCGCCGCTACTCAAGAGTCTGAAAATGCAGGAACCCCAACACAAGCATCAACAACTAAAAAGCCCCTATTAACCTCATATAGGGGACTTTCAGAGAAAGGTACAGCTATTGCAAAGGAAGCCGAGTTTTGGTACTGGCTGAACAGTCAATTGAGGGATAAACTGGGTTCTAAAGAGGATGCAGCCTTGATGACTAAAGGCTTCTTAGGCCAATACCGTGACTTAGTTGGCAATGCGGCAACAAAGGATATTGAGAAAGAAATTGTAAAGAAATAAAAATAAGAGACAAGGAAATATCTTCTTTCTTTCTTAATTATAACAAACAAATGTCTATCAAAGCATGCATCTGTGAATTACAGCGGTAAAGATGCTTAAATGTTTTTCCCTGCGCCTGCCTTGATCACATGATTTGCTAATTTTAATACCAACAGGATCTTTCCATATTTGTACAAAAAGGCCACATGGCCACTTCTGAAGTTCATACATGTATATAAATATTATGCTATTAATTAGAAAAATGTTTTCAAACTAATAGGATTATGAGCAATATCTCTTCACTTAATTATCTGTGAATAAATTAATCACTCTCGAACCCTTCAATTATAAATTATCAAGGGAGATCGTAGAAAGAGGCGTAATTTGATTGAGCAGCTTAATCCTTCAAGTAATTAGTAATATCGGGGAATGTCCCCCTGATGGACTGAATCTTTAAACAAATCAAGAAAAGGAGGGCTCCAGGCCATAAAGATAGTTTATTACGTTTGATGAAGATGATGACCGGATACCATCTCTTCTACTTCAAGATATAGATGTATATAATATGAAGAGGAAAGAATAGAGAGAACGAACGTCCTCTTGGTTCATGAATTGGAGTAATTGACAATGAAGAGTACGTTTTTGCCAAGAAAGAATTTAAACAAAGTTAAGTAGATAAATAAATAAATAAATAAATAAAAAGAGCTGTCCAACAGGTCGCTGATTGTGTGCATTGTGTGGAGAGGAAATATAAAAAAGAGATCAGGTGTCTGAGATATCCTTTTTTATTTTATGCGTTGGTGATGGCAAGGAGATACCCTATTGTGGGTGGATAACTATCAGATGCATGCCACAATTGAACTTTTTTTGTCCATCTGACTTTTCAGAATTGGAAATACAATATGATAATAATCATGTCATTACCATCCCCTCTGCTCGTTTTCAACAATGCCAAAGTATCAAACGTCAAGTGCCAATGATCGAGTAATAGAGTGAGGGGTGATGCTCCATGAATCTATTCGAGTTTGATTTCAGAGACATTTGCTTGAATCAGCTGCTCAATGAATCAAAAGAAGAACCAGGAAAAATGAAGGATCAAGAAGCAAGGCAATGCCGGGATCCGGTAAAGTGTAAAACAAGCTGCCTCTACAGAAGTAGTTTTGAGAAAAGGGGCATTTTTTTGTCTTTCACAAAGTTGGCATGTCTATTTTTGAATATCTGTCATTATTTGATTTTGTCGAAGATCTGTAGAACATGTTTGTCTGTTGCCCCATATCCATGTCCATGTCCATAGTCATGTCCGCGTTCTGTTGTCTCTGTTCATGCTGCCTTTCTGCTCTTTGCTCTCTCATAGCCCAACTTCATCCTCGTACCGTGCTTTTATGTTTTCTATCTATTTTTTTTTTTTTTTTTTTTGTCTTTCCCTTCCATCTGCTCCGTCTTTGTCTTTCTTGTGCACGACCCCTCTCCATTTTTTTTTTTTTCTTTCTCTTTCTTTCTTCCTTTCTTTCTTTCTTTCTTTCTTCAGAGAATCCTCTTCTTTTTTCTTTCTTACCACGGACGATTACTTGCTTATTACGGATCATATCAAATCGAATCAATCGAGACAAAGCCCTCATTAATCACTTTTCATACTTGTTGGTAAATAAACCATTTTTTTTTTTTTTTTTTTTTTTTATTTTCTTTGAATCAGTTCAATTGTCATGTTTCCTCATTGAAGGGAATGAAGAGATGGCGATGATGCAAAAGCAATGGAGCAATGGTCTGGTTTGTTCATCTCTACACCCCGCCAATGCACAGCAATATAATTGTTCTGAATTGATGTTGCTACCCGCCTTTCGAAGTGAAGGCATATTCTTTTACATTATCCTGGTAGTGCGCAGAGTCGTATCTCCCGATACTCCCACACTCAACATCAAAAAAAATCGTGTTGCACAACGGACACAATTCTCCTTTGAATCTATTGCTCCTTTTTTTTTTTTTTTGTTCTTATTGACAGCAAGCGTAACTTATCATCAATCAAGCTTTGGTTATATTATCCGCAGTACAGCATAGCCTCAACACCATGTCTAAAGACGAGCACAAGGAGCGTCAGCGGGTGACCAAAGGTATATAAGTACAATTGCTTTGTTGGACAGATAGGTTGAGATGAATGTGAATGCTGAGCCACTTTGATATGTGGCGCCAGATGGTCTCCATGAAATGATTACTCAGCTAAAAAAAATTATTTGTCTTAATATGGCTCTTTTTTCATAATTTGGACGGAAATGGATGGAACATAGCCTGTGACAACTGTAGAAAGTAAGTTGTAAATTACGATAATTTGAGCATTGGAGATACGCCAAGATGATTTTCATTTACCCATTTTATTGATTTATTTTTTAAAGAAAGAAAATCAAGTGTGGTAGGTATACAAAAGCATCATCTATACTTTGCTCTATTGACATCAATTACTCAGTTGATCCACTTGAGCATTAATATGGCTAATAAGACTATGATTGTTGATGTCCTATAGACGCAAAAGCGGACGTCTGCACCAGTTGTGAAATCCTTCAAATTCCATGTATGTGCTTTTGTCTGCACCCATCTACTAATTCCCTTTACAATCCCAAATGGTAGTCTGTCTTTACTTAAACTATATGCTTTGGTATTACCTTTTTTTTTTTCTTTTTTCTTCTTCAGGCTTGTATCTAGATCCAACCAAGAAAAGAGGCCCACCAAAAGGCGCTGGACGTATGTGATACGAACAAACTAGGACGTTTTTTTTTTTTCTTTCTTTCTTTCTTTCTTTCTTTGTCCTACTTATTAATGCACAATGTTATACGACCTAATTATTTCCGATATTCAGGACATACCAATGCAGTCGAGGATCGCTTGCACCGTATGGAGGTCATGGTTGGTGGACCGGCAGAAGACGAGAAAGCTGAGAGCTCAAGCAGTGAAGCAGGGGTACAATCCTCTAGTATTGCATCTTCCATAACTACTACACCAAAGACGAGGCGGCGGAAATCCACGAAAAGCAATGTCAAACCCTCTTTACAGAAACCAGAGCAAGATCTTCAAGGAGAAGAACAACAACAACAGCCTACACCCGAGCTCGTTATAGAGCAGCAGCAACAGTACCCAGCTCAGTCATTTCATACAGAAAATACTTCAATACAACAGCAACAGCAACAGCCAATCTTTCATCAAGGCATGAGCCAAAGTCCTGAAATACCATCACAGACACATTCTAATGATATTCAGCAGCACATTGTTGATCCCCAGCTGATCAGCTCCATTCACTCATTAAGGGATACCACTTTCCAAGCTTTCAACTCTCCGTCACCTAATTTAGGATCAGAACACTCTCAGCTAAGCGATCTCACAGAACGTTCACCATCTGTCGATCATTTACCAAAATTTAACTTGAACACGCCATCAATGGCTGAAGTCGATGATTTGGAAGAAGATATGGGACACTTGACGCTGGATCATAAAGGAATTGAGCGCTATGTGGGCAAATCTTCACCAATGTTTTATAATCGCCGACACTGGGGTGGCTATTCAATACGGGAACGAGAGCAACCAGAAGCCCGCAAATTTGTTGAAAACCCAGATTTGCCATCACCAGAAGTCATGACCAAACTTCTTAACCTCTACTTCATTTACGTTCACCCATTCGCCCCTGTCTTCGTGTGGTCCAAGTTTCTGAAACGTCTGCAGAATCGAGACTATTCACCATCATTCCTCTTTGTGCTCAATAGTATCTTTGCATTAGCTTCTCGATTTTCAGATGATCTTTCCTTCAGAACTGACCCAACTAAACCGCAGACGATAGGGGTCAAATTTGCAGAAAAGGCAAAGGCTATCCTTGACACCATCTATGATGCTCCAGACATGTATTGTGTTGGTGGTTTGGTCATACTTTCGTATCAGCAAATGGGAACCGGTGGCGGATATCGTGCATGGATGTTCATTGGACTTGCGATCCGAATGGCACAGCATCTGGGCTTGCATCGAGATTGTATGAAATTGAATCCACATATGCCCGCACTGGATCGAGAGGAAAGGAATCGTATTTGGTGGGCGTGTTTCGTGGCGGATCGCCTCGTCTCAGCCACATTCGGCGGGCCACAGGTATTGACTTCACACACAATTCTATTTGGTTGTGACAAACCATGCTTCTATATACCAATGCATCCATGTTACCCTGCTAAAACCTACAATGGGCTTCCGGCTCCCTGTTTTCCATAGGGCATCAACGAACACGACGTGGATGCAACGTATCCTGAGGGTATCGATGAAGAGAATACTCTGCTAGAGTACCGTTTGGACAATGCACCTATTATGCTGACAGGACCCTCGCCACATTCGGAAAAGAATTTCGTATACTTGGCATCGTTGACAAGGATCATGGGCAGAGTCTTGGTCAGTCTTTATAGTCCACTCTCAAAGGCCTCTTCTTTGTCCAGTTTATCTATGACCAACCCTGCGCCGCTGGAACAGCTTGATAAGGAGCTGACGGACTGGCTTCTGACGCTTCCACCACATTTACAGTTTCGATCTGTGCAGCAGGAACCTGGGACGTTTGTTAGTACATTGCACATGATGTTTTATGCAACTCTAATTCTGTTGCATCGGCCATACAGCCATCAGTCTCCTCATAACACCAATGACTGGACAATCTCGCTTTCGATCTGCACGTCTGCCGCCAATAATACGATTGAGATTGCTAGCAATTTGATGCGGACTACAGATGAACATAGAGACGTGCCTAGGTTAAAATGTTTGCTTCATATGGCGGTATTTATTTTTTTTACGGCAGGTTTAGTTCATATTAATAACTGTACGAGCTTGGATCCAGTTTTGGCTGCTTCGGCAAAACTACGAACAGTTGAGACTCTCCGCTGTCTGAACGTGATTGAAGATGTTTGGATTAGTGGGAAATGGTGTGGAAATAACATTAAGAATCTGCTGAAGTCGCGCAATATTGAGTTGCCATGCTCCGTTGAAGGTATGAAATCTGAAGATCAAAAAAAAAAAAAAAAAAAAAAAAAAAACTTTTTTGTATAAAATACATTTTGAGGTGAATTTGTTTTAATCGTTGTGTAAAAATATAGGATTCAAATATACCATACGTAATGGCGCAGATCCAGCAGTAGCAATGAATAATAGCAACAATATCAACCTTGCAGAGCTTGAGCTCCCCCCTTCAGCTTTGGTTATCCCCAAAGAACAATCGTTTGCGTTTGATATAGATCAGATCATGGGATATTATCAGCCAACAGGAATTCAGCACGCAGAGCCCATGGGCCGCAATTCTAGACACTTTTCTCCCACCCCATACTTCTGTTCAGTTTCTCCCCATCATGCGGCACACAACCAAATACGACCACATCCGGGCCTAACTCAAGGGCACGCTCCTCTTCCACGAAGGCCAAGACAGACCAAAAATGCCGCAGCAACAACGCCATCTCCAAACCCAAGCGGTACTGTGCTATCAAGCAATAGTCCTTCGGGGATGAGTACATCTGTCTACAGTTCATCAATGACTCCAGAATCAATTGTAGCCACTACTGGAGCTGGAACTAATGTTAATAGAGTAGCTGTAAGTATTGTTGGAGCTGATCCAAACCTCTATTCAACACCATTGATTGATCCCTTTGCCGTACCAGGAGCAACTTCGGTTGCCGCCAGCAATTGCCTTCAACCACAACAGCAGCAACAACCTAATGTCGACCCGGCGGTTGCTGCTACCAATGTTGCAAACACATACCAGAACCCATTCTCTGGTACGCTTTGGAGCCTACCAACATCGATAAGCAACGACGAATGGATGCTTTATATGCAGAATGGAGGTACAAATAGCCCTGTGACTCCTGGAAATGATGGAATAGCATCACATATAAACAGTGGCGATACCAACAATAACGTTGACAGCACCAATAGCAACAACAACAGCATTGACAATAGCATCAAGGGTATGGCAGAGCTCAATTCATCAATGTTACTGGACAACACTACTGTGGATCTGGTCCCAAATCATAGTCGTAGTCACGCTACAATAATTCATAGTAATCGAATGCATCCACTTGCACAAAGTTTGACACGGAATGATTTATTTGAGAGTACGATGGATGGTGCTGCGAACAGTAACAGTGCTGTTGTTACTCAACGTCAGGAAGAATCTGGTGCCTCGACAACGTCAACGACCAACTCGTTATTGAGCAGTGGCGGTGGATTTTCACCGCAGGGCTCAACAATAGACCCATCTATTTCACCACAACAGTTAATCCAGCAACATCCACTACAACAGCACCCATCCCCATTGTCACAACATCTTCATCCTCAACAACAGCAACAACAGCAACAGCAGCAGCAGCAACAACAACAACAACATCAACAACTCCTAATGTCACAAGGTGTGGATTCGAACGAGTATACCTACTTTTTGAACAGCTCTTCAGGGATACCTACACCTTCCTCACTCCAACCAACAGGCGTATCGAATCTAGTTTGGGGTGCTTAATAGTAATCTTTTTGCTTTTTGTATATTAGCCCTTTTTTTTTTTTTTTTTTTTTTTTTTTCCTTGAATGTGTTTTTATTTCGTACAAATTTATTTTGTCAGACATGTCTTCACTATAAAAAGACAAAATCAACTTGAAGGCAAAAATAAAAAGACAAGGAATATAATAAGCAACAAAGTGATAAATAAAAGGGAATTGTGAATAGGAAAAATATGCAATGATGAAGTAGAAGTAAAAAAATGGTAAAAACTCATTTTCTACGGTCGCTGGCATAAGGATCGTAAAGCTCAGTAGACTTGGGCGGTCGGCAATCAACATCATAGACCAGAGCGCCCTCCTCACGACCTACCATGGCTGCTACACGCATCCGCCATGTCTGTTTTGTGGGTGTCAGAGCGGTTGTATTGGGAGATGAGGTCGGCGACGATATCAAAGATCCTCTTTGTTCTGACACTGCAGGCTCCAACACTTTTAGGACTCGTGTTTGTACTGATAATTGATTGAGATGACCTGGCGAAGGCTTAGACTTCAATGGCTGCCCATGCTCTTCCTGCTGCTGCTGCTGCTGCTGTTGTTGTTGTTGTTGTTGTTGTTGTTGTTGTTGTTGTTGTTGTTGTTGTTGTTGTTGTTGTTGTTGTTGTTGTTGGTGTCGAAGCATCTGCGATGGCAACAAGATTCCTTGTCGATATGGACGATATCCACCATTGGATGCTGGGTAAGGACGCACTGACCCCTGAAACAGATGCAGCGGGGGTGTTGATTCAAATCCAGACTCTGTCGTGGGAGAGAAATGGCTATCCTGTCCGTTCTCATATTCCTCAGACCGGCCAGGCCCATGCTGTTGCTGCTGCACCTGAAGATGTTCGATTTGGCGATAGATCTCTCCACAGGATTGATAATAGTTGGCACATTGACTATGATGTTGGTGATAGTAGGATAAGGGTGGCTGTGGCTGTTGTGGTGTCATATCCCGAGCTCCCTGCTGTTCATGACTTTGCGGGCCAAAGCCCTGTTGAATGCGACATCCAGAAGTCTGGCGTGAACCATACGAATAACTCCCATAATGGTGGTGCTGTTTTCCTTGAGGGGAAGCGACAGTAGGCCTTTGGCTCGAAGAATGATGCGCCGATGGTCCTGGGGGAGATAGCGGCATATAATGGGCATTACCATAATGCATTTGGTATAGACAGTTACAGTGACTATGAGAATGATGTAGTGAGTGCGCTGGGTAATGGGCATGATCTTGGTGATAATGGGAGGCACGATGAGAGCAGAAATAATTTGGACCTGGGTTCGTCCAGTGAGCACAGGTACTCTGATATTTATTGATATTGTGGCCCTCTATGGGTTGATAATGGCAGGCGATATATTGAAGTTCATTCGGGTGCGGATGTTGATATTGGTGTTGATGTGAAGGATGATGTCGTCCTCGTTGTTCAACTGAACTCCAAGGCTGTTTTCCAAGATCGCTGTATCGACCTGAGTAGTCGAGCCTAACTGAGGATCCGGATCGATTGTTTACTGAATGGTAGTCTTGCATCGACCCATACTCAGGCCCAGAGGATGATGAACTCGAAGAACTACTGCTAACTCGTCTTGATAGCCCCGCTGACTGTGTTCTCGATCTGCCTAAAACCTGTTGCTGTTGCTGTTGCTGTTGCTGTTGCTGTTGCTTTAGTTGTAGTTGTAGTTGTTGTGATGTTTGTGCGGTAGCCACATCGGATCGTGACGGTCGACTAGCTGCATTAGTAACTAACTCTGCATTCCGTTGCGGACATCGTTCATTTAAACCCAAAGATGAAGCGGATAGTCCTGTAGAGGCTTCCACTGAGTCTGCTGGTTGCTTCGGTCTGTCGTCATCGAAGATACGGGCCCTAGCCTCTGCATAGGCTTTTTCTCGCTCTTCCATGGAAAGAGTCCGTGAAGATAATAGAGTGGCTTCGCGTCGTAGGCCAGCCGATATGTCGCTGCTGCATCTGGCTTCACAAGCACTCGCTGCCCTTGGTGGACATCTTTTGAGGACTTTGGTGGGCTGTATATTCGCCATTGATCGAACTTGGCCTTGTTGTTCCATTGTGCTGTCACCTTTATCATCAATGTGCTCTTCTTTATTATCCCTTTCTTGGCTTTCAGTTTCTTCATCATCATCATCATCGTGTTCCACCAAGTCGTGAAATCGTAGCGGTGGACTGTATGTTTATGTATAAAAACATGATTATAATTAATATTAACGATATGCAAAAAAAAAAAAAAAAAAAAAAAAAGTATCATCGATAAGACCTACATGGCGGAATGCTTTGTCTTGGACAATGTGATTCGTTTATGCAATGGATCAACTTTCCGGGCCAGTTGAAAGTAAATAGCAGATCGATGGATGATCATTCGATAATAAGAGTTCAGCCAAGGGAACTCTAACTGGGTTTGACTGTGAAATAGTGAAATACAAAGTGTATTGATATATATGAGTAAATGCGTGCCAGACGAATGAAGATTCTATAATCTGTGCTCGTTTGTAATGTGTGCAACCCTGACTCAACAAATGTTTAACTTCTCTCCAAACCAAAACTTACTTTGGATCTTGAATAAAGTTGCAAAAGTCACGGTCTAACTTTAACAGAAAAAGCCGGTCATGGCGGTTATTCAGGGCCGTGAGCAGAAACGGATCTAGATATCCGCTGGAAGATGACTCTGAGCATCGGTGACTACAATCCACCGCCTGTTCGGCATCAGTGCGGATACTGCCGCCGCTATTGCTGTTGATGTTGGCGCTACCAGCGCTACTATGATTTTGAAAGTTCATAAACTTGTTGTTGTTATCATGGTTGCTTTCGACGTTGTAGCCATTGCCAGTGTTTTTACTTTTGTTGTTGTCGTGTTGGCTACCCTTTTCTTGTCCTCTCAAGGGCCCATCCAAGGATACCACTAACGCATTTGGGCAATTGCTGGCTCGGTCCAGTGAAGTCGCGTTAGGTAGCGTGGATACCATAGCAACTGATGTGCTTTCTGATGACATCTCGGAATGGTCATCGGAAGTAGACACAGGATAAGAAGAGGAAGTACTTGGATTGTGATGACAAATGGGTTGGGGGAATGATGAAGTCGAATGTATGATGGAAGCTTCCTGTGGTCCTTCTTTGGCCATGATTCTTTCTATACTCGATGATGACAACCAGGCCTGTTTTGGTTCATTGCGTGTCATATCAGTGGACGTTTGGAAATCTTGACGACTTCTTCTTTGTTTAGCTAAGTTGTGAACCTTGTCGGTCTAAAGTTTTATACAAGGTAGAGAGGTGTGAAAAAGAAATGGTTTAAGAGGCTACCATGGCGAGGTAATAAGAAGGGTATCGAGCGCATCAAGAAGCGGCGACAATTTGGATGCATCCTTAACATTGTAAAGAGCTGCCTTTTTTCTTTTTTTTCTAAAAGTCAAGATTCTGTGATTCGGCGCATTTTTTTTTTTTTTTTTTTTCAATGTGGCACCAGGCAGGCGCATGCGAGGATTACGGTAAGAAATCTAACCTGATCCCGTGGTTCGGATGGATTTGTCATGGCTGTGGATGGATCAATCGATAAAAAGAAATAAAAAGGAATCTTCTGTGGCTCAAAACAATACAAAAATACACATTCTATGATGTGATCTGAAGAAGGAGGAAAAAAAAAAAAAAAAAAAAGGAGAAAGAGAATGCGGCAAAGAAAAGAGGAGAGAAAAAGATAGAGAGTAAAGAGGCTTATGGGCTCACCCTCCTGTGAATGTACAATGCATTGAAACTATAGTCAAAAGAATAATGATGGCGAATTGAAGGATATTCTATGAAGAGAAAGAGAGAGAAAGAGAGAAAGAGGTATTTTTTAAAAAAAAAGGCCTTCAGAATGATATGGAAAATGCGCAGGACATTGTGTAAATGAATAAAGGGATAGCAATAACAAATTAAGGAATATAAGGTGTATACAATGAGAATGGGCGCAGGCCAGCAGAATAAAATCGAAGGATAGGGAACAAAGAGCAATCAGATCCCACTCGAACTACACTATATTTGTATCCCATATCCCAATGTCTATCATAAGTGAAGGCCAAATAGAATGAAAGCAAACAGCATAGACTATCCCCAGTCTTGCCTTGACACGTTGTCTTTTTTTTTTTTTTTTTTTTTTTTTTTCCTTTGCTGACTCAATTTAGCCTGTCTATTCCAAGCCAAGCAAGTCCAAAGGATTTTTTTTTTTTTTTCCTACTCTCCATCTGCCCTTTTTATACCTTTCGTGTTTTCTTTTGTATTTCAGGCCATTGTGGCAATCTTCATCCTAATTGGTTCTTTTATTTGTCCCACTTTTTCCTTATTCCTTACACACAACTCTAAAAAAAAAAATTGCCACATACCCCGACAGCTCATGTCTGCGGACTCTGTTTCTGCACAAGGGCAAGGGACAAATAAAAAAAAAATAAAAAAAAGACCCTGAAGTTCTAGATCATTGTCAATTGGTGTTCTGAGAAGTATATCTCGGAGAAAAAGCATTCCTATTGGTCACCTACGGAAACGCGCGTATTCTTCCTAGGGTCTCATTCTATAGAACACGCGTCTTACTGTCTCTATAGACTGGCCTAACCGCCACTGCTGTTACTGGCTGCTCTCTACTAAGTGACACTATGATTATATAATACATAATGTTTATTTTTAAGCTAAGGACTCTAAGTACACATTCAGGAACTTGTCAGGTCGTGCGTAAGCAACATTTGACCGTCATTAATAGGCCGATAGAGTAAGCAAAAAAAAAAAAAAAAAAAAAAAAAAAAAATAGTTTATATTAAAACACGGTTTGTCAGATGTTATAAAGTGTATATTTCTATAAAATATCAAGTAATTTTTTTTTATTTTTGTTCATTATCTCCACCTGTGAGACAACACAAGGGTAAATTGTAGAAAAAAAAAAAAAAAGAGAAAAATAAAAAATAAAAAATAAAAAAAAAAAAGCAAAATACACAGCGAACATAAATATGAGAATCAGGTCCTTGGAATGAGGTGTATAAATGCACGACATGGTATAGAAATTTGTCTTTTTTTTTGCTCTCTTTTTTTTTTTTTTTTTTTTTTTTTCTCTTTTGCAATTTACATTTACATTTACATTTGCATTTGCATCAGATAGTGCAAAAGTCGTGCGAGCAGAAAAATAGGTAAATAGAAAGCAAAATATTAAAGTATACATAAATAAGCTATAATGGGGGTCGAACAATAAAGGAATAAGGATTGTCTTGATTCCTTCGATGCTGTCTCTTAAAATCCCATAGGATGCTGGTGATGATGTTGAGATTGCATCCCTTGTTGTGAGTGATGGTGATATTGATTTGGGTGAGCATGTGGATGAGGGAGCTGATGTGGCTGGTGCTGGTGGTGACCCAATGGATGCATCGAAAGAGGATGACCATGTTGCATATTGTTTAGGATCGGATCACACAACTGGAATTGGTTCTGATGATGCATTTGCTGGCTTTGCTGTTGTTGCTCCTGTTGGAACGCCGCCGCAGCCTGCTTGGCCGCCTCTTCTTCTGCCTTCTTCTGGCGTCGCCATTCTTTCCTCATCTCCTTGAACTCTGCAAGTCACACAAAATATAAAATAATTAGATTGGGGTTTTTCAATCTCGGGGTATGAAAGTTGAAGTTTGCACATTGAAGAGAAAAACAATAAAAAAAATAAAAAAAAATAAAAAATAAAGAAAAAAGACCTACCAGATGGATGACGCTTTGGTCCATGCTTCTGCATGTTGACATGTGCATTTAAATGATTAAGAGTACCATAGGCTTTTTCACAATCTCCCCAGTTGCAGACATAGAGGCGCTCGATCTCATCGAAGCGACGGCGTGGTCTCTTCTTGGTGTTCACCCCAGATAGGGGAACAAATGAATATGTCTTTGCTGCACCGTTCTGTCCATTATCGCCTGCATCTGCCCCAAACCATGTACCCGGTCCCATCTGTGGGAGTGGTTGATGTTGCTGTGGTGGTGTATATGGATGTGTGCTTGGAATCAAAGGTTGGGCGTACGGTGAGCTGCTGGGCGACATCTGAGATGGATGAGTGTGAGTTGAGTTTTGTGTCGGCATATGTTGATGTTGCTGAAGTGTCATCGTGTCCATGTATCCGGCCAGCGGAGACGACCGAATCATTCCGGCCTGGACCCCTGGAACTGTACTAACACCCACACCCATTAGGCCACCCTGCACAGGAAATGGACTGCCCATGAGTGGACTAGACCCAGAGTTCTCGGGACTTGTTAAACCATTCATCATAAGACTAGAGCTCGTGTCGATAGAAGGAACAAATGGGTAAGTAACGCGTCTCTGGTTGGCGCCGGTAATGGGTGAGTCTTGGCCGTTGGTGTGTGAGGATATCAGAGTAGGTGAACCGTTTCTGATGTAATCAGTTTGCTGCATCCTTGATGGGTCCTCAACAAAGCTTGGTTGTTGATGGTGGTGTTGGGTATGATGATGATGATGATGATGATGAGAATAAGGATGGCCCTGCGTAGCATACAGGTTGACCGGAGGAGGCGCTGATTGCCTGTTGTGGAGAGCAGGAGCAAAATAAGAGATTCGGGTACAGAGATAGAAAAGTGAGAAATGATATGATTAATGTTTGGGTCTAAAAAAAAACAAAGCCATGCACAATACAAAATGAGCTGAACGGCGGTCCAGTGCCGTGTTGTCAATCCATGCTTTGTTGAAATGAGACTAATCTGATGGTCAAGGGACACAAGGGAGCGTGCGCAGGAGGGGGGGGGAATATTACAATCTTAGAATCCAAGAGCGACAAAGAATAATTGTGATTATTATAATAATTATAATAATAAAATGAAGACAAATATTATTATTGAGCAATGTACACAAGGGCGGGGGGTAGGTAAACTGAATATGAAATGGGTTTGTCGTGACGTGCACAATCAAAAAGGAAATGAAAACCTCGTTTTTGTGTGCTGGAAGGGACTGTCCTCATCCTTGGATCATTCTACGTGCTTTTCTTCATGCCAATATTGCCTCCTGTCGAGAATGCACAATATACGTCATTAAAAGGGGAAGGGAAAATGAAAAAAATAAAAAAAAATAAAAATAAAAAAAGTACAAAGAAAAAAAAAGATATGGTGCGTGCGTTTGAGGTAAATGAGTACCAAAGAAAAGCGACGATGGAGTACAGTGAAGGTTGATGTATGATGAGATTATTCATAAATAAACGATGAAATGAATTCCGAGGCGCAATTTGACACCAAAAATAACAATATTGTCCATCCTCACTGGATGACAACACAGCAATTTGTTTTAGATCCAATGAACAACTTCTGTATTGAATATGATGAAATCACTCTCAGCCAACAAAGAACAGCGTATCTCGAGGTTCATAAGATGGAGTGCGTATGAAAAGGTGAGAATATGTGAAAACAAAATGAAATAAAATGACAGATTGGGGCGCGAGAACCAAAGAAGCGATGATCCAACCTGGCGGAACTGCTTGATAAGCTTTCAACTTACATGATAGTGTAATGGTTTCAGAAAAGAGATGTTGATTTCGCTGTTACGACGTTTGTAGCTCTTGTAATAAGCAGTTGAAGAATTCTAATAAAAAAAATAAAAAAAAAAAAAAAAGCTGACATTAGGTTTAGTTTGTCGGGATAAAAAAAGCTGATGTGCTTGCAATTCCTCGTCAGCAAGCTTCAACGCTAAAATACTAAACGGGACAGATTGTTTTATTTGCCTCTGGCAGGAGGATGTATCGTTGCAGTAGAAAGAATACAGCGAAGAACGATGGTCGAAAAAGGAGACGAAGGGAGGGATTTGACAGGGTAAGCGGATATTGCTGATCCATGCTCCCTCTCGAAACATCTTATCTTTCACATTTTTCACATTCTTTCTCACTCGCCCTCGTTACATCTCTTTTAATGTGCCGTCTCCATGGCCTCTGAAGACCATGTTCCTTTTCGAGCCGACTAATGACGTGATCAGGGATATATAAGATAGCTTCGGAGCGCGTTGTCTTTTCAATTGTCTTATTCATTGACTAACATTTGAGAAGATTATACCCGGGCGATTGTAAGAGAATGAACAATGACAGGAAAAAGAGAGAGGAAGAAGGAGAAAGAGAGAGGAAGGAAGCTCTTGATCCCAGTAATCAGATTGAATTATTAAACAATATGGTTATGGACATTGTTCTCTTTAACCATTACTCATGTTGATTACAAGTCACTGTGTCTGAGACGCTTGCATCTGTTTAGAATTTTAGTGGATAACGAAACAAGTAAATACCCCGAGAATGAATCACAGGACGTCCATAATGAAAGAAAGAGAAAAAAAAAAAAAAAAATGTTGTGTGGAAGTGGAGTATGTGATAAAGGACGGTATTCGACACTTGATGTACCATCTCAGATAGTTTCAACTGAGATGGAATAGGAACCTTTAAAAAAAAAACCATAAGTTTAGTCAATACCTTAGTATTTCTTAGGGTTGTGGATTGAAATGATAGGAGCTGATTTCGATGCGATGATCTTTTGGATTGAACGTTGAGAAAGAGGAGTACGAATGAAAAAGAAAAAGAAAAAAAAAAAAAAAAAGCGCTAATAGGGAGCGTAAATGGCTTTGTAAGGCAGATTGAGTGAAGGAATGGTGTGGGAAGGCGACTGGCTCGTGCTCCTCAGGAAAATTGTGGGTGAATTTCAGACTTGAAACGGAAGATAGCGCAAATGAATGAATGTGTTTTGAAATCACTTGATGAACGAGCTGTAATTGATGCGGTTGATGTGAAGTTTTCAGAGGACTGAAGGAAAGAATAAAGAATAAAGAGGAAAGAGGAAAAGAAAAAAGAATAGTTGAAGTTGAAGGCTGGTCTTTTAAGTGATTTTGCTCTGTCGGGGATCGTGTTTGCACTCGATTTACTTATTCATTCTAGTTTACTATTATTATATAATTTTATATTATTGTTTATTAAGGTTTTTGAATAAAGATAATAGAGTCTACAGGATTAAGTATTGAATCTTCTATGCAGTGAGACCCTATAAAACCCTGCGGTCGCTTGGGCACGAGCAACAGGCAAGTAAACAAGAAGCAGAATATGGGGAATGGGGAAGACGAGCAAACAGCGAACAAAGAGAGAGAGCGATGACAGGCCAGGTCAGGTCATGAATGAGAAGCAAAGCATATAGATTGATGTGTCCAGTTTGTGCATGCAGGAATAAGAAAAAGTCCACGGTTCCGATGATTGTTTACTTGAACAATACAATCACATAGTTAGGACAATCTCTCTCTCTCAAGAGATCTTGAGAAAAAACCAGCATAAACCCAGTTCTTAATCGTGCCCTCTACTTGGTGGCCTTTCCCTTTTGATCTGTGATACGGGAAACCATGGTGTGCGGGTTTGCATCCGCTCCCTCAATTGCTGCATCCTACAGTCTTATATATATATATATGTGTGTGTATATGTATTTATATATGCTCGCCTAGTTGTATCTGCAGAGTGTACGGGAAGAAGTGTAAGTTGTCCTATTTGAATCGGGTTCATGGCTCAGAGAAGGACGATGACCCATCTGATCAAGTGTAAAAAAATAAAAAATAAACAAAAAAGGCATATTCATAAAAGAAGTTTTTTTTTTTTTTTCAGCCTGCAACAACGTCAATAGCAAGCCATGTTCAAGCATTGGACAAAGGTTTACTATAACAATTTGGCGGGTTAGTTGTTTTACAGTGGGTACCCATCAATTCTCAGGGAAAAGACAAAAATAAACAAACAAATAACTTCAACAACAAGACCTACGCGAAGATCTTCGCCGTCGTTGACATGTTGAGATGTTATGCGAACACAAAGAGAGGAATCAACAGTTTACAAATATATATCGACATACAAGAACAGAATAGGGAAAGAGTAGGAAGTGGGGTTGAGAGCAATGAGAGCCGGCAAAAAAAAAAAATATATATCTTTTTTTACGGTTGACTTGGGTCCCCAGATTACACATTCATCAAAAAAAAAGTCCGTGGCGATGATAATACATTTGAGCTGTTCCTTTCAGTCATTCATCTATCCCGCGCTTTTTCTTATAAAGCAAAAGAACAGAAAAAAACAATAGGGATAAGGAACAGAGAATAGAGGATGGAGAATTAAACATTCCTTTACTTTATTTCGCGTCAGTTACCATTGCCATCGTTATCGTTATTTTGAAATCAGACACTCAGTTTTTTTTTTTTTTTTTTTTTTTTTTTCTAAATCTGAACCAAGGAATGGGTCTGGTCATAATGACGCTCGGGACATATTATGGGGCCCTCAACCCGACTGGATATGCTCTCAGTTTTATTATATATATTCTCTCTTTCTCCTTTCGTTTGCAATATGCTCAGAAATCCTTAGTCTATTAGACGCCGATTACCCACAAAAACTGGCTCTTGTTCGACATGATGTCCAAGGCCCTGTTCGTTGAGCACTTCGCCTTCCAGCATGGTTTATATCGATGTAAACATTTATGGTTTTTTTTTTAATGATGAGATTTAAAACACTTTGGGCATATATAATAATAAAGTGGTTGAACGCAAGAGGCCAGTTTTTTTGTCCGTGATTTTATTTAAAAAAAATAATGCTTTATCATGTTTATCATGAAATGAAGTGAGCAGCGCTTTATGCTCATCGAAGTCATCGTCCTCTCAACGTAGCAAACGGCAAAAGTCCAAAAATATCGACGCGCTACAGTCTTTTTTATTTTTTATTTTTTTATTGCTGATGTTGGATGCAGGGTACGAAATATAGATGCTGCTCAAAATGTCTAAAAATGTCGCCGTTGTTTTTATTTCCCTCTCTTCTAACCTCGCCATTTGTATGCAACGTATATGCATGTATTTAACCCTGTTGATAAAACTTGAGGACAGCTTTACAAAAAAAAGAGAGAGTGAGGGAGAGAGCTGTTTGCACAGCGCTCGCAAGATGCTGGGAGCTGAACTGAAGAGAAGACATTGACCATCACGCTCACATTGACCCCTGTTCCTCCTTCCTTGCACTTCCAAATAACGTAAAATAAAATAAAATAAAGAGCAACGATAATGTCCATTGCCTCTTTGTGATGTGTGGGTTACATTTACACCTCCATCTCCATACTTCTTTATCTCCACTGAACCTCTTATTCATGGACGGAAAAGGAGTATCAATGAGTGTTTGTTTTTTTTTTTTTTAAAAAAAAAAAAAAAAAAAAAAAAAGGCGGCAGATGTAAGTTGAGACATTTGTCCATAATTGATGATCACAGGAAAACCCTGGAGGTTCGAAACATCAAGATTGTCGTTGTTACATGATAATATGCATAAAGATGCGATTATATAGTGAGTATTGAATGAAAACACAATTTACTCATTCATTTATGATAACAACCGTGTCCTGTATACACCCCTTATGTTTAAAAAAAAAAAAAATAAGGCGCTCTCTGTGTCACACAGGACATAAAGATTGCTATTGCGTGTCTCTTCTTTATTCTGCTTTTAACATTTTCAATAGGGCAATCTAGGCGTTATCAAAAGACATTTAGTCATTAACACGTCTTTTATTCCTTCCAATTTGTGTCAGCTTGCTAATCCCGACAGGAGAGAGAAAAAGAAAGATAGCCGTGCCTTTTAGACTAGGGGGCGAAAGAGAGGATGTGTGTGAATGAATGAAAGGGGAAACACATGGCATAAAAAAAACTTAATACGGTACATCGTGGATAGAATCCACTGAACAGTTGTCTGTCAATTTGTAGACAGTGCTTTTCAGACGGCTCAATTTTTTGTCGAAGGTTACACCGACGTCATCTCGCATGTCAAATTGAGTTTTTTCTTTGTTGCGTTTTGCTGGGTCAACACGAAAAAAAAAAAAAAAAAAAAAAAAGACGCAGGAAAACAAGGAGGGAGCATTTTCCAAAGATCAAAGGAACAGCCGATGGCCCATGAAATATCGAAAGAAGGAGGCAAATAAAACAAAAAAACTTCGTTGCCCTGCCTTGGTTCTTGAGAAAAGCTTGTAAAGTGAGAAGGATGGTTCATACATGTCCGAATCGGAATAATGAATACACAAATTTATCATTCTTCTGCCTATATACTGCTTGATAAAAGAAGTTTTTTTTTTTTTTTTTTTTTTTTTTTTTAAAAAAAAGGACCACTGTTCATCCATGGAGCAAGTAGAGTGCAGGGAGACTGACCAACACTCCACGCATGAATGCTGCTTTTTATTTGTTTGTTTTTTATTTTTTTTCTCATGTCGGTCGAGAGAACGGGCACGCTAGTGGGCAACGGGGAGGTCTAGATTATGATCCATATCATTGAAGACCTTATCATTAACGTTAGAGACAAAATGACAGATAATTTTTGTATCAGTACTTTTTTTTACTTTTTTTTCTATTCATTCTTCCTTCAATGAATTGATCATGTTATATATATACAAAACTCGTTACTTTTCTGTTCATTATTCTGCTCATCAACATTAGACCCTCGTGGTGACAAAAAGGAAAAAAAAAAAAAGTTACATGGGCGCATAAGGGAATGGAATATGAAGACCACAAGTTTGAAAAGAGTATGAAAAGAGGTATATTCTGTACTTTCCACAATACACGCAAACAGGGCCATGACACCATTCTGCGCCAATAATGATGATAATAGTGAATCGGCATGACAGCATCATCGGCATACCTTCCGCATATTTATTTATTTATTTTCCTTTTGCTGTGTGAGAAAGAGAGTGGGCAAGGTATTCAAGGTATTTAATATGTACGCCTAGTCTCCAATGATTTTGTATCTTTTTTTTGATTTCCTGTAAAAAGTGTTAAAATGGGGAGTCCAGTTTAAGCACTGACACTCAGGGATCCCAGGCGTACTTTATTACGCATTCGACGTCCGCTCATAAAGCATGGCGCTTCTATTCTTTCCATTTTAATAATGGCTTTCATCAAACCCAGTAAGACGATAATGAAGTCATAGGCTGTGCAAACCAAAGGGAAGAGAAATGTGATTAAGATGAAAGCAAATCAGCATGAATCGTACTGTACTCCATGTCTTTTTCTCGAGACCGACTAGATGTTGGCTTGGCGAATCCGATCATCATTTCTATCCTCGCTATCTTCTTGTCGTCCCTCTGATGGTATACATGTACTTTCATCTAACAAGTAATGATCGGTCCCAAGAGGATTCCAGTCTCGAAATGGAGTAAGTATATAATTGTTGAGACACTGGACGAATTCATCGTCGTATGTCATGATGCATATTCCAGCCACAGATCAGGGCCAAGGGGTGCCAGTCAAATGTCCGCTTTATTTTGTCAAATACAAATATAAATAAATAAATATATACATTTTTTTTTTTTTTTTTTGGAGTCATCAAGTGCTTACGAAGTCTGTAAATTTATGCACAGTATATATAATATCACTCCACATGGAACTCATGGGATTTTCGCCCAAGTGGAGACCACGGCAAATGCTTGATCTACTGAATTGCGGACTTTGTTTTTTTTTTTTAGAGGTGAAAATGATCCAAGCCACACAGACGCGTCTTCGTTTAAAATCATTTTTATTTTTATTCCTAGTCCTTTTCAAGCAAGGGCCGCAAATCCCATACGCTCATGTCCAGGTCTAGAAAAGTCAAAAACTGTATAAACAGCTCTTAGAAATACTGTTCCCAGCAACGTTGGGCCTGGCGAGCTACCAAAGACTCTGGACTGGCACATTCCAGGCCCTAATTCTGCTTGTGTAAGGGCAGCACTGGCACTTGAGACCGTTTCATTCGGTTTCTTGACCCAATCCTGATATGGAACCTTATAGAGCATTCCTTCTATTCCAAACGCCAATTCCGTAGTTCCTTCACAGGGAACACGCCAGTACCCGCTCTTGAGCTGCCTTGCGCCAGGGACATGTTGAAAAAAGGCATGGTAAGTGGACTTTGCAAGATAGATACCATCAGAGCCAGAATCCAGCACAGCATACGTATACTCTGTCCCAGGGACCAATACCTGAGCCGTCACTGTCGCCGTTGCCGTTGGCGCTGTTTTATCTCTAAAATCAGTTGCAGTTTTAGGTTTAAGGAGTCCTACAGTGGTTGTTGAGGTCGCAGGGCTTTCTTGGTCCAGAAAGAGAAGAATCCCTTTATCCATCATGATAGACCAATCATAGGGGCTAGGGCCTCGAGCGCTCCAACGGATCGGTTCACGGAACCGGGATTTGTCCACAGCATTCAAAAGCAGCTCACCACCCTGGCCCGGCTCAAGAGATTTAGAGAGCCAAAGACTCATTATACCCATTCCGGCCTTGCTATCTGTCGAGAATGCTGGTGTATGATGAAGGACTGGACGAGCTGATGACGACAATAGCGAAGATAATGGTGTGGTTGCTGCTACCGCTTCTTTGGCTGCTTTAGCTGCAGATGCAGTAGCTTCAATCTTTTGAAGATTCTGGATTACAGTGGAGGAGATGACAGGACTACGTAGGTTTAGCCCAATGATGCCATCTACCCCATGGCCATAACTCTTAGTCAATCCCAGCCCAGGTTGATCAACCACAAGGATAGGTTGGTTTTTGATTTGGAGCGTCGTCGCCGTGGTGAGAGATGCGGTGATAGAAGCTTGAGCTCCAGGTTTGTCTGCGTTGACAGGAGAGACAAACCCAAGGGTATCTTGAAACAATGTGCCATTCGCAATTGTACCATCACCGTACTGTTGAACCCATCGATGGCCTCCTGTCAACATATTTTTTGCTAGCGTCGCTGTCCGAGAGAGTGAACTGTCATATCGATGGGGTACTTGGATACATTCAGGATCTGCACAGCTAGCCGAAGTCACAACCACTAGGTCAGAACCTGTATCCACCAATAAGTTGAAGAGGTAGTCGGGCCTTTTTGCAATGAACGGAAATCTGGAAGCAGAGGAATGAGGAGGTATTGAAGATGAAGATACCTGAGAGCCATCATATGTTCCAATGGTGAACACTGCAGTGTATCCATAATGCTTGGGAATATCAGTCAATGGGACTGCAACTACAGGTTCATTGTGTTGCTGTTCCTGCAGGGCTTGTTGTAGGGGCAATATTTGTTCTTGTTCTCCTTGACCCAATTCTCCTTCTTCATGGATCGCGTAGGGTCTGACTGCAAATTTCCGCAGACCTGGGCCAGAAAGCTCGGTACGATCGAGCTTGAATTTAATAACGGTATTGAATAAGGTATCTGGGCTGTCTGAGATGTCTGAAAAACCGTGATGGGACGCATTAGACACAGTGATGAGTGTCAGGGCCATAGAAAGAGTTGACAGTAGGAAGCCATAATTTGTGAGCATTTTTTTTTTTTTTTTTTTTTTTTTTGGAGGGTTTTAAAATAGTACCTAGAGTGTCTAGAGTATCCAGAGGATAAAAGAAAGTAGAAGAGAGGAAAAATGCATGCGCTCAAGAGCGAGATGAATATGTACGGCCAAATGATGCTGACGCTGTAGAAGCAAGGGCAATGATATTGATCAGTTTTATTGGTACTATATCACTTAATTTTATGAAGTCGCGAGTTTTGGTGGCGATGCCTCTACTGAATGTAGTTCCAACTTCTCATTTTCAAACCAATGTGAATCATTCAATGGCAGACTGGACAGGGAATATTAACAGCAACATTAACAACAAAACCAACAACAGCAGCAGTAGTATGCATGAGGATGCGAACAGTACAGCGGCTGTGAACGCTTGTCGCCTGATGGATTCAATAATGACAACACCCACATGGAACCATAGCATCTTTACAGATTCTGTCCAACTCTTTTCAACAGACCTTCTTAGGGAAGCGGAAGAACCTCAACAGAAACGATACCACCAGACCATTAGTGGGACCAAAACGCTAGAAACCATCTTTTCAGAAATTCAAGAGGCATTGTATGCAGCACAACAACGACTTGAATCAAAACTTGGCGAGGTTATTGCATTAAACAAAAAAAAAAAAAAAAAAAAGTTTTTAGGCACAAAAAAACCAAATCGAAAGCTGAAGGTTGTTTCCTATTTACTTTTTTTTGGATACAGGTGCCATATAATGCCAACTATATATCATCATCAATATCGTTAAAGCTGGATCAGAACATGAAAGCCTCTTTTGATCGGGCGACAACAGAACTTATTCGATCCATGCAAAAGTTTGAAGAGTTGTATGAACAAGAATTATCGCAATCTATCACAGCATATCACCACCGCCATCATCTTTGCAATGAGAGTGGTGATGTAACGCAATTAAGCAGCAAGCAACAGCAACAGGAAACCGTACCAGGTAACAGCTATACCAGCTCATCATTTTGTATATATGTTTCCTTATCAACCATACAAGAGTAAGATTGATCACTCAAAACAAGCATACATTTTGTCTTCTAGGTTTGGGTGAGGCTGCGAGTTCACTTAATATGGAACAGAATCTACTTTTGAGTATGTTGAATGATACTCATGAATTACAGAAATCGCTTGTGTCCCTCATAAGCCCATCCTCTGAAACTCAGCAAAACATCCAACAAGCCAAGAAGGATTTGCTCCGCGGCACAGACGATCCAGATGTCCAATCTATGCTTGATAGGCTCAAAGCCATGACCCATACTCTCGAGAAAAGTCGACAGCGGATCAAATTACAACCATAGAAAAAGGGGTACTTGAAAATAAAATAATAGAGCAATAGATAGATTTGAAAAAAATCATCTAATCATTCAATTCACAAAAGAAAATAATTTACAGTAATTCATTGGGTATGCTTTATTAGGAGGATGAACAAACAAAATGGAATATGCAAATATGTCTATGTAAATAATAAAGGGCGATTCTCATGAAATATCCGGACGACCATCTCCTCTGCTGCTAGCTCGGCTAAGATTTCTGCTGGTAACGCGATCCCATTCAAAGCCTGTGGGTCCAATGTTGATGCAACTGCTGCTGACATCGATCCATCCGATTGAGGCATGCCTAGTACAAGTTCTTCTAATCCCATAGCTATACCCTTCTGGTTAATCTCTTGCCAACAGTTCCTCTCAAAATTGGGGGCCGGGAAACCATACTGGCCCGTTAAGCTAGTTCGAAGGTGAATGCCATTCCAGGTCACAACATTATCCACATTCCGAGTGATCGAGCGCCCAACCCGGAACAGGTGCCCATAATAAAACAAAGCGATTAACCGAATCATTAATAAAGGCCCTAGGCGCGCTGAAAATGGGACGATGGCATACCGAATGTCCGTGTGGATGGTGGTGCGTGGACGTGCACTCCTGTTAGGGTATTCCGGATCCTCAATTTCATGAGATGGTATGATGATATAAATGAAGTAACAACATAGACGCACATCAAAGCTATAACCCATCACAGCATCCGGACTAGGCCCTAACTTCTGTGGTCGTCCACCTAAGGCATTTTTAGTTACCCCTGCTTTGGCCTCTGTTGTACATAAGGTATTACACATGGGACATTTCAGCTGCGCATCCTTGGACTGGAACCATTGCTTGATACATTCCTCGTGGAAACAGTGGCGACAACCTTTGAGCTTGACAACCTTTTCATGTGCTGCTGTTGTTGGTAATGATGAGCTATTAGGATCCGGTAGTTCAAGAGCCTCTTGGCAAATAGGACATTCTACAGGCGGTAATGTGGACGATGTCTGCGTGCCGGAAGAACCTGAAGATAATTGCCTATCCCCCATCAGCATATGGTATTCTGCGTCCACAAAGAGGTTACTCAGCAGGTCGTTCCCCATTTGAGCTAATTCCTCTAGTCGCTTCTTCCTGTCAAATACTACAGTCCCAAACCGACTTGACAGTCCCCGGATCGAATGAAGAATGCTTGGATCCAATAAATCCCACTGTGCTTGAATAAATCCCGGTAGTTCTGAGGGTAAAAGTTCTTCAGTTGGGTTTAAGCTGCTATTAGACCAAGGTGTTCCTTGATTGAGGCGTCTATCGCGTTTTCGAGTCCTGTTCTCTTTCTCCATGAACATCCACTCAACATAGTCTTGCAATAGAATGAGTCGGCGGTTAGTAAGCCTGCTACGGGGATCAATCGGCCAGAAGACCGAGGCTGCGGCTGGCTCCTGAAAAAGAGCCTGAGGAGCAGCATGCCACCAAGCGCCAGCATCCCTAAGACCACCATTTGCTTCCTCCTTATCACGATTCATCTCAAGGTTTTCCGAACACCTGCTGGTGTTATTTAAATGTGCGAAGATATTGTCACTGAGATGAGTCATCATCACCACTGGTAGCAACATTTCTGCTACGATTTGAGGCCAAACTTTAGATGAAGAAGTCTCGATCTCGACATCTGTGAAGCGGAAGCTCATTTCGAAGCTCTTGCCCTTCTCTAAGAGTTCGCGTCTCTCTTTAGCATTTCGAATATGCGATTCAAGGCGCTGTAGTGAGATAGTTGTGATCAATGAAAATCCTTGAGCCTTTGACCTTGCCTTCTCAGCACTAATCACTTTCTGCTGTCGTTGCTCCCACTCTAGCTCCCCGTCTATCGCTTTTTGCAGCTCCTGTTTTGCTTTGAGCAAAAGCTCGGCGCGATTCAAATCATCTCTTGACCATGGTGCTAACTGCGCCATCAGGTCATTATGCATGGCCTTGAGCTCCTCAAGCTTTCGCTCCAATGGGTGAATGAATAACCGGAATTCATGGCTTTGTATGATATGCCCTCGCCCAGAAACAAGCAGTTGATTTTTGTTTCGTTCAATTTCCTGAGTAATTGTATTGCCCTCGCTTTGGATCCGATGGAGCTGTGGTCCTACTAGGGCCATCGTCTCGATCAACTTTTGCCCATCAGGAAGATTGTCAATCTGACTATTTATGCGGTTTTCTTCTATGGTTCTGCGTGCGCGGTTTACTTGTTTTCTATTTTCCATGCGTACCATATGTACTTGAATATTTTTGAATAGCTCCATTAACGTGTTGTAACTAGAATCGCTCATGTAGAAGAATTTTTCTTCATTTGATAAAGGCTCAATAAAGCGGACGGCCCATTCTTTGGAGGGTTCGAAGTGAATGTTCCGTATTTGAGTGGTGGGGAGGTTGCCTGGCAGGTCAAAGATCCCAATCAACATTGCTCTAAATGCAAAATCAGGTGCTCTCCAAAGTTCTGATTTGCTCAGTTCATCTCGACTCCGTTGATGGCCGTTATCCGTAGGTGTCGGCACTGTGCATCTCCTTGCAATGTCCGTGATGGCACTAGGATATGTACTGGAGTTATTGAAGAGGACTTGATGCGCTGTCATTCGGAAAAAACTATCCGGATTGTTGGATGCTGTAAAGTTAATAACACAGAGTGGGAGAATCTGTGACTTTTCAAAACTAAAATAGAGCACAATGTAATTAAAAGCATTAGCTTATTGACAAAACAAAACAAAAAAAAAAAAAAAAAAAAAAAAAGAAGGAAGGAAAGAAAGAAAGAAAACTTACACAATCCATTCTTTGAAGACATCTTGCTCCACAGCAGAGTCATAGCCTTCTGGCAAGAACATTGTTTGCTGAGTGAGGTTTCGTTTTGATCTTTCGTATGGCTCAACCAGGACATTGCCCAAGAGGACACAGCAAAGGATAATCGAGTATTCCTGATCCATACTGGTCTGCTTGTCTACATACTGCATGCACTTTTCGATCGAATCTGAGAAGTAAACGCCTTTGCCATAAATTGCTCGCACAGTCATCCGTGGGTCTAGTCCATTGAGGAGTATAGAGGGGATACGTCTCTGTTGCGTCCCGTGATACAATATTTCGTCCCTGAAGAGTTGTGTAGGGCCCACATCATCTTTCTCATCACTGTTTGAGTTGCATCGGGCCCTTGTACGGGCCAGTCTATCTTGTTCAGCTAACTGCCTCCGGAGTTGCTTCTCAGCTTGATAGCGTCTCCAGACAAGGGGGTTTCGCAAAAGATGAACAGACTTGATTTCATACTCGAGTCGATTGCGTGTATGGCTGTAAAAATCGCCAGCGATAGTCCTGCAGAGGGCCTCTTCCGTACCGGGGTCGAGATTAAGAAGTAAGGCTGCATTGGTGGCAGACTGGTTTGAAGGTATAGTAGTAGCAGCTGGTGGGGTGTTGAACTGCGTTGCAGTCTGAGGCACTGTCAGAACAGATTTAAAGTGAGCCGTATCAGAAGTCCTTTCAAACGGAATAGCATTCTTTTCGAGGTCGAGCGGACAGTCTTCAAAAAATTTCCGGAAGTGGTCCGATAGTTCGTCTTGATTCGTATACACAAGAGGCTGCATTTCGCCTACCACCCCGTAGAATGCAGAAGAGAGAAGAAAGAGGGAGAAAGAGTATGTGTGCTTATAAATTAATGAGTGAATATGGAGTGACTAAGCGTGTGATTACTTGTGGTTGCGAAGGGGAAAGTGAAAAAAAAAAAATGAAAAAAGAAATTGGGTGTATATAAATGTGAATGTGTGACTGGTGGAACTTAAAAAAAGGCTTGGTTTTTTAATGCTTCGCCACCCTTCTGACAAACATATTGCGCAGAACAAATGGAGGTCCCAGCAGAACTGTTTATTATTATTATTATAATTTGACTATTAGTTATGTTTACATGCTTAAAAGAACTGCGGCAGAAGAAAATGAGAGTAGATATATGATACAGGTAAGAGAGAGTGACAGAAAGAAAAGAGGCAACCATCGACTTATTCATCCTTATAGCGCTTGCCAAGAGCAAGCGAAGAACTATCAGCAACAAATGATCGAGGAGATATAGGTCTGGATGAGCTGGTTGATTGACTTGAATGACTCGATTGGCTTGATTGGCTCGATTCGGCATTTGATTCGGCATTTGATTCGGCAACAACCATTGCAGGGCTATTGGGCATTGATCCAGAGTAAAGGGTATTTTGGCCGTGTTCCAGAATCAAACGACTGGGCCGAGATCGACCCGTGGCCACATTAATTGCATTTAAACTGCTAACAGCATCCTCTTCGATTGCTGCTAGCGGTGAGGGAATAGAAGCCATATTCAGGAACGAATCACGCTTCGATGACGAAGAGCCTTGAACCATGGCCACATTTACCTCCTTGTCTAGATCAAGAGTAGTAACAGATCCGGTTGAATGGGTTGACTCGCGGCTGAGACGGGAGCGACTATTATATCCGTGAACATGAGTAATAGAGTGGCGAGGGGTGGATGTGGGCGAAGTGCGAGGAGAGGCACGTGGAGAGTTGATAGTGGCAAGGACTTCCATCCAAGACTCATATCCTTGCCAACCGTTCCAGCTCTGACGATACTGACTATTCTTCCTGGGAGCAGATCCAACCGTGGGTGAGGATGGTGCGGATGAAGACTGAATTAGATTGCATTCCTCCATCTCAGGTTCGACAGAGACCACGACCACTTTGGCCATTTCCTCAATGTCACCATTGCCGTCATCATCCTGAACCCATGTGGCGTTCTCAGCAAAGTCATCATGAGCCGCATTAAAAAGTAATTGTTTTTCCTGGTGGCTCATTGCATCGCCCAAATCATGAATGACGTATGCAGCCTTGGCGTTGTGATGTTGAGGAAGGACTGAAGGCAAGAAAAAAGAGCCAATCCAGAAGGCGACGACAGCATATCCAGCGCCTCCAACCAAGTCAACAACGTAATGATGACCAAGGTACATGGTTGCCCACCATATCCAAAAGACGTATCCGACCACGAATGGCACAGAGCGGGGACCAAAGATAAAGACAAGGAAGAAAGCAAGCTGCCAGGCACAGGCAGAGTGTAATGAAGGGAATGCGCCAAATACTAAAGGTGATGCCGTGAAGGTGGATTTGTACATATTTAGTCCCAAAATCTCATCGACACGAGCAAGCCCACCGGGACTACCGGGCATAGAATAGGTTGCAGGCTCCAATGCACCATAATTGGTTTCGTACCCTGATCAACCGACGTTATGATAAAAAACCAAAGAGGAAACTAAAATGTTAAAATAGATGCCTTAAATTTTTTCAAGTGTGCTGCAAGCATTCTCATGAACATCAGCAAAGCTTACATGGTGGAGCACAGGGAAAGAACAGTTGCGTGAGAACACCTGCTAAATTCATGTAACCAAAGGTACGAGCAAAGACGGGAAGAGTGCCCTTGGGACCAAAGTATGCAATCAATGCCGCTGTGATGAATGGTAGTGCAAAGTGTAGCACTCCATAGGGCATCCACGCCAGAAGATCTTTTGCAGGGGACGTGGATTGGGCAAGAAGTTCAGAGATGTTACCACCATAAAGAATATTTTCAAGAGTAGGAAGGACAGATGTAAAAATATGGGGTCTCCACTCTGCAGGGATATAACGACAACAATAGAATAACACCAGCCAAGCAGCAATGGCAAGGAACGGAAGCATAAACTGACGGGTCTTTTGAGGGATCAATAGACCAATAGCGCCAAGTGCAATGGGCAGCTTGAACCAGATCGGCTTCTCCATGATGTAATAGCAGAAGCTGAAGAGCGCAAAGAGAAAGACATATTGAAGATCGTAGAGGGTGTAGTGGTGCTTTTGAAGTGGGCGAATTGTTGATGTGATAGCTGCCTTGGTGGCAACGACGACCCTGCGATATCGCAGATTAACGTTGGTGATGGACAACATAATTATGATTAATTGTGTAAAGAATTATTATAGCGTATTAAATATTCTCTTTTCAATCTGTCGACGTGTTGTTTTGTAGTTGTTCACGGCGATAGTAAATTTGTAAAAAGAAAGATGTATTTGGTTACTGGTTAGGAATGATGTTGGCGGTGAAAGCAGTAATAGTGGAACCAAGTGGAGAGGAATGCATGAAAGAAGCCTGTTTTCCAGGCAAGCAAGGAAAACACAAAGACGAGTAAAAGTGAAGAAAAGAAGAGAAAAGGGAGGAAAAACGACAATAAGTGAAGAAGAAGAAAAAAAAGCGCGGGCAATGAGTATTGGTTGGATTACATGTCATCGTCGTTGAAAAGTGCTCTTTGAGTGATGGGTGATATGTAATGCCGAACAGACTAAATACAAGGTCTATTCGTTTTTTTACTCAGTTTGTTTATTGTATTTGTGCGATGACGATGGAAATCTTTAGAAACTCCGACGGACTTTTTTTTTTTTTTTTTTTTTTTCGTGCGATGCGTTGCATTGCGTGCATTGCGTGTATTGTTGTATTGTTTACCCAGGGTTCACAAGAAAAAAAAAAAAGACCATGCATTTGCGCAGAGCTCTTCCTCTGTTGTGCACAATACCCGTTTGCTTTGTAATGAGATGCAACCAATAAATGTTATTGTCTCCTTTTCGCAGTGGGCGGTTAAATGGAAGAGGTCTTTAATGAAGGTTGTTGTCGAGACATCATGTCGACGTTTTCCTTTTTCTGTCATTTTAGCCAACACGCATAATTCTGACCTAGTTTGAGATCTCTTACCCCTTCATTGGTATCTATTTTTGATTTTTGACAACACAGATGTCATTTTTCTATTTTCCCTACATGGTCGCTTGAAAACTTCGCCTCCCCTTTCTCAAGTGTAAGCTTTCTCCCTCCTGGGAATTCCAATAGATGGGGGGTTAGGTTACCTTTTTTATTTTTTTTACCTTTTTCTGGTAAAACTGTGTTTTGCCTTTGTTGGACATCTATCATAGATGTGAGATGCCTCGTGAAAATAAGTTTGCAGCTGAGAATGAACCCAACATGCGCGGCCATCAGGCCTTAATATATATATATAGTCCTCGTCATTTGGTCATGCACATATTGTAAAAATATATTGATTGAATTGGAGGTCAGAAATGAGAAAATAATTGAATTGTAATTGAATACAAAAAAATTTGTAGGCTCCCTTGTCGGCAATCGAAATGGACTGTCCCTCTATGGGTTCGCTATTTGCACGGCTTCCATTCTCTACTTGCAGGTCTGGTATCACCTGATTAAAGCCACTCTTACGCAATACAAAACATATTAGCCAGCTGACACATCATTTTTTCATCTTTCTTCCACTCTTCAAATCTACACTCATCATGGAGCCTCCACGCCTCTCTCCTCAAGTGAAGCATAGGTAAACGTCGATAAATATTATGGTTGATGAGTCTTTATTTGCACAGACTAATCACCCATTATATTTAGTCCCAATTGGGCATAAGCAAGCTTTTAGCTAGATGTGAATCATGTCATCTCTTTTCAGCAGCCTACATATCAGACCCGGTCGTTGCATGCAGGAGCGCTTTCCGTTTTCTTTTCTTTTTTTTTTTCTTTTCTTCGTCCAGCTTGGGTTAGCGGCAAAGTCGTAGGATTCAGCGCTCGAGTCTCAATCTGGGATGAGAAAGGCTGTGTATGCTACGCGTGCTTTGCTGCTTTCTCTTTTCTTTTTTTTTTCTTTTCTCTTTCTTTGTCCAGCTTGGGTTAACAGCAAAGTCGTCATTCTTTACATTGAATACTTCTGTATTCAATGTAGGAGTCCTTACCTCACAGTCGTGGCTATTGTAGGACGCTTTTTGTAAAGTCGTCATTCTTCACACTTGAATACTCCTGTATTCATTGTAGGAATCCTTACCTCACAGACGTGGCTATTGTAGGACGCTTTGCTGTTGTACTTTTTCTTTTTTTTTTTTTCTTTTTTTCTTTTTTTCTTTTTTTCTTTTTTCTCTTCGGGCTTGAGTTCAGCAACAAAGTCGTCATTCTTTACATTGAATACTCCTGTATTCAATGTAGGAGTCCTTACCTCACAGTCGTGGCTATTGTAGGACGCTTTTTGTAAAGTCGTCATTCTTCACACTTGAATACTCCTGTATTCATTGTAGGAATCCTTACCTCACAGACGTGGCTATTGTAGGACGCTTTGTTGTTCTTTTTCTTTTCTTCTTTTTCTTTTTTTCTCTTATTTATTTTGAAAGCGCGCATCGATGCACGTGGGACTATACCATGTTTTCTTCCAGTCGTTGTTTGTTTCAAGACTTAAGCGAGAAGTCGTATATCCTCAAGTACAGAGGTATTGAAGTGCCATCCTACAGCTGTATGACCATGCATGTGTGCATCTTCCAATATCCATATCGAGTTGCTACTGGATTTTAATGGCTAATTTACTTTGTAAGATATGGGACCCTTAGAATCGTACATCTGCAGTAACAAGCGGCCCTCTGCGCAAGCAATTTATATCCAGTGATCCTCATCACAGCCAGGAAGATCAGTGATAGACATAGGAACAAGTCGCTGGCCAAATCATATCATGACTCAAGATGCAGTAGTGAACATCTCAGACAATAGCGCTCATATCATTCTTATCAATAAATAAAACATATGCACATCTTATAAAGTTTCAGTAATTTTACATGTTAATATTCCTCGCTTTTTCGTCGAGAGAGATTTTAACCAACTCTGTTGACCACTCTCTTTCATCAACCACTGTCGGGTTTTAAAACATTCTAAGGAACGCTTTAAAGTACGCTTTTGCTATTTTCTTTTCTTTTTCTTCATCTTCTCGCCTCTTATTTTCTTAAACATGACTCGTATTTATCCCTTCCACTCATCCAATTCATCCAGCGATCGGTACAGCAGATCGCATCGCTATCACTTTAGCCCACCCAATTCACCCACAGATCGGTACAGGGGAGCACAAACAGAATGCTACAGGAGTCTCAATGTTCGAGAATCGCCTCACTGGCCTTCCCCAGCACATCAGTACATTGGGCTTGAGTCTTCCCCTGGATACCAAGGGCCTATCCTCGATTTCGAGCGCCAGTCATTCATCCAGTCAGACCCATTCTTTGATGATGAGAATCCATTTGTAGATTCTGCTGATCCAGGATCGCAAGAAAGCAGCACCCTCTTGCCGTCTCGTGGAAAACAGGCCGTGACAAATGAGGAATACCTTCTACTTGCCAGAATATATTCTCGCTTGAAGGCAGCTCCTGAAGGAGTCCACAAGTGGTTAAAAGACGCATTTGGCTCGGGCTGGAACGCTCAATTGTCTGGGCTTTCAGGTATAAATCTCCGCTCGTGCAGAGCTTCGATAAATTGGGCCGAGAGCGGAATTTTGAGAAAGCCTTGTAAGGGAGTCGGACGTGGTGGAAAGGTGAAAGAGATGGGTAAGGAAATCCATCATGCACAATTCTCCACAGATCGTGCAGTATCGGTACAAGTACCTGACCGAACGCCTTTCTAATCTCAAAGTGGTCGAAGGTAAGGTAGTACCGATACGGCCTGAAGTTTTTCTTGACGAGAGCTATTGCCATATCAACCATTCCTCAGCAAACCGATGGGTTGAGCGCGGAGGCGACCCTGTGCAGGAACCATCCCGCCAACCACTACTCGTAATGTTTGCTGCATTTGTAGTTTATTACGATGAGGATAAAGGGGAAACGGTTGGGAAATTCGTGAACGACAGCGTTCACATTTGGCCAGCGCATGGGAAGGCACCCCTCCAAGTAAGGACGGCTCAGCAAAACCAGTCAAGGGACGATATGCGGGACAATAGAAATATCTTTGCAGACCACGACTATCATGGATATTTCAATCATCAGTTGTTCGAAGCTTTATTCGAGAAGCTTTGTAAGACCCTTGTGGAGATGGGGTTCAGATCTAGCATCATTCATATGGATGGTGCTAAATACCATTTCCATTCACCGGACAAAAAACCAACCAGCCTTAACCGCAAGGCTGAGATTATAAATTGGCTGAGATCTCATGAAATAGAAATACCGTCAAGTACGCGAGGGGATGGCATTGAGCCAACAAAGCGGGAGCTTCTTGAGTATCTCAAAACGATCGAGCATCAACCGAGGTACACTGTTCGGGATATCGCATCTGAAAATGGTGGCCATTGGATCATGAAGACCCCACCTTACCATTGCGAGCTTCAGCCCATCGAGATTATTTGGGGGGTCATTAAGAATATGGTGGCATACAACACACATGGATTGATGACTGCCGAAACTCTCACTATGATGCTGGAGAAGTTCTTCATGAGCCTTCCCAATAAAGTTTTCATTGCTGCATGGAAAAAAACTATCGACTGGGGCAATAGATATATGAACGAGCGTGCCATCCAGCCAACTGAGTCTTTTGCAGCTGATCCGGTGGCACAGAGTGAAGAAGATTTACTCTGTAATCTTCAGGCAATTGATGTTTCTGAGGGAGCGTTCGATCGTCACCTTCAACCACTTATTGCCAACACCATTGATAGTCGGAATGGTGTTTTGATTGAACCAATTGGTGATGAGGACGATGAAGACGATGAAGATATCGAAGGGGCTGAGTAAAAACAATGTAGTGCAAGAGGCGGGACGAAAAAGTGCTTTTTGAATAAAAGGACATCAAGCATAGCAGTATTTTTCATTTTTCTCTAAACTCTCCATCCCTATAATGACAGATCCCACCCTCAACACTGTTATCGAGTTCATCGATTCTGAACCAGCAGCTCTGAGCATTACCAGCTTTATACTGTGGGCCAGGAGTACTCATGGTTTAGAGTATGACGACAGAAAAAGATGGGCTACGGTCTACAAGAGATTCATACGACCTACGGTTTCTTACACCGAGTATGCCGCTCAAAAGGAAATGATGAAGAACCTTTTGTTGGACAGAGCTGAAAGGAACCGCTACTCTGAAAACAACAGAGTGTGGAAAAGGTCGATCAGAAAGGTATTTTTTATTTTTCTTTTTTTTCTTTTTTTTTTACCATTTGTTTGCGCTGAAATAGTTGCACACTTTAATAAGTAGAGGGCCGCCAAAGACCACGAGGAGTCTCCAAAGCATGGGCGAACAAGCCCTGCCACCGATATGGAGGGTGAGGGAATGAAGGAGGGCTCCCTTCATACGGAGGACACCTGGACGGAAAGTGGCAATAATATTTCGTCACGTATCATCGAATACAGGCGAAACTTTGTGGAAGAGCTACAAAATTCGGCGACCGTCTGGCAGACCTCGTAAGTGGAAACTGTTTTTTTTATATTCTTTCCTTGACGTTGTGCTAATAATCCTAATACTGAGGCATGCTTTATCTTGCATTGTTATCCAGTGCCTTGAACTACATCTTCACAAAAGAATTTTTGCTGGAGATGTACAATGATGAAGCTTTGCCTTCAAGCGTCGAGAAAATGTTTGCGGTTGAAGTCAAGGCGATGCTCGAGGAAGCAGACTCTGCATTTATAGAATCATTTGCAGAGAAAGCCGCCAACTCCTCTCAAAAGGATTTCGAAGAGCTTTGCTTCGGTATCCACCAAGATCACCCGAAAGTGGACCGAAGACTACGTAAAATTTTCGCAAATCTGTCTGGCAACAATACTCTCTGGAAAGAATCGCCGAAGACGGAGCAAAGCCTCTTTGACTGCATTGTAAATCCGATTTTACGTGCGGTTTTCGGTGATGTGCATCCAGAGTCCAGTTCACAGGCGTAAGTCTTTTTTTCGTCAAATCAACCTGATTTTTGCTGTATTAAATTGTCAGTCCCTGAACAAAGTTCTCCTTGTTGTACCTTAGAGGAATGAAGATGCCCGTTCCTTCCTATTACACACAGACCCTTTTCCCGGACGAGCAATGGTCAGTTAAAGGGCTGGTCACCATGGTGTCTGAAGGCAAACGTGACAACTCTTCTCTCGCCCTTCTGAAGAGTGATAGAAGAAAGCTATTTCACCTACAGAAGCTTGCACTAGATTTGCTCCTCGTCAATGGCGTGGCGAAACCCAAAGTTCTTGGGCTTCTAGTGCAAGGTAAGAGTTTAAAATCTTTAAAGCCTGATGTTATATCTTGATTCTCCATGCACATTTACTAATAGCAATAAAACACACCGTCTTTACGACTTCAGAGGGCATGATGGAATTCTTCGTGCTTAGTTTGGAGTATGAAGCCCTCTATATTGTAAAGGAAATAGGGAAGTTTACTTTTCCAAGAGACAACACGACTTTCCGATACATTGAGGAGGGTCTAAATATCTTACTAAAAGCACGGGTATGTATTTCATTGATTTGTCAGGTTTATGTTAGCTACAGTCATTGTATCACTGAGAGAACTAATATTTCTATTTGCTTATCATTAAGGAAATTCTCGAGGAGATGAGTGAAAAAGTCAATGCGGAGGACACCCTGCCTTTGACGAATATTGTACCAACAAACATCATAGAGCGGGAAGGGAATATACGCAAGGATTGGATGCGGCCTTCTTTTGACTTTAGAAAAGGCTGAATAAAGTTCATGCAGTTTATTCTAGCTATTGTCTGAGATGTCCACTACTGCATCTTGAGTCATGATATGATTTGGCCAGCGACTTGTTCCTATGTCTATCACTGATCTTCCTGGCTGTGATGAGGATCACTGGATATAAATTGCTTGCGCAGAGGGCCGCTTGTTACTGCAGATGTACAATTCTAAGGGTCCCATATCTTACAAAGTAAATTAGCCATTAAAATCCAGTAGCAACTCGATATGGATATTGGAAGATGCACACATGCATGGTCATACAGCTGTAGGATGGCACTTCAATACCTCTGTACTTGAGGATATACGACTTCTCGCTTAAGTCTTGAAACAAACAACGACTGGAAGAAAACATGGTATAGTCCCACGTGCATCGATGCGCGCTTTCAAAATAAATAAGAGAAAAAAAGAAAAAGAAGAAAAGAAAAAGAACAACAAAGCGTCCTACAATAGCCACGTCTGTGAGGTAAGGATTCCTACAATGAATACAGGAGTATTCAAGTGTGAAGAATGACGACTTTACAAAAAGCGTCCTACAATAGCCACGACTGTGAGGTAAGGACTCCTACATTGAATACAGGAGTATTCAATGTAAAGAATGACGACTTTGTTGCTGAACTCAAGCCCGAAGAGAAAAAAGAAAAAAAGAAAAAAAGAAAAAAAGAAAAAAAAAAAAAGAAAAAGTACAACAGCAAAGCGTCCTACAATAGCCACGTCTGTGAGGTAAGGATTCCTACAATGAATACAGGAGTATTCAAGTGTGAAGAATGACGACTTTACAAAAAGCGTCCTACAATAGCCACGACTGTGAGGTAAGGACTCCTACATTGAATACAGAAGTATTCAATGTAAAGAATGACGACTTTGCTGTTAACCCAAGCTGGACAAAGAAAGAGAAAAGAAAAAAAAAAGAAAAGAGAAAGCAGCAAAGCACGCGTAGCATACACAGCCTTTCTCATCCCAGATTGAGACTCGAGCGCTGAATCCTACGACTTTGCCGCTAACCCAAGCTGGACGAAGAAAAGAAAAAAAAAAAGAAAAGAAAACGGAAAGCGCTCCTGCATGCAACGACCGGGTCTGATATGTAGGCTGCTGAAAAGAGATGACATGATTCACATCTAGCTAAAAGCTTGCTTATGCCCAATTGGGACTAAATATAATGGGTGATTAGTCTGTGCAAATAAAGACTCATCAACCATAATATTTATCGACGTTTACCTATGCTTCACTTGAGGAGAGAGGCGTGGAGGCTCCATGATGAGTGTAGATTTGAAGAGTGGAAGAAAGATGAAAAAATGATGTGTCAGCTGGCTAATATGTTTTGTATTGCGTAAGAGTGGCTTTAATCAGGTGATACCAGACCTGCAAGTAGAGAATGGAAGCCGTGCAAATAGCGAACCCATAGAGGGACAGTCCATTTCGATTGCCGACAAGGGAGCCTACAAATTTTTTTGTATTCAATTACAATTCAATTATTTTCTCATTTCTGACCTCCAATTCAATCAATATATTTTTACAATATGTGCATGACCAAATAACGAGGACTATATTTCCCGATCTCTAGTCCCGTTTATTTGTTTAAGAAAGAGGCGCCAATGGCTTTATTCTGGGATTTCGTTCTGCTCATGTACGTGAAACGGATAAGAAAAAATTTTCAACTGACTATTCGCCGGTGAATGGACGGCACATGTACCTCAAATGGATCCTATCCACACAGATATAACCACAAGTGTTGATCAAGAGGCCCTTTGCAAAAACCTACGCTTGAAATTCGAGTTTAAATGAGCTAAACCACGCAAGTCTTTAAATTACACACTCTATGGTCAGAATCTTCCGTTCCATAGGGCACAGCAAAGTCAAGTCGATCCCTCTGTTGTGATAATGGCTTCTTTTTGACTTTAATGGATAATGAACAGCTTGTTGTATCAACTTGTTATCCATTTTGCACTGGCAGCAGACGACTGGCGTCCCGAATTCATCGACTTTTGCAACAACTGCTAGCCTAGTGACCCAATATCAGAAAAGATGATACGCAAAAAGAGTATAATAACATGACCTAGGGAATAAGCAAAAGCTTTTCAATATAATAGAAGCAGAAGTAGAAATGTTGTTATTGAAGTTATAGATCTAGCATGGGGTTATAGAACAGTTGACTCTTCACATCAGAGATCCTCATTTTGGAACATGGGTCCAGTATGGTACTCATAAAACCTTTTTTTTTTTTTTTTTTCTCTCAATGGAGCGGATTGTAGAGAGTCGCTTGTAGTATAATTAGCTACGAAAGTATGTGAGCTTGCCATTGGGCATCAAGGAGGATGTTCGAGGTGGTTTGTCACGAAACCCTCAGCTCAACAATTGTGCGCTGTACAGACAAAAGTATATTGCTAATCGATTCAGGTAGAATGAAAGTATATATATAATTACAGCTTTTCTGATAAATGGTTTTTAGATTTTACTTGGAATTAAGTCTCCATCACAGGTAAATAGTACATGGTTTATTGAGTATTATGATTATTACTATAATTATATATGTATAACAATCTAGCCGCCAATAAGGATCATGGGCCGGTTCTTCATGTGCACAAGGTTCGACATGCCAGCATGTTGCTTCTTCTTGTTCTTGACAGCGATCTCGATCACCTCGCGTAGCTCTTCATCTGTTTTGCCTTGACGTATCATATCTCTGAGTGACACTTCAGTGTTTCCAAAGAGACACACTTTCAGATTTCCGTCCGCTGTTATACGAAGGCGATTGCAAGTCCCGCAAAAATGATCTGACATGGATGTGATAAATCCAACCTGACCAGCAAAACCCGGTACATGATATGCTTTTGATGTATCATTAGGATCGTCTACAAGCTTCTTAAAGGTTGGGTGGACAGCACGGATATTGTTGATTAGCTCTTGATATGGTACAAACTTATTCTCTTTCCACTTGTTGCCTATAAAAAATAGAAAAAATAAAAAATTTAGTATATCCTGAAAGAAAACACTGTTTCATCAAGGTATCCTCCATGTATTTATTATATTTACCTCCAAATGGCATATATTCAATGAACCGTATGTCAACCTTCTTATGCCGCGTGAATTCAACAAAATCCAGCACTTCCTTGTCATTTGTTCCTCGCATGATCACACTGTTGACCTTGACAGGGTCCAGCCCTAATGCCAGTGCATCGTCAATAGTCTCCATGACTCTCTCAAATCCCTTCCTGCGAGTCATCAACTCAAACTTGAAGCGATCAAGGGTGTCCAAACTAAGGTTCAGTAAATTTAAACCGCTCTTAACGAGAAATGGTAGCTTACGCTTGAGTGCAATACCATTGGATGTCATGGCAATGGTCTTGAGGCCCAGTGGTTGCAACTCGCCCAGTTGCTCTATGGAGATATAGTCATAAAAGAGTCATTTAATATACGGAAGCATAGAAACAACGCATGATGAGTCATCATTCAGGCGTCGAGGAAGTAACAGGAAGAAATTTTTTTTTTTTTTTTTTTTTTTTTTGCAGAGCTGCGGAACTGCATTCGTGTCCAGAAGTTGAGTACACTTTGACAGATCAAATAAAAAAAATAAAAATAAAAAAAATACTGCTTCTTACCAACTAGCTCGCTGATGTCCTTTCGCACAGTGGGCTCGCCTCCAGTCAATCGAATCTTGGTCACACCTTCTTTTACAAACAAACGCGCCAGACGAATGATCTCGGGAGTAGTGAGAATATTATCCTTAGGTGAAAGTTCTACACCCTCTGCAGGCATACAATAAGTACCTATATAAAGATGGTGGGGAAGGGAAGCAGGAAACGGCATGTTAAGTATTAAGGATCATTTCTAAACATATATAAGTGCAGGCCGATGAATCATAATGGAGATATTTAGCCACATACATCGCAGGTTACACTTTTCTGTGAGAGATATGCGAAGATATGTGTGTTGTCTTGAGAAGTTGTCGGTCAGTACGCTAGAGAATGGTCGTTCTTGATCAATTTCTGCAATTTTTGCCTATTTTCAGAACAAACAGGAAAAAGAAAGAAAAACTGCAAGTCAATAAGGAGAAAAGGAAGAGAAGGCTCAACTTGTCGATCTAGCGATCTGAGTACGGTACCTGGATCCTGGTTCTTCTACTCTGTTGTTGGTTTGGGTCGGTTGAAGTGGGTATGACCAAATCCTCGTCCTCAGTCGCTAACGCCGGTTGAGAATAACTTCGCTTGTCGTTGCGGAAAGCATGGGTAACAACGTTAGTTGCACAAGGGCCAACCATTCTCTGCAGCATTGAAGCATGAATGTTGTGTGTGGCCAACACTGTGTGCTTATGTACCGCTGCTGCGCGTAGAAGCGAAGGCAAGCGCTTTGGCCATGTAGCGAGACCGAGCAATGTCATGAATGGAAGTAGTTCAAATGACAAGAAAAGCAAATGTGAGAAGAAAAAAGGTGATCAGAGCAGGGTAGAGGAACAAGTAGAAGGGATGACAGACGACTAGTTGGATGGATTCAAACGATGATGTGGTGTGGAAAGGAAAAAAAAAAAAAAAAAAAAAAAAAAAAAAAAAAAGAAATGTCAAATGTAACAAATGAGTAAACTTTATTGAAATGGGTCCGAAGGGAGCCAAAACTCCACAAAGAAAAAAAAGTGGAGACACGAAAAGTGGGTCAAAATCCCTGTGTCCTCACCCCACATCTTCACCTCTACAGCCTACTGCATCCACTCTCCTACCTCTGCTTCAACTCATTTCCAATCGGCAGCATTTAACTGGGTATACATGTAAAGCTATTAAGACCATCCATAGGTATTATTGCTCGTTTGTAGGCCTTCGGAGATCCAAAGAAACACTTTTTGATGTACACTGAACTTCATAGCACAGCCACTTTTGCAACCTGTTGTTCAATGCAATCGGACATGGTTTGCCCAAAGGAAATACATAGCCTTGCTTTCGAGACGAAAAAGGAAAATTGATATCATGAGCATCAAGCATCCTATGCGAACACGTGCTCGTAGATGCCATAGAAGTATGAACACACTTCCGTTGATGTGCATTGTGGTAAAATGCCACAACATCAGTGCGTACCTGAACAGACAGGTTCCTCGCAGTTCCTTCCTGGGCAATTATGACTGCTATGAACCTTTTGAGTAAAATCACAAACAAAATATGCCGCTCATTCTTTCTTTCGTTTTCTCACGTTCATCCATTCCTTCTGCCATCTTTCCTTTTCCCTTGCTTCTTTTATTCTAGTTTTTATTCTTGAATACGGACAATTTCCAGCCACTGTTCACAACATCCTGCACGTAGTTTGCTCACTCTGCTCATGTCCCAATCCGATGCTGCCAATGTCAGCAATGACCTTGAACATCTTGAATTGACCCGCGAGCTTGCTGCCGCACAAGCACAGGAACAAAGTCAGAATCGGAGGCAGCAACCACCTATGGTGCGCTCGCCACATTCTCCAAAAAATCCTCGCAGAGTCTCCGTAAGCTCCAACGCTTCATCATCCACTGTAAAATATCAACCACCACTGCAGGGGCTGCCATTGGAAGGAGGACTGAGCCACACTGGATCAGGAATAGTGCCATCAAGCTCCAAAGGATCGACATCGTCTTATTCTGCAGCATCCAAACGGCCTAAAGCACCGTATAGATACTCGACTGCTCTTCTCAACTCTGATGGAGCAGCATCAAGTAGTCGTCGTAGACATTCTACTTCAAGCAAACGTCCTGGATCCAGCCGTTCGTCTATCCGACAGCGCAATCAGTCTTCTGAAGACGATGAGGACGGTAACAGCCAGAAAGATGATGATGGCGTACGATCGCATCACAGTCGATTGCGGCGGGGTCACTCTCGGAAATCTACTCGTGACTACGATGAACGATCAATGGAGGGTCGTAATCACTATGGCGGTCGCTCCAGCGATGACGAGGAAGATGAAGACGAGGCAGATGAAGACGAGGACGAAGATGACCGTGGAAGCGACATCGAACACTTGACGCTGAAGGATAGACAAGAGGTATGTGGAGAACAATTTCCGATGCATTTACAAAAGGCTGTTGTGGCTCGTAATTAATCAACATGAAAAGTGGTGGTCATCAATATTTTGGAGTTACTGTCAAACCTAATTTTGTACGTTGTGCATAACATCTAGACCCTCAATCAAACCCACCCGTTCGGTTTACCACTTTGGAAACCAGCATTGTACAAAAAGTCGCGATCTGTCATCCGCAAAGCCAACTCGGCTTTACATTCGCAACCATCGCCAGACCTATATCTCTCAGTCGGAAATGTACTCTGGACTCTCATTTTTGGCTGGTGGCTTGCACTTGTGTGCTTCATGATCGCTCTCATACTGTATCTAATACCTTTTGGAGGGGCAGCCTATGCACGGGTTGTTCTTGGGCTAAGCTACTATCTATTCTGGCCATTCGGGCAGTACGTTGAGCGTGAATTATCACCTGGTGAATTCAGGACTGACAATTTGCGTACCCCAGATTATGGTGGTCAAGCAAATGGGAGCGATGAGTCCCGACCTTTACTTTCAAGAGGTAGCACAGCGACAGGGCGAGAGCATAAGGAGCCGAAACTTCGTCGGATATTTTTCACTATCAAAAATTTACCTCGGTATATTTATGAATTGGGTCTGGGTGGTATTGTCTACTATATCTTTTACTACCTCCTGATCGGTATGTCGCCTTTGAGCTAGTAAAAAGTTTATAAAGCCGATATTCGTCGTCCAATAGAAGACTTCTTTTGTGGAAAGTATATCAACGTGATTAATCCAGTTGGTATGCCCATAATTAATCTCCGCTCCGGATCCTCACCATTGTTTTCTCATTAGGTCCTCTGCATTTGTTTGTCTCTTCCCTGTGTTGGTTCATGGTTGTCTCAATTCCTATGGGGAAGTTCACTTATGTGCTGGCAACGCATTTGCACCAGCATCCTTTGCGACTTAACTTTAAGCGTGGCAGCTCTTTGACTCTTTCTCCTCAACGTTCAGAGATCCTGCTCTGCACATACGATGCTATTGGCCTCCAATACTACAAATACACCTATGACGGAACCAATATTATCTTTATCAACTTGCTGCCTGTCGTACTTTTCACTATTCTCGATGAATATGTTCTGACAGATGTGCTAGGACATGATTCGATACTGACGTCGTCCGCTGTGATTTTCTCGCTGGGATTGGCATCTGTTATTCCGCTTTCATATTTTATTGGGATGGCTGTCTCATCTATTTCAGCTCAGTCGTCATTGGGGATGGGGGCTGTTATCAATGCCACTTTTGGCTCTGTTATAGAGATTATTTTGTACACTGTTGCGCTATCACAGGGTAAAGGACTAATCACAGAAGGTGCATTGATTGGAAGTTTCTTGGCGGGACTGCTGTTGATGCCTGGCATGAGTATGATGAGCGGCGCTGTCAAGAAGAAAGAACAAAAGTTTAATGTTAAGAGTGCTGGTAAGTGGCTACTGTTGTGGTTAAGATTAAACTAGGCATATTTATTTTTATGTGCTTGGTTATGGCAAGCGAAGCACTAATGTTTAAAATTGGCGACAACAAAATGCCTGGGCACTTTCCTAGGTGTGACTGCAACAATGCTTATCATGGCGCTCATTGGAGTATTGACGCCTACGCTATTTTACTCCATTTATGGTCGGGTAGGTGAATGAGTTTGTTCGCAGGAAATTGATGTTTAAGAAAGAGCTTCATAGGATTAATGAGCATCAAACCCGATTTTGATACTTTTATGGGCGCGTAATAGTTTGAACTGCGTTGCACTCCTTGTCCAGAAAGCGTATCCCTGCCGATTGAAACAATATGCCATCGTTGTTATCATCATCAACCCAATCCTACGGATGACATGTTTTTCCAAAAGAACGTCAAGCCGCTAATGTATTTTTGCTGCATTGTCCTCCCCTCTGCATACTTGATCGGTATTTGGTTTTCACTCAGGACGCATGTAAAGCAGATCTGGCATGAGCCTCAGCACCCCTCCACACGCGACTCGTCCATCTACAGAAAATTGCTACCAACACATATTGTTCAACAGCTTCTTCATTACGGAGCCAACACACAGGCAACTTCTATACATCGAGCGCCTATGCATGCTGATGAAGACGCTGAACTGGGACATGCAGGAGTTCGGTCGTCAACAGACTACCTGACGGCGTCAGCCAGCGGTTCAACGGCGGGAAGGCGACCTCCATATTCAGCTCCGGCTACGAGTGGAGCTTCGTCGGGACCAGCATCGGCGTCGGTCCTTCATCCTGCTGCTCAGGGTCTGCTTTCGTCACTCACCATAGAGCATGATTCGCTGAAGCATATGCATGAGGACGAGGAAAATGAAGCTCATGGAGGACACGACTCTCCAAATTGGTCCAAGGCGAAGAGTGCAACTGTGCTATTGGTCTGCACTATACTTTACTCGGTCATTGCAGGTAATGAAGCGGATGGGAAATATTTGGGTGAAGAGTCTGAATATTTTGAATATTTTGAATATTTTGAATATTTTGAGTATTTTGAGAGCATAGGCTTGTTTGTTGTTTAGTTAATGACACATAAACCGTCTACTTGTCTTGGCTTCAGAAATTTTGGTTAATAGTGTGAATGCTGTTTCATCGATTGATGAAAAGTTACTCGGATTGGCACTGTTTGCACTTGTACCGAATGTGACAGAGTTCATGAATGCTATCTCGTTCGCGATGTATGGCAATATTGCACTATCTATGGAGATTGGATCAGCATATGCTCTGCAGGTGTGTTTAATCCAAATTCCGGCGATGGTGGCAATTTCTGCGTGGTTGAATTATGGCAAGGACGAGGTTTGGAAGTATACGTTCAACCTAATATTTCCACGCTGGGATGTGTTTGCGATGTTGTTCTCCGTGTTCTTGTTGACATACACCTACATTGAAGGGAAGAGTAATTATTTCAAAGGCAGTATCCTTATTTTGAGCTATTTAGTCCTCATGGCCGGGTTCGTCTATGCACCTGCTTCCCCAGGCAATGGAGACGTGAGTTTTACGACGGCATTCTAAATGATAATGATAATAATAATAATAATAATAGCGATAGTGGTAATAGTGGCAGTTGTAATAGTAAAATAGTTACTTTTTTCATCTTTTTCCCATATTTCCTTTCAAAACTGTACAATTTTTTTTTTCCACTCTTTTTCATTTGATAGTAGACAATAAAGATAGCCAAGTTGAATGATGTGTTTGACGAAGAGGGTGGTGCGACTTTGGAAAAAAATGCGCTGGACTATGAGATGTTTTTTTTGTTTAGATAATGCGTTCAAAACTTCAAAAACAAAACTGGGGTAAGGATATTCGAGCGTGTAGCCATAAAGTTGCATATGCATATAGGATATTTATTCTGCATGGCATAGGCTTATGGCATAGAAATGAATTTTGTTTATATATATGGTTGTTTACATTTTTTTTTTTTTTTTTTTTTTTTCCTTACCATCGCGCCATTATGTAGGTGACAAATGTTGATGATAGAATAAGCGACTGATGCTAAAGTGATCTAGGCAAGAGGACTCGAAAAAAAAAAAAAAAAAAAAAAAAAAAAGAGATCAACAATGCATCTGTTCCGTTAAGAAAGAGTTGGGAAGGAGAGACAGAAAGCGAAGGTGGAAGGAGCTTTATGACGCGTCTGTGCTTCCTTATTGTTGGTCCAGGACTGAGTTGATTATCCAACCCTTTAAAGAGGAAGGCATCAGATTCCCGAGGAGAAAAAGGCATTGGCCAATTAGTGGCAAACATTGGCAAGTGAGAGCAGAGAGACTTTTAGCAACAGCAGAACAGCAGGACATGAAGCGGGAAAGGGAAGTAAAATACCAACAATGTATTTAATACTGGATATATATATATATATATTGTTGTATACATGTACTCTCTGTCGCATGATGAGAAAGACGGACATTTTTTTTTTTTTTTTTTTTTTTTTTTTTGCAGATGTTTGTGTGAATCTGTTTGTAGGCGATGAAGTGAGGTATATAATACTGCCCTTTACCTTTGTAAATGTAAAGCATTTTAGAAAGCATTCATAAATTAGTCTGATAAATTAGAACCATCAATGTATACCTTCGCTGTATAGAAATATGAACATCTGTATTTTCCCATGTAAGACTCTGGAGCTGGGATGCAGGAATTTTTTTTTTTTTTTTTTTTTTTTTTCGCAAAAAAAGTGGCCATGAGTATATATATAAATGTATACATGTATCTACATATACACATTAGTATACGTGCTGGATAATATACACAGATATACATATCCTAGAACACATCTTCTTTGTTCTAACTGGCAAAAAAATAAAAGAAAAAGACTTCATTCGGCTCAAAAAAGTCCAATAGTATTCTGTGTGTTGTTAGCAATATCAAAAAAAAAACACAATCGACTGGCACCATCGATCATGCTGTTATTTTAGGCCCATCAAGGACAAGTTAGACACATCATTGCCTTTTCTAATGATCAACCATTGAGGACACATGTAAAGCCCAATCCTTCTTCCTTTATAACAATGAATACTAGACTCATTCTATGGTGTATAAACAGTTGGATATATTTAAACATTTTTGTACAAGATGACATGTTACATGTTACGCAAGATGACGGACATGGCATAAACTCTTTTTTGCCTAACCAACAAAACCCAAAAATCCAATGCTCTTTTTTTTTTTTTTTTTTTTTTTTTTTGTTCTGCTTATCCAATGGGAAAGATGCTGTCTACGGAGCCTATAAAAGTAACTTGTTCATCATGTGGGAGCAAGCCATTAGCAACGATGACTTTTAAGTCTAGTTATCCAAATATATATATATATATTTATATACACATACATATAGTATCTTTAATGGCACGGGAGAGAACAGAGAGAGAGGGAGAGAGAAGACAACCAAGGATTTTTTATATATATTTATTTTGGTAATCCAGGATTGGATATGGTAAACCGTACTTGTTTTACTTGTTTGATCGCCAATTGAAAGATGGAAGCACGGAAACATGGTTAGAGATGAGTAGAGTCGTACAAATATGAAACCAAGGTCTTTCGTTCCTGATTCTATCGGCAAAAAAAAGAGAAAAGAAAAGCAAGACGCGTAATATATATAAACAGAAGCCTATTGACAGCCAGCGAGACTAACGCCACACCAATGCCCTTGTTTTTTGCTTTGTGGGCATGACCAGCTCGATTCGCGCGTGTGTATGTGCCTGTTCTTTATTTTCGTGTTTCATGTGGATGTTTTGGGTCATCTTGTGAAAGTTGTAACATGTAAGCTGGCAGTAACGTTATAAAACAAGTAAGGAACAAGGGGAGGTACTTCCCCTCTCCCACAGCTTGTTGCACATGAAATGGTTGGCCTGCATACATGAACAAAAGAAAACAATTGTTCACTTGACCCACGAGGCGGGTAAAAAAAAAAAAAAAAAAAAAAAAAAAAACAGATACAGTAGACTAGTCCTTTTTTTTTTTTTTTTTTACAAAGCGATTAACATTAATGTCTCTAGTCTAGCAACAACAACCTTCCCCTTGTCTAGGCGTGCATCGTGATCACCATGCAGTGCACTGTCAGCCGCATGAATCCAAAAAACGGATTGATATTGTTGTTGTTGTTGTTGTGTTGTTGTGGTGCTGAGCACACTTGAATGAATATGTGTCTGTGCCACCTTCTCTTCTTCTCCCCATTTTTCGTGTATTTTCCATCAAAGAAAAAAAAAGTCTTTGAATTATACGTACTACATTTTATATCCATGTACATGTACATTCACATTTTTCAGGGCGCGTAGTTCCAGTAGAGTCGCGCATGACAACAGAAAGGTAAAAAGGATGGATAGATAAACGTATGCCGAACTGGTTCATCAAACCGCTCATTGTGTGAAAATCTGGTCATGAGATTGGGCCATGAAGGTGATGTGCATGAGTCTTTTCCGTTACTTCTTTAATGTTTTTCTTTTGTCCTTTTCTTCCTTTCTTTCTCTCAATCCCCTCGACATTCCTTCCTCCTTATTTCTTTCCCCTCTCTTCCCTTCTCTCCTCTCCGCTTGAAAGTCTATAAAGTGATGAACAGATGACTAGGCACTTCATAGACAGGATGATTTGGAAAAAGCCGTTTGGTTGGGCGTTCAGGATTTTTGGTTATAGTTGATTCATTGGAGGTGGTTTGGATCTGGTGTCCAATAGTCCCATATCATATCCCACAATGAGAATGACGATATGTGGTTTGCCATCTTTTTTTTTTTTTTTTTTTTTTTCCTTACTATTAATATTTTACAAGATAGCATTCTTTTTTATTGACCTTGCCTACTTTACTTTAGCCGGATGCAAAATCAAGGGGAATGGCATATCTTGGATACGAATTCAGTTCCAAATAGGCCGATGATGGGTTCATATTACAGATATATACACCGAATTGTCTATATGCAGCATTGAGTTGCAGTGCAGGTGATTATGCACGGGTCACGATCAATTGTGCGCATTCAAGCAAACATGTTTATGTACAAAGATACAAAGGAAAAAAAAAAAAAAAAAAAAAAATCTCGATCTTTCTGACGCATGCAAATGCTACAACAGATATATCCTCAGCTTGTTCTATTTCGTCTCCCGTCCGTTTCCTTTTTTTTTTTTTTTTTTTTTTTTTTACCATCCAAAGAAGAGCCCACAAGGGAATCCCAGGAGATGTTTACGCGCACATTTTTGGAACACCGGCGCGAGACAAAAAAGGGCCAAAAATGAAAAAAGGATCAACATGCGATGGGAGTGAACAATTCAAAGTGAGACAAAGCGTTGAGCAAATGGTGAAGCAAAAAATAATAATGGTAAAAAAGAAAAAGCGAATGGTCTAGGTCGATATACTCATCATCTAGATATATCCATCCAGGTTTCATTTCTTTCTTTTAAATCTTTCCAATGATATGACCAACGACATGGAATAACATTTTTATGTTCTACTGACAGAATAAACATATTCATAAAAAAAAAAAAAAGAAAGAAAAAGATGGTGCTGTGGATACAGATGCCACTGCCGGTCTTCAAGATGACAGTAGTTTAGCACAGCATTCGGTTTCATGTGGACAGATACATAACGGTTCCACTTTTGTACGAGGGCGAGCAAACTACCCAAACTCTTTTGGTTATCCCCTGGTTGGTTAGACTATAGATTAGAGCCGTCGAATGAACATCGCCCCTGAAATAAAAAAAGAATATGGTTTATTTTTTATCCTTGTCTCAATTGGTGCGGAAACGCTTTTGAAGCGAAAAGAGATTCCTTGTACATGTACAAAGCCGTAACAAGGAAAATCATGGGATGAATGGAACACTTTCAGTGCTTGTGTTTTTACAAATTCACTTTAGGATCTGTGAGATACAAATCTGTCCTCGGATGCTGTTCTTGCAATGCATTGTGAATGTGAATAGGAGAAACGACCCTTTTCCTCCCCACCATGGCAAAGCGAAAAAGATACAAAAAAATAAAAAAAAAAAAAAGCAATGCTTTGTGCAACCATTGGGACACTTTTTTTTTTTTTTTGAATCTCAGATGGCCTTTTTGGCTGCTGGTTCTTTGCTTACCACACACTCACAGACGCACATACAACAACAAACAACCCAAAACATCAATCCATATTCAATCGATACTTACTTAATACACATTCAATGCATTATATGCATATTCAATGCACTCCAACGCTCCCGCTCCTTTGCGCGATGGATTTGCACACAACGCGTTTTCTTTTTCGTGTCTACTATAGTTCCATTTATACAGGGTAGGCACTGGAATGGTCCCATCTCATCCAACCATAGCCAACATGACAAACTAAAAAAAAAAAAAAAAAAAGAAAAAAGAAAAAAAGTATTCAAATGAACATAATCAATACAATCCTCAATACTTTTTATTTCTTGATATTGATAAAATATCGAACCAATTCAGCTCCATTGTCCCATCCATACTTTCTCTTGCCAATCGCCTGCTCTTCTCATTGGAAAGGAAAAGTGTAGGGGAAAAGAAAGAGAGGCTTTCTATGCCTATGCGCTTGCTAGTTTTGTTCCCTTTTTCTCTTCTTTTCTTTTCTTTTCTTTTTCCTTTTCTTTTTCTTTTTCTTCTTCTTCTTCGCCCCACCTTGTTTCGACACTGTGTTTGAATTCAAGAAAGGAAACTCCATCCGCAATTCCTCCTCCATCTTCCATTCTCATTCCTCATTGAGAAAGAAAGAGCTCTCTCACCCTCCCACTGTCACATTTCTTTAACATTTATCATCCCCCCATCTTTTCCCAAATAATCAAGTATCAAATTAACAAAAAAAAAAAAAAAAAAAACGTTTACTAACCATTAACTAACGATATAGTTTTTTTTTTAAGAAAAAAAAAAGAGAAACGCCTTGGAAGAAGGAAAAAAAGGAACATTGCATTCTGTCTTTTTCTTTTTCTGTATTTATTGTATATAACAAAATAGGACTATTTAGGAAGTCGAACAACCCATTCAAGTCTTTGGTTCAATTTCTTTTTCCCGGAACAATTGATTCACCAATTTTGTAAAAAAAAAAAACAAAAAAAAAAGAAAACCCCTTCGTAAATTTCCAAAAAAAAAAACACACACACACGTTTTATTCAATATGGCTTCTAGCAATGTGTCATTCCCCAAAGGAAGTTTTTTCATTCAGTCAGGCATTGCAGGCCTCGTTCTTGATCTTGAGAGCGGGTTCTTGAAAGATCCTACCAAGGCCGGTGCCCGTATCGAGCTCGCACATTCCAAAGCTACCAAGAACGCTGAAGTCACCCCTCAGCTGGAATTGCAGCTCTGGAGGGCCGAGGAGGGTTATCTCGTCAATGTCCGAACTGGCTATGTCTTGGACGTCCAAGGAGGCAAGTCTTTTTTTTTTTTTTTTTTTTTTTATACATAAACAGTTTTTTAATTTTATTGGAGAAATTGGAGACGGGAGGCGAAATGGGATGGGGGCGGGACAGGGGTAAGGGGTAAGGGGTTGTCCTATTATAATACTAGGTTCAACAATTGGAGGAGCCGCCAGATGCTCTTACTCCGTCAGCATCGAATCGGAATACTCTCTCCATCATTATATAAATCTCTATTATGGTGCCTTAAAACACTATAGAAGTTTAGATATATATATAAAAAAAAAAAAAAAAAAAACTTTCCTTTGGAAAGCAATCGAGGATCAGTAAAGTCTAGTTTGTCAATGATTAGTTTGTCAGTAGATTTTTTTTTTTCTCAAGATTTTTCCAAAGGGAGATGGGGTCAAGGGTCAAAATGTGTTTGTTGCATGCTTCTGAACCACGTCAAGGCCTAGATGAATCCATTGTTGACCATGTACTTTTGTTAATCTCTATCTCTTCGTTTTTCTGTTGCATAATCCAGGTGCTCTCCGTGCCAACTCGCGTATCATCCAGAATGTCCGCAAGACTGGCAAGGTAATGTAGCCACAGTCTGGCCATCACCAAGACGCAATTGGTTAAAAAAAAAAAAAAAATCGTGCTTAATGCTTTTATGTATGTATCCATTACTGATCATCTTTGACTGTACACTCTATTGAATCCTAATAGGATGCTGCTGGTCAGCAGTGGTTGAACGAGGATGGTGTTCTGACTTTGGCAAGCAATCCTAAGCTTGTCATCACCCTCGACGGCGATGCCACCCGTGATGGCACCAAGATCACTCTTCAAGAGAAGAAGCCCAATAACGAGAAACAGAAATGTAAAGCCTCTTTTTGTACTGCTGAATTCATAAACCCAACCGACCAATGGCAGAGAAGGAAAAACTGATCTTTTTTATTTCTATTGACCATTGAAACATTAAAATAAAATTAGGGTCATTCCCCGCCGGTGGTAACAACCGCCCAGCCTCACCCACACCCTCTAGAGCCGAGTCTATCTCTGTTCGTCCTGACAACTTCCCCACTAACTGGTTCTACATCAAGTCAGCTGCCTCTGGTCTCGTCGTTGATATTGAGCATGGTATCTTCACAGATCCAATGAAGGCTGGTGCTCGCGCTGAAATGAACCACCAGAAGATCGACAATGGAGAAAATCGCCATGCCCTCTTGGAACTTCAACTCTGGCGCTATGAAGCTGGTTTCTTGATCAATCGACGTACCGGTCTTGTTCTTGATATTCAGGGCGGTATGTTTTTTTTTTTTTTTTTTTTTTTTTAGTATTTTTTATTTTTTACTTTTTATTTTTAAATATTAAACGTAGCTCTTCATACATACAACGTTGCTGGTTAACGAGTGAGTAATCAAGACACTGTTTATTGACTGATTCCTTGTATCTTTATCTCCCTCGTTTATAGGCGCCATCAAACTTTCTGCAAGAGTCATTCAATGGCACCGCAAGGCTGGCAAGGCAAGTGACTCTGCGAGAAATACATTTTAACAATGACAATCACTTCTATGTTTATGGTTTCTAATCAACAATACCTGTTGTATCCGGTCCTATATATAGGATGCTCGCAACCAACACTGGTTTTACGAGAATGGCTTCATTGCCAACGTCTACAATTCACGTCTGGTCCTTGATATTGATGGCGACGGAACCAAAGATGGCGCCAAGATTGCGATCGGGGAGCGCAAACCTTCTACTTCAAACTCCGATCAACAATGTAAGCCTGACTACAACGTTATGACATGTCTTCATTATGTTGATTAAAAGAATGCGTCTTGTACTAATATTAAAATCAACTTTCAAAAAATAAAAATAAAAATAAAAAAAAAAAAAAAAACTTGTAGGGATTCTTGAGGAAGCTCGATTCACATGGCTTGGTAGCCCATCTACCGCTGAGAGTATTGCAGACCGTGAGAGTAAGTGATTGGGAAACATTTAGTCAGATACAATACATACATCAGAATCTAACCCATTATGGTTATGCATTCGAAATGGTCATTAGTTCCAGCCCCTGTCACTTTGGCTCCCGTCAAGGTCCCTCCTACCAATGGTTGGTTCTACATCCGGTCATCATCATCTGGTCATGTCGTTGATATTGAGCAGGGCCTGCTCTCCGATCCTATGTCTCCCAATGTCCTTGTCAACATGAACACCCAGATCACCGAGTCCACTGGCGATGATCACTCCAAGATCGAGTCGCAGTTGTGGCGCTATGACAACGGCTATTTTATCAACAGAAGATCTCAGTATGTTCTTGATTGCAAACAGGGTGTTGTCCGTTATGGCGCTCGTCTCATGCAAGGCGTCCGTAAGGAAGGAAAGGTAAAGCAAACAAAACAGTTTTCCCAAAAGAAAAAAAAAAAAGAAAAAAGAAAGAAAAAGAGTTTATGCTCATTATTCATCATTTCATACTCCACTAAAAATAGGAGGGCCACCATCAGCGCTGGGAAGCTGTGAATGGTAGCTTGATCGTCCAAGGCAAGCCTAACTTTGCTATTGATATTGAGGGTGATGGCTCCAAGACAGGTGCACGTCTCTCACTCCAGCGTCCCAAGTCACAGAATAACCTTGACCAGCAGTGTAAGCTATTAACTCTATAAAACTAACGTTAGTATAGAACGAAATATATTTACTTACCTTTGGTTCACTTTTTTTTTTTTTTTTTTTATAGGGGAGTTCGTACCTGCCATCTTTGAATGGCTCAAATACGACCGTACTATTACTAGGACTGGTAAAAAGCATTTTTTTTTTTTTTTTTTTTTTTTTTTTAAAAAAAAAAGTCCATGGTTGGTTTTATTTTACGTATTAATTTTATTTATTTTCTTTACGGATATCAGAGACAACCATCGTAAAAGAAGTGGTCCCCATTCAGAAGGATGACTGGTTTTACATCAAGTCTAGTGCCTCTGGCCTTGTTATGGATCTGGAAGCTGGCTGGATCACTTCAGCTACTGATGTCGGTGCCTACATTTCTATGAAGAAGCAGCGCCCATTGGAGGATGCAGATAAGAGCCTAGTGGAGCGTCAGCTCTGGAGATACGAAGATGGTTACATTATCAACCGCAGAACCGGCTTTGTTTTTGACATCTATGGCCGCACTGCCGTTGTCGGTGTTAAGCTGATCCAACAGCACAAGGCTTTGACTGAGGTAAAATCTGCTTCCCTCAAAATGCTGCCAATACACTTTCCTTTGATAGTTGCATCACTTGCTTTCCGTTTATAGATTGTTAATATCTTATCTCATCTTTGTAGGCGGAAGGTAGTCATAATCAGCTATGGAATGTTACGGATGGCAATATTCAATTGGTACACAAGCCCAAGTTCGTTGTCAATGTCGAATCTAACAAGGAGGGTTCCCGTGTCCAATTGGTTGAACTCAAGTCATCTTTGGCCTCTGCTAATACCTGTAAGTGTGTGAATCAAAGAAAGGGTGGAGTAATGAAGAAGATAGAGAAGGATTGCAAGCGAACTTTGATTTTTTTTTTTTTTTTTTTAAATTCATTTCTTGATCCGCAGGGACTCTCGAGCTTGCTCAGACATCATGGCTCAAGCAATCTCGCGTCATGACCCGCTCATCGACTTTTGACGAGGGTCTCGAGGAAGCCAAGATTCTCGTCCACACTGATTTCCCCGTTCAAAAATGGTTCTACATCAAGTCCAGAGCTTCTGCCCTTGTTCTTGATGTCGAGCACGGCTTTTTCCGCGACCACACCAAGCCTGGCGCATACCTGGAACTCAACAACCAAAAACTGTTTGCCTCTGCAAAGAGACACGCCCTCTTGGAATTGCAACTTTGGCGCTTCGAGAACGGCTTCATTATCAACCGTCGTACTGGTTTGGTTCTAGATGCCAGTGAAGGCGCTTTGAAGCCAGGCACCCGTCTTATTCAATGGACCCGCAAGACTGAGGACAATGCTAACCAACAGTGGGGTGTCTCCAACGGTTTCATTCATTTGAAGAGTAACCCTGATCTTGTCTTGGACGTTGACGGCGATGGTACTCGCGATGGAGCTCGTATTTCGCTCAATGAACGCAAGGATAAGAAGAACCTCGACCAGCGTTGTAAGTTTACATTGCATAAGCGCAAATATGCACGTGTCGCTTCTGTCAAATAAAACAGCAGCCCCATATCTAATAATAACATCATTTGTTTTCATCTCTTTGACAACTATTAGGGTCCTTCGAGTCCGTCCAGTTCCAATGGCTGACTGAGGAACGCACTGTTTCTACTGAAGATGACGTTGAGCTCCTTAAGGAATACGAGACCAGCCACCTCGCACGTGTGCAGGAGCACAAGAGCGTACCAACTGATTGCTGGTTCTATCTCAAGTCCGGTATCAGTGACCTCGTCCTTGAAATCCAGCATGGCCGTGGCATCAGCCATTTGAAATCCGGCACTCTTATTCAATTGGGTCATCAGAGGCTCAAGTCTGGTAAGAAGTCCCATGCTCTTCTTGAACTTCAGCTCTGGAGATACCAGGATGGCTACATCATCAATCGTCGCTCAGGTCTTGTTCTGTCTGTTGATAAGGGTAAGCTAGTGAAACAGAAGGTTATATCGCATAGTATCATTTAGAGCGCATTGTTGATTTTCTTGCAAACTCGACTCTAACACTTCTAATTTAATCATCTCTTAACTAAATACCCACATAGTCGAAGGCAACGCCAAGCTCATCCAATCGAGTCGTACTAACGCTTCGACTCAGCGCTGGGTCGTCGAGAACGGTGTCATTCGCCTGGCTGCTCACAAGGAGTTCGCTCTGTTCTTGGCCTATGGTCATCAAGGCTCACACGCCTTCATCCGCAAGGTTCGCCAAGGAGATATTCTTCAGACCTGTAAGTTTCTTAACAACAACTCTTTATTTTTATATATATTCGAGTCGTGAACGAGCTCTTAATTATAATATTACAATTTTTATCATTAGGGGCATTCGGCGAGGTTCACTTCTCATGGTTGACCTTGGAACTCTCTACCACGGAGCAGGTCGAGGAGGAAGAGGAAGAAGAGGTGCAAATGGATGTCATCAGTGAGAGCGAAATCACTTACCTTAAGAAGGAAAAAGCCCAAATCCGCAAGCTGGACAAGTTCTCGCAGGTCGCCTATTTCTTCCTTCGTGCTTCCAACGGGTATGTTATTGATATCGAGCATGGCTACTCTATCAATCACATGCGCGTAGGTGCCTATGCTACGGTCCACCCTCAGACAACTGCTGCGTCGTCCAATCAGCATGCTCTTCTGGACATTCAGCTTTGGACCCTCAAGGATGGATATTTGATCAATAAACGCACTGGTCTTGCCTTGACTATTGAGAGTGATATTAAGGAGAATGCCCGCCTCATCCAGGCTCTCCCCAAGAACTCAATCAAGTGGACAATCGAAGGTGGTCGCATCTCCCCTATCACACATACTCACTTGGCTCTAAATATTCGTGATGGACATGTCGTTCTTGTCAACCGCTCTGTTGCCATCACCTGGTCTGTATTTGAGGTCGTCTTCTCATGGCTCATCTTTACTGAGGTTGTCCTTCTTGAGGTTGAAAAACAGGAAGACTTGGAGTTCTATGAAGAGTTTGAAGAGATTGTCTTGCGTTCATCCGCTGGTACTAATGAAGTTATTGAATATGCCAAGACTGAGCAATCCCTTGTCGCTCCCAAGGAGACTTGGTTTTACTTGGTTGTCGGTAACAAGGTTGCTTCCATCTCTACTACTCAATTGCTCGAACGCGGAGCAGAAGGAGCGACGATCCACACCACTGTCCAGAAGCGATTCGGTTCAAACGAACGCCATGCTTTGGTTGATCTCCAACTCTGGAAGCTTGAGGACTCTTATATTATCAACCGCTTCACTGGTCTTTATTTAACCGTCGACAGCAATGGCTCTCTGGTCTTGGCCAAAAAGCAGACAGATGCTTCGCGCCAGCAATGGCAGTTCTCAGAGGATGGTTCCTTGTCTTTGATCTCCAACTCTAATCAAGTTGTCGACTTTGTAGATAATAAGGCTGTTCTCGTCGAGCGCTCTATCAGCAAGACTGTCTGGGCATATGATGCTGTCAAGTTTACTTGGCTCACCACCTTGGAGGTCAACCAGTCGTACGATGTCAATATGATTGAGCGTGAAGTCACTGAGTACAAGACTGTCTACACCCGCTATATCCAATATCTCACTCGATACACTATCACGACGACCACAATCACCAGAACCCGTCGCATTGTCCGCGTCCACAGACAAAGCCCTATCCAGAATGCCACTGTCCTGGAGACTGACGGCACCATCTGGGCTTGCCATTTAGTTGAAGCTGGTACTGGCGTCGACTATGAGATGCAGCTCTTGTCCGATAACACCAAGAACGTCTACTACATCTACGTTCAATGGGGATCCACCGAAGGTCAGCTCGAAGGCCCTTATGATAGTGCAGAGATCGCAACAAGGGAGTTCCAGGAGATCTTCTCATCCAAGATTGGCATTGAGTGGACCGAGAGGGAGGCTGTCATTTCATCTGGTGAGGAATGGACTACTGTTGACTTTGAATACGACACTATTGTGATTGAAAGCGATAGCGCCGGAACTGTCACCGGAACTGTCACCAAGAAGGGCACTGCTGATACCTCAGCAACTCGTAGCCTCCCAAGATCTGATTCAAACCCTCGTATTGACACTGTTAACCCTATGGCCGATGAGGTTGAGGTTTACAAGGATAGCGAAGTTTACCATACTATCCTTACACAGCGTGCTACTGGCATCATTTACACTACTCAGCTGCTCTATAACACTGTCACCAAGACTTACTATGTCTATCTTGGTTGGGGTGAGTCTGATTACACCCTTGATGGACCTTACGAGACTGTTGAAATCGCAAAGTCTCAATTCAAGAACAAATATGTTGAGACCTTTGGTATTTCCTGGGATACTCGCAAAACTACCACCACCACTGAGTGGGATGTTGTCCATCATGAAATCAACTTTGAGGAAGATATCATCCAGGTTGTTGACGACGAGCATGTCGAGTCCAGCACTACTATTGCTACTGAGGAGGTCAAAGATATCACTACAAGTAGCAATGTCATTGTAGCCCACGAGGTCGAGACAACTGTGGAGGATAAGGGTACAAAGGAGACATCCACAGTTAAGGAAATTAGCAACACAACTCTAACTATCACCAAGCCTGCAGTCAGCAAGGAGACTTCATGGTTCCGTAGAATCTCCCCTACACCTGGCAGTACTGCGGCTGGAGCTGTTGTCGGTGTCCTTTTGCAAGTGAATGGCATCTGGAAGCGCAAGACAAATGTTGTTACCACTCGTAAGGCTGCAGTTGACGAAGTCTGTCCTATTGCTAAGACTTCCGTTGTCTACTTCGATGAGGATGTCTACAATGCTGTCGTTACAGAGAAGAGCACTGGTGCCACTCATGTAGTACAACTTATTTATAACTCCGAGCAACACGTCTACTACATCTACTATCGCTGGGATGAGACACACTATCGTCTCAGCGAACCTATCAATACCATCGAGGAGGCTAAGAAGACATACCAGATTACCTACCACGATAAATTTGGTGTTGAATGGAAAGATCGCGAGACTTGCGTCAATGGTATGTTTAATTCTAATGACAAGGAGAAAAAAAAACCGAATATCTTTGCATTTTTTTAACTAATAACGACTCTATTGCTTTATTAGATAAATGGACTTACCAAACACAAGTCTACGAAGTCTACGAGACAATCGAAGAGATTGAGGAAGACATTGATGAAGAGGAGGTTGCCACCATCATGGCTCAAAATCGTGTTATCAAAGTTGACGATGAGACTACCAAGGTTGAAACGACAATCGTCAATACTCAGAATGATGTCGTTGTTGAGACAGTCAAGGATGTTGCGATTGTAACAGGAGACCAAGTAGAGAGTAGAAAAACTACTGTCTCCAGGAATGACGAGCAAACTCAGAGTGTTACGATTGAGGAAATAGTAGAAGAGGCCACAAGCATTGCTGTTGCTGATGATGTTAAGGATCGCAGAGAGGTTAAAACTATCAAGACAGGAGTCATTGCAGAGCCTGCAGTCACAAAGGAGACCTCATGGTTCCGTCGCATTGCCTCTGGAGCCGAGGGAGTTGCTAGTGGAGCCTTGGAGAAGGTCGATGGTGTTTGGAAGAGATCTGTCCAGGTGCTGACCACTCGCAAGGCTAAGGCCGATGAAGTTGCACCCATTGCCGAACACTCTATCGTGTACTATGATGATGAAGTATATGATTCTGTGTTGGTTGAGAAGGACACTGGTAAGAAGCACGTCACCCAGCTCTTGTATGACACTAAGGAGAATGTGTACTATGTCTACTACCGCTGGAGTGAGACCGACTACAAGCTTGATGGACCCCACAAGACAATTGAGGAAGCCAAGGAAGCCTTCAAGATCATCTATAAGAGCACCTTTGGCATTACCTGGTCTGAGCGCGAAAATGTTACTTCTGGTAAATCCAATTCAAATGAACTTTTGGGTTCTTAATTAATCGTTATTAAGACATGCTAACAGTATATTGCTCTATTGCAATTAATAGAACGCTATACTTACATCATCCAAGAATACGAAACCGTCGAAGAAATCGAGGAAATCGAAGAGATTGTGGATGAAAAGGAAGCTGAGATTATCATTACCTGCGGAGAACAGAGAGAAATCAAGGATATCAGTGTCCATACCGAGAAAACCCAGGAGACCATTACTCACGAAAGTGGTACTGCTGTCGAAAGCTCTTCAAATGAGATTATCTTTGAAAAGGAAAAGGAGAAAGAGAAGAGCCCTGATGTAGCCGTTGTTCAGGACAAGGATGTCAAGCAGAGTGTGGTTACCAGGAAGACTGGAACCGTTAGCCAGCCTGCTGTCCCAAAGGAGACTTCCTGGTTCCGTCGTATTCTTCCAGCTGGTGAGGCTGTCACAAAGGGTGCTATTCTCACAATTGGAGGTGTTGCATATGGCGCTTTCCAGAAGGTTGACGGTGTCTTGAAACGCACAGTCCAGGTTTTGACCACTCGTAAGGCCAAGGTTGACG